AAACCTTGGGTAAATAAACTAAAAATTCTTCTTGATGTAGATGTAAAAATACTAAACTGGATTATTTCCAAAAAAAATTTTTCTGTTTTGATATTTCAGGTTTTATTCTTTTTTTCTCACACTTTATAGGCGTTTAACTGTGGAGTTGTGTGTTCTGTAGATTTACGCGATGAAAGCAACTTTTTGAGTTCCTTTTCTAGAAGAAAAAAATATGAAAAAGAAATAAAAAGAGATGTTTCATTTAATTTCAGCCAAAACGCTTTTTATTAATTTTACATCTCCTCAAGATCTTTTTGTAGTTTGACTCAGAATAATTTAATGAAAAAAATAAGTTTCAAGATAACGAAGTTATGAGTTTTCCAGAATAGTTTTCAACATATTTTTTTATCCCTTTATTTGTTTATTTCCTCTACAAATTGACAAATTGACAAGAATAATTTCTGAAAAAGAAGCCTGTTGATTTTCGGACGGTGCTTGGGATTTCCTTGTTGCCTTTCTCGAGTCCGACGGCTCCCAGGGGTTACATCTAAAAACGTTCGTCTTTTCGACTTTCGGACCCGTCTTCTCCTTGTTTTTGTTTCCTTGTTTTGCACCGCTAAGCTCCCATTTTTCCTCTTAATTTTTTAGTTGTTATTCGTTTTCAAGCTTGGAGAGAGCGCCATTTGAGCCCCAACAAAAGTTCTATTAGTTTGGGGATTTTTATTCTTGGTTTCAAGTTTATAACAATTATAAACCTAAAACTTCGAATGTCAGTTGTTCTTCTCATATTTCCATACTTTATGCCTAAATAGACTAGTCATGCGGGGGGGGTGGGGGCCGGAATCTGTCTTGATTTTGAGCGGTAAGTGATGCGAAAAAACAAGACAGACTGGCCTGACATCTGCCGTCGGTTTCGAGCGGCTTCTCGCGCATTTTTTTCGGTTGACCTGTTCCGATATTTGCAACCGTTCATCTTCATTCAGAAAAATCTCTATCTGCTATTTAGTTTATTTTTTTTACTGATTCAGATATTTTTTCCATTGTTCAATAGTCTTATATTTCGCTTCTGTCCCTATTTCATTAAGACTTGACGAGTTTTTATTTATTTTGACAGTAAAGAGGCTGTAAACGTTATTGGAAAAGTGGTCCGAAGGAAAAGAAATTGGAAATTTTTCGAATGAAGTTTTTTGCATTTTTATAGACTTTTTTGAAAGTTTGCCGTGGAACAAATATTTTTGCAGGCGCTGTTTTTTGTAAAATTATTTTTTCACGTTGCTAATCTTGTCAGAGTTACAGGTTTTCATTTTTTAATCTTTTTGTTCGACCTCCGTATTTTTTCAAGTACTTGAAGCTCTTGAGAAGGTCTGGAATTTGAGCTGAATATTCGAATTTTCAAGTCTTTTCTGAGCACTCTTCAGCCCATAAGCCATTTCTTCGATTTAAGAAGGGAAAACCTTAACGAGTCCTGCTGAAACAATTCTCGACGCCCCGAAAATCCGCCAGGACGTTTTGATCTTCCGGAGCTTCTGTCTGCGTCTCTCCACTTTGCACACTATTCAGCCGACGTCTACATTTCCGCCACCATCTTCTCAATGGAAATGCGTTTAAGTGTGTACGTCGGTGCGGCTCATTACTGCTGCCCATTCCGTGGGCTTTTTCCTCGTTTTCCCGCCAAAATGCTTTGTCCTACGCTTTGTTCTCCACCGGTTCAGGTGTTCTCATTAGATCCGATCATTTATGTTTTCTTATTGGTGACCGTTTTTGTGTGGACTCTAGTACATTAACCTTTTTCTTCAAACCGATTTGAGCTAGGTAAAAAAATAACTAGCACGTTTGTAGATTTTTTGAATGACAACTTTCACAAGTTGAGAGTTTCATTTTGATAAAATCATACTTAGAAGGAAAACAAATTTATAAAACTGTTATAAACCATTTTCTACGACCTAGCTCTTCTACATTTTTCCCTTCATCCGTGATTATTGAAAGGTTTCGTTTTACGTACTTGAACGAATCCAAAAAAGTAGACCTTTTTATGAACTTGGTAAGTGTGTTGTGAACTTTTTTTGACTGAGCGCAGAGAAAAGCTCTGTAAGTTTGCTGTTAGATTCAGTTGAGAATTTTGATTGCTTCTCCAACGAAAACTACCGTTTCTAACTTCATTCATGTTGTAAAAAAAGCGTTTGTTTGTAACATACCTCTTAGAGAACTACTAGACAACTCGAATAAGAAAAAAGAACTGTAACAGTTTATGAAATTTTCCAGCTTTTAACGGTTACACAGTTTGAAGAGACCCTCAACTTTTTTTTTTGAAAGAGAAGATGAAAACCTGTCTCAACTTGCGAGCTCATGAACACATCTCCAACCTCTCAGCCCCAATAAATCTCTCTGATTGAGAGTTTGGTACATTCCTTGGATCCCCAACTCAGGGCCCCGGGAGCAGAATGCACGATGGAGTGTCGTAAAACAATTTATCTGCCTCCAGCCATCCTTTTGTCGTCCATTCCACTTCCCCTATAAGGGTATTAACTCGGCTCCAAAAGACTTTTGGCCTCCTCTCTCATGTCAGTGTTGCCTTTCGAAAGAGGCTTTGCAGTTCCTTCTGATGACCTTTTGGAACAAAGTTCAGACTCTCGTTTTAGTATAGTTGAAATCGCACCAAAACCCTTCAATACATTTTTAAACCTTTGTGTGTGGCTTTTTTCAATAAATCTTCATTTATTTTCTGTGATTTTTTGATTTTTGTTTTTCGATTTTTTTTACCTCATTTTAGGTTATGACTGTAAGCGCGTAAAAAAAAAACAAAATTAGAACAATTTTGATTAATTTGCAGCTAACCTTCAAAAATAAGTTGAAGGTGTATGAACTGGTTTGACTTTTTTTTTCTTTGCTTTCTCACTTTGAGTGTGTGACTTATTTTTCTTGACTTTGCCTGAGTAATATATAAATAAATGTTCAACCTGACAAGGTAGGTCAAAAAAAAAATTCGAATTTAACATTGTAAGAATATAAATTTCAAGTGAGGGATTCTCTAAACTAAAATGGCAAGTTTAGATTCTCCGATGATTTTTTTAGAAAATTCAGTTTTCAAATCTTAACTTTTTTCTCCTTTCGTAATTTGGACGCCAGCTGAATTTTCCCGTTTTTTCTCAGATTTTTTTCGAATATTCTAAAATTTTTCGTTTTGTTAGAGATCCCTGACGAGCCGCTTGCCGTACTGCTCAGTAATCTCGAGCATGTTCTTGGGCGCCGCGAAACGACGACGCTAATCCCAGTTGTTCCTCGTCGCAATTCTCCTCAGTTTGCTTTCTTCTTCATTTCCTTCCATTTGCAAACAGTTTCTTTTGCGTCGAGACTTATTCAAAACATCTTTATTTGCTTATTAATTTCATTTTTTTGAATTCAGGAAGAACATGAGAAGCTTCGAGCTTCTCATTGAAAAATTTTCTCTTCTAATAGAAATCTTTTTTTAAATTTTCTCTGTACTGTTTCAGGATGAGAGATAGGTAGCTTTTTGATTTAGTTTTCGTTTTGATATTGCGAAATTTTGTTTCAAGCCGTTTTTTAATTTAGTCGGTCGCATTCAGAATGACTCTTTTGTTATTTTTTAAAGTGCACAAAATCACTCTTACCATATAATCTTGAGCTATCAGAAGAGCATACACAGAGTTCCTGAATATTTTTGAACGAAGAGCCTTCTGCGCGTTTATTTGAGGGCTTTGTCAAGTTTCAGGGCCTGAAACTACTTCATCAAAGACTCAAAAAAACATAACTTCTATTCCAAGTTTTGAAATAAAATATTAACTAACTAACTTGAAAAAAACTTTCGATTTCGAAAAAAAAAAAAAATAAAGAACAATAATTTTTTTAGTTGCAACTTCAAAAAACGGCTGTGAAAGCTGGAAAAAAATTTTTTTGGCCGCGAATCATTACAGATCTCGTCGATTTCAATCTCGAATTTCATTTTTCGAGCCAATTTCTTCACTTGAGAGCTCATAGCTCATTAATTTCAAGCCGTGTTCGGCTGTTCCTCTCAAGGCGATCTCGTCTCCTCGAAATCAGTTGTGACTCATCCTCGGGGCTCTTCCAAACTGGGAATTGGCCTGAAGCGGGGGAGCCGGCCAATTTCGTGGTCAAGAAGATCCTTCCAGCAGATATCTTAGCGCGGGTCCACAGATTTCCATCGCAGAAACCACATTTTCCGGGGTTTTTCCTCTAATAACCAGGATTATGCTAAATTGAGGGGATTTGTTTCAGTTTAGAATAATCTATGGGTGGTTTAGCCTGTTTTCGAAGTTCAAAAAAACCTTTCTTCGTTCTTTTCTGATCGAGATTTTATCTCAGACTTCACTTTTTTTTTTTGAATCTCCGAAAAAATTAAGGCTGAAAACTGATCTCCTTTAAACACCGGTTATAAATTCTGATCAAAAACAATCAGTAAGTTAATTTTACAAGAATAAAATCTTCGAAATTTAAAATTTAGTTTTCATCACGAAAAATACAAGATTTGCATTGTTGTGAAAAAAAAAATCAAAATGTTCGGAGTTTGATCAACACCCAGTCGCTAAACGATGAGTATTCATGCCGTGTTCAAAGTGATTCCGCGAAATTCAAAATAGCCGTCAGAGAAAGAGAAAGATAACTAAATTTTGGAGGGTCAGAGACCATTTTGCATTTCGCGGAAATTACTTTGAACACGGCATCAAACTCATGTATTCATTTTCGAGTTCCATTGAAAATAGAAATCTTTCATCAGTGGATACACAATTGTGGAAATATACTCCATATTAATGAAAATATATACTAAAATTCATTTTATTTCAATTAACTTTTTGCCATACTTATTGATTGAAAACTTGTAGTCCTAATTTTGAGGATAGCGAGAATATTGGGCAAAGTGTCAAGTAATCTTCACCTTTTTTATCGTTTTTTCGATTTTTCACTTCGCTTCGCTTTTGAGATGTTTTATGACCTTTATTTTGAAGTCGAAAATCAGAAGCGTTTTTCAGATCGGGGGAAACCAGATGGAGACGTCGTTGAGGTCTCCGGAAGAGGAAGAACTGCACGAGAAGTCGTCGCGAATCAGAACCTGGGTCAGCAATCGCATGAAGGAGGTACGCGACGATTTCATTTTGAAATGAAATGAAACTTATTGTTTGTACACAGACAGATCTGTGGAAGGGAGGAAGAGAACTATGAAAGTTATGTTTGCCTTTATCTTCCAGGGATTTCGTGATAAAACTCATTTATGTAGGAGCACTGTACTAGGGAAAGATTGGAAGAAACTTCAGCTCTGATTAGTAAATTTTATTTGACAATTTTGACTCTATTCTTATGAAATATAACCATCTAACGCTTGATTTCTCTTTATGATTCAGGCGCTCTTCTTTTCTGCGTTGACCAAGTGTTTCCTTTTGCCGACGTAAATTGAAGCTTTATATTTCGTGTTCAGAGTTATGAAAATCTCCTTTCGATTGCCATTTCCGAGCTGCCGAGTCCTTTAAAAAAGTGTCAAATTTCCTTTTATGCTCGAAAATCGACAGCCCATATTCCAGCAGACAATAATGGATTGGAAAAATCTTTTCCTTTTTATTTTTCCTTGGCTTTTTCTTCTGTTTACTCAAAATTAGGCGAGCGGATATGCTCACGGACGTTTTGGCTATCTTATTTATTTATTTAGTCTTTTTGGAACTTACTTGTTTTTCGTAGAAAGGAATCATTTTTCTTTTTTCGAAGGCTTTAAAAAGAGAAAAGTTACTGGATAGGTCCTCATAGATTTCCCTGATAACTCCCCGTCAATTATCTTATATCGAAGCTTCTGATCACAAGTAAAAAAATGTTTGATCAGAAAGTTGAATTTATAGAGATCATATTTTTTCCAATAAGTGGAACGTTTTTTATCAGTTGAGAAAACGACCAGAAAAAAGATCTTAATCTTTGAGGTTTTCGTTTTCAGAAATAAATGCTTTTTTAAGTTTATCGCCAGAAGCCTGTGAAAAATATTTTTTATGGAATATTTTCCCTTTTTCGTGCCTCGAATTTGAATTTGACCTATTCCTTCTCTGCAAATCTAGCTCTTCACTTCCTTCATTAAGATCATATGTTGAGAATTTTATACGGCAACAATTTTTAAGCGAGAAAATGAGAAGTAATCTGAAACTTATGCAAGAAGTAAATTTTCAGAGACGCGAAGAAATTTATTTTCGTTTTTGACGATAATTTTCTAATTTCTGGAATTCTTGAACTTTTTGAGAAGATTTTCTTAATTTAACATGGCGATGAATCCGGATTTATTTTCTTTTGGACGAGAAAGTAATATTTTTCAATTAGATCTCGGAAATTCCTCATTTCTTCGCTTTATATAAAAGGGAAGAAATGAGAAATATTTATGTATTAAATAAATTTGGGAAAAACAGTGAACATGAACGTCGTCGAGTTTGATACGAGCTCCCCGGGGACTGAGGTCCAACCCTTTCGTGTCCATTCGGCCACGTCGATTCCAACCTCCGGCCTATTTCATCCATCAGCCACAAAATCCATTTTTCTTCTTTTTTCTTTTCACGTTGTTTTTCTCATTATTCGATGGCTTATAATGCGATTGAACGCGTTGGAATAGTGCAACTGAAAACCTTTGTTTTTGGAAATTTACAACTGATCGCGAGTCTTTTCGTGCTGTCAATCAGCCATAGAACTGACAAAGAAAAGGGGGAAAAAAATAGAATATTTAGAAAAAAATTATCACGTAGTTTTCAAGGTGATTAAATTTTATCATTTTTTTTTGAAGGAATCGAAGATTATTTTCCAGTTTCCAGTGTCAAGTTTTTCCCAAATTTTTCTCAAATATATTTTTTAAATTTAGTTCAGCTCGACTTTCTCTTCACTTCATATTATAATCCCAGCTCCAAAGAGATGATCTTTTTAAGAAAATTGTCCATTTTGGCACTTTGGTTGAAATTGAGTACGGCATTTTTTTTCCAATTCTGTTGATATTGAAAAACCGAAAAAGATTAGATTGAGAACCTCCCTTTAAAATCCAAATTCCAAGGCAAAAAAATTTAAATAATAAAAACAAACTGAAAAACCTCCCCCAGGGCGTTGTCAAGAAAGTTGTTGAGAAGATCAGATTACCGATTTTGGCGCCATTTTCGCCTCATTGAGGTCGTTTTTCAGTTCTTTTTTGGGTAGCCTTCGATCAAAATGACCTTCTCGCCAGGCACACGTTCCTTCTTTGTCTTCTCTTGAAAATCTTTTGAATCACTTTCTGTTTTGGTCATTTTCCGTTTGAAATGAACTGAAAAAGAACAGAGGAGGTCAGTTTTTGGTGGCCGTCCGGAAATGGCCGATCTCTCATATTGCATGCATTTTGCATGTGGAATCGTGTTTGCTGGCATCTCGACGGCCTCTCTTCGTATTCATGTGCACCCCCAGGATGCCTTCACTTCGCGAACATTCGTTTTTTACTATACCTTTCTTTTTTCTTCCACTCTGTTCTCACTATCAATTGTATCAGTCGTGAAACGTTCATGGTCGCTAAGGAACCTTTTTTTTCGAAAATTTTCCTCTATTTTATGCCTCAGTAGTGCTTGCATTGTAGTTATCTCCAGGTTGATTGAATATTCGAAGTTTGAAGCAGAAAAGTCTAGATCGGTTTTTGGATTAGAAGCAGTGTCGAATTGTCAAGTGACCGTCTTTTTTTGAAGACTTTTTCAGTCAGCTCTAGCCAAAAACATTGATGGAAATTTTCAGATTTTTTAACTTTAGTCTATGCTGAGCTCCGAGGGAAAGAGGGTTCCAGTTTATTTTGATTGAATCCTGATTCCAATCGCCGATGTTTAGATCAAACAACTTTAATCTTTCTCAACATTCAATATCATTTTGTTATTCTATTATATTCTAGTCTAATTTTCTGGTTCGTTATTTACCTAAACTATAATATGAGCATTGAAACTGACTTATTGTGTTGTGTTCCACTTATTTTGAAAAAAAAAGTGGTCTTGAATATCATTTCTTTTTTTGGTTTCCTCTGACTTTGAAATTATCCTAACCAACTTTTTGCAATCCTGACAAACTCAATGAAAATGAAAAATCTCGTCAGGAAAATTCATTGCTTTAATTTATTTTTTGATCCATTCGAAACGCCTCTCCGAAGGAAAGACAATTACGGAAAACCAAAAATCGGCTAAATTGTCAGGGGATCAAATAACGCAAAAACGGCTGTTTTCCCAGCCCCATTTTTCTTCATCAAATTAGAAGCTGAGAAAAGACGGCGGCTCCGGAACGACGTCTAAGAGCTCCCCACACAGAAGCCAGAGACAAACACTATAACCGCCCCAACTTCTCAGGTTTCTACCCACCAAATCTGCCGCCTTTTACTTGTTTCGTCTCTGCAACCACACGTTTCTGATTCTGAACTCCGAAAATTCCTCTTTTTTTTTTCTTCATTTTGAATAAAGGATCGATTGAGAAATTTCTCAGCGCTTTACTTCTGAAAGTGCTCCAAAAACTTTATAAAATTTATTCAAAGTTAGAACTTTTTCTTTAAAAACTTCAGGGAGTACAGAGCTGAAATTTTGAAAGTGTTGAGATTTCCCTGATAAAAAAATAATTTTTAAAAAAATTTTTTTCAGAGAATATTTTCGTCTGTGATCTTTGTTTTCAAAAAATATTCATTTAAAAAGTTGAATTGATTGGGATATTTTGATTTAAAAAAATCACGATTTTCCACGAAAATCAACATTTGGATCGTAAGATAAACTAAAAATATTTGTATTATTTCCTGGTTGGAAAAATCAGTATGGTTTTGTAAGAAATGTAATTTTTGAAAATGAGTTTAAAATAGGGAACATAAAAAAGAGATGAAGAAACAGAATCAAAAGAATTGATGTCAAATTTTGTCAAATTTTCAACCATTTCTCAAAGGTCATTTCAGCTGTTCAAACGTCATGAGTTTGAACGTCGCGATTCAAAGAGAATTGTTCTTTTTTCGATGATGAGAAAACGCAGGTGCGAAACCCATCCGAAACGATGGAATTTTGAGAAAAAAGTCTCCATCGAACAGATGGCTGATCATTTTTATCCTACAATGGCCGCCACCTGCCCATTTGTTGCAGCGTAAATCAACCAAGTTTTTGTAGTTTTTCGTTTCGAAAAGATTTTCGAAAACTATACCTTTTTGAAAATTTTCCTTTATTTTTGCAGAATGCCTTTTTCGAGATCAATTTGTATTATAGAATTTAACCGCTAACAGTTTTGAAAAGCTCTGAAAGTTAGCCGGTACCTGCTTCTGCGATGTTGAGAGCTTTTCGAAAAGGCCGAAACGAAATTTCTTTTTTTCACTTTCTCCAGACTTTAGCTTAAAGTAGATTTGGGAGATTTTTGATTTCTATATAACCTTTTCTTCCCATCTGCAATACCTTCCGGCGAAATCCCATCATTTTCGTTCTGACTTTTTTCTCGGTTCGGGTCGCGTAGGTTCACCAGATGTCCAGATTTTTGTGAAAGCGTAGAAATCCACATTTTTTGGACCATTGACGTAATTTTTGCATTTTTTTTTACTGAGTTTCCTCAGGGGTGTGGTACAAAAAAAGAAGGTTTTTCAACCTAGAAACCCTATTCTTCTATTCTTCAAAGGAATTTTCTTTCATATAGTTCATTGCCAAAACGACTTGAAACATATCAATGGAGCGTCTTAATTTCCTATTTTTCAGAACTCTTAGCAAAATGCGAAATATTTTCAAAGCTTCGAAGTTGTTTATGAATGAAAAGAACACTGAAAATAGTTTTTTGACTGTATTAATTTTCTTCCTAATAAGTTCATGCAATTTTCCAGAATTTATTTTTGAACAGAACTTCAAATTTTCCACATAGAAAAAAAAATTATGGTTTTAATTTTTTTTTTCTTCTTTCATTTCTGATCTCATTTTACTATGTCAAGTTCATCTTCGGAGGTTCTTCACTTTTTTCTTGTTCTTCGCAAAAACAACAGCCAGATGTGGATATTATTGAGTGAAGACGGGAATTTCGATATGCGAGACTCATCAAATCCCTAAACGCGTTTATGGTCGTAATAACGACGGAATGAGGCGCGGCCGGGCACGAAAAAGACAAAAACCCACGAGTTCTTTCCGTTCTTCTTTTTTCGTGGGTTCGAATCGGACCATCGTGTGTCCTGCAGCTGGCAATAACCGCGACGGAGCTTTCCGCGCGACCTCCTCTAGAGAGGCTTTTTTGAGGTTTTCAGATATGGTCATGGTTACACTGCGATTCGGCTAGATATTTAAAAAAAAAGACCCGAAAATTGAATCAATGAAAAAATTTAATGAAATAACTTTGGTCAAAAAGCTGTCTCATATTTTGTCTGTTGAACTTGGAACGACGTTGCTCGCAGTCGCGTTCCATTTGCCTCTACAGTAGACCTTGAATCGTTCTATACCATCTTTTGTCCCCGCAAGCCGTTTCAAGTCGGTCACTCATTGGAGCATCCCTCAATCGTTGAGCCAGTCCAAAATTGTTTTTGTTCAAATTGGAGGGAAAATAGGAAAAATCAACGTTCAAAAGTTTCCTCGTCAGTTTTTCACTTAAGAGAATCTTCTCTCGATATCCTCAACTTCGATGGGATGTTTTTCCTGTGTCGGAATAATTTTTGTTTTGCTTTTTCATGATTTATTGGGATCCTAGCTTTTTCAACTTCATGAGAATATCAAAAATTCTTCGATAAAACATGAAAGTCTTGAAAATTGAAAAATTAAAGGCGTGATTTGCATTTTTCGATGGAACCTTATGTTTTTCTCTGCGAAGTGTCCTCCTGTGGATCTGTCGAGGTTCAGTTTTCCAGCTTCTTTTTCTTATTTTTTTCTGGCCAGAGTCCATATGCCTTATGTGAACAGTTAACCTCATTTGGCGGTTGCTGATGAGTCAGATCTCAAGCAGCCAAAAGAGGAAGACCACGCCCTTGGGCATTGGCGCCCACGAAATGGACACCTTGCGCTCAATTTGATGCTGGCGCCACCCTATCCTCACTTTGAAATCCATTCCATTCAATCTGAATAATTAAATGTGAACGCTTCGAGAAGCCTTCCCTGGATTCCCAAGTTTTTCCTTCTTCTTTTCAAGCCAATTTTAACTTGGTGCGACTTCAACTATAAAATGTTGTCCTAAACTTTCTCGAACAGTAATTGTAAAGAATTTTGAAGTAAGAATTATCTTGGAACTAAATTCCAATGATCGAGAAATATGTATTGAAGAGTCAAAAAAATTAACAAGAAAGGTTATAAAGGATCCAGCGCTTGATAAATTACCCGGTTGAATAATCATAAACTGTTTTTTTTTAATCTTGCATTTTGAACGTCGAATCTCGATTTGAAATGTCTACTTTCCTTTTCTCAGGCGTTAATCACAAATACTCATCGAAAAGATCTATCAGAGAGACTTTTGGGGAGGCTGGCAACAATGGCCGGTTCTAATTAAACGGGCTGCCAGAAGATTGCGCAATTCGCCTCTGCAAATGAGCAGCAGAAGACGTTCACGGTCCGTCGATCCGATTAATGCATTGTCCGACTCTCCCGTTGGTCATTTCCCCCTTTTCGACTGATTCGTGTTTCCAATGTTGCTTTATCTTCTAGAAAGTTCTTTGTAATGGGAACTAATTTTTATGATCTGTGCTTTTTTTAACGGGCATTTTTCCGAATTTTAACACGGTTCTGAAGACGTATCTTAGAGCTTTCAACAGAATAAAGCTAGTCTTTAACTTGATCCTCTTTTTGTGAAAAGCTTCAAAAAGTCTCCACTCTAAAATATTTTACTCTAGTTTCAGAAACATTATTAATTTTCGAAAAGTTGAATCTCAAAAGTACGAATAAAAAAGAAAAAATTTTCGAATTTCTACAGAACAAATGCAAAAAAAATTTTTTTATTGAAATTCCAGCGAGTTTTTATGGATGTGCTTTTTTCTGTTACTCAGCTTCTAAACTGAAGTTTCGGGAAAGCTGCAAATGAAGAGGGGAATTTGTGGAGGACACCCAAATGTTGCAATCTATCATCGGAGTCATTCCCTCCAACGGCGCGCTCCTTTTTTTCTCTTTTTGGCCTGCCTTCCATTTCACATCTTCTAATTAGTATTGTTAGCCCTCTCCATGGATATTCCGATGCCATGGCGCCACTTTGAAGTTTCCCTGCATCTACAACTCTTTTTTTTTTGAAGGCTTGCACATTTCTAAAGTTTTCGGCAAATGTTGAAATTTAGGTTGTTCCAAGCTACATTGATTTTTTTCAAAACGAAGGTTATAGCTAATTATTATCAAGTACCAGCGTGGTCGGCTTCGGACTCAAAGGTAAAAATATTCACTCGGCGTATTTTTAAAAATTTATTGATTTTAGATCCTTAAATAACATTTTGAGACGAAACTTATCGGCGTCTTGTGTTCGATAAGAAAGGATATGAATTTGAGTTACAATTTCCTTTTTTTCATTCATTTTTTTCATTTTGCGTCAATTTTTTTCACAGGGTTTTTTTGTGAAAAATTTTCGAAACGAATTTTCATGACAAAAAAATAAATTTCTTAGAGTTTATTCATTTTTTTGTAAGTTCTGAAAAAAATTTTTTTAAAATAAAAATTGATATCTTCTTTTTAAAAATAGTTCACGTCGGTTTGATGAAACTTCATTTTATGGCAAAAAAATAAATACAGAAAACGAAAAACTACCATCTGTTTTTTTTTTTTGCGCAAAAACTTGAAGAAGTCTTCCAATCCGCTCGTATCTTCAAAAATCTCAGCCAGTAGTTTTTTTCTCCTTCGCCAAATTCCAAACAAAAAGTGAAACGGCAAGTGCGTGTCTGCACGTCATATATTACCGGGAGCGCTGGTGGCACTCCGACCTTCCCTCTTCATCCCAAATCTCCCATTTTCTTCTACAGCTTTTTGTATGGTTTAGAGATTCCGGATTAATTGAGGGAAGCTGAAATTTTGGATAGATGGTCAAAAAATGAAAAAAAATGCACTCGAATTGTTCTTCGAACTCGAAGCCTCTCCAGAGTTCACACAAGTTGAAGCTAGTACTGGCTCCTAAAGCTACAGAATTGATCGTAGGGATAAACTTTTCAGAAATTCAGTTCTCCTAATTAATTTTTTTTTTCAGCTAAAATTTGATCCTTAACCAAAACCTCCCTTTTTTCAGAATATTCTTGAATCCCATTAGAAACTCAAGTGAACCTTTCGAAGGGAGTGTAAAAAAGTTCAGAGTTCAACTTTTGAGCCACAAAAAACCGAACCGAAGTATAAAAGAGTCGTAGGTTTGATTTGATGGAACGAAACGAAATTTTTGGAGACGTCGGAAGGATTTCTGCCTTTTCTCTTCTTCTTTTTTTTTGTCTTTTCCTCGAGGCTCTTGGGGCATTTCGGCTCGTTACCCAAAGCCTTCATATTTCTTTTCTCTTCTGTCTCCTCACTTTTTGCTTTATTCAGTTCGATCGAATTTTTGGGCTTTTCTTCTGTCCAACTATACTTCAAATAGCTCGAAAGAAGTTTTGTAAAAAAGAAAGAAACATTGGAAAGTGCGGAGGAAGTCGCCATTTTTTGGGGTGCGGCGAGTCAAGACGCATTTCCTGACGTTTGGGACCATTATAAATGCTTTTCCGATACGCCAGCGGCTCTTTTTCGAGCTTTAGCCTCGTTGTTTCTTCATAAATCCACAATCTTATCGCCTTCTTCGTTGTTTTTAGCTCTTGTTAAAATATCGGAATTATCTTTAGCCATTGGGGTAGGTTTAAATAAGGTATGATAAAAATGAAGGTGAGCCTTGGGAAAGAATAAAAAAATTTCCTTTAAAAAAACGAAAAAGAATTTTTTTGTTCATTTAAAAACCTGTGATCGATTATCGATAATTGAAAGCGAACCAGTTTTTCAAATGAGATTTTGAAAGTAATGTACGACTACTAATTAAAAGTTTCTTTTGAGAAAGGAAAAAAAAAATAAAAACTCATCTCTATCTCAACTTCTATACATTTTAGAGGATATTTTTTCTTACTTTTCTGAGACTGTGAAAAAAAAACTCCTGAAAACTATCCATAGTGTAAACTATTTTTTCTTGTTTTTCAAAACATGCTTCATTAGCTGTGAACCTTCATTTTGGAGCAACAAAAAGAAGAAGAGGCTAGAAAAGAGTGTTCGGATTTTGTAACAACACCAAGTCAACGGCGGTGATTTATCTTCGAGCCCTCGCCGGCCATCTTTTTCCCAACTTGCTACGTTTTTGTTTTGTCTTTATCATTCGCTCCACCTTTTTTCTTGATTCTTGAGATTACCCGCAATTTTTTATTTCAGTTGGAAGAGCAAAACGAACGGTTACGAGTGCAAAACCTGAGATGTACGACGCAGTTGCAGATGTTGCGCAGTTTCACTGAGAAAACCCGGCAAATCAAGGCGGAGATGGCCATGAGCAGGAGCATTACCGTACGTTCCGATCCTTCTATCTCGATGAGTGTTAACAATCAATTAGGCTGGTTTGTAACGGCAAGAAGAAGAAAATTCGAGATTATGGAACTAAGAATTATTCTCGACTTTCCAACGAAAGTCTATTAGCAGTTAGAGAAAAAAGGTTTGAAAAAAAAAACAAATGGAAGGTAGTGAAAGTTACACCGTAAAGGAGGACAGGAAGTCTTATATATATATATATATATATATTTTTTTTTCAACCCCTCAGCTTAGTTCAAGGTTTTTTTTTTTACATGAAACTCTGGAATGATGCGAAAGTTCATACAGGCTAAGGTTTTCTATGTAATTTTGATCAAAAGTTGGAGAAAAAGAGTCAAGAAATGTGCAATGCGTTCTTAGGGAACTCTTCCGGTGCTCCGCGACGAAAACCGGACGTCGGACGACAGCGGCCTGACGTCAGACGACGCAGATGCACGGCGTCAGATGAGCGTCAGCATCGCCGATTGCACGCCGCGAATGCAACGCAAAACCGGTCATTTTCGAGTCGCCGCTTTTTGCATAACTCTTCAACACCTATAACACTCTCTCTCAACAGCTATTGTTGTTTTTCATGTTTCTCACTTCGAAAATTGCTTTTCTCTTTGAATGATGTTCTAAGAATAATGACAAAAAGAAAGAAAATTTTTAAAATGACCCTTCTGTTTTATTGTTTTTCAGTTTCAATGAGACGTTGAATATTTCTGAAACTTTCTAAAACTTGTTTTTTTTTTCTCAGTACTTCGAAGTCGTATTTGCGAATATTAGACTCTATGTATCATTTTTCAGTGGTTCTTACAAATACGTACACTATATTAATATCAGATCAAAAATAGACTGCCACAAGTATAAATGTTTGGTAACCTTCAGGAAACTGTAAAATCTCATTCTTTCAATTTTTCATTTCCTCTTGAAATCAGCGTTCATTAACTGAAAGCTGAAGAATCTTTACTTAGCCTTCCTTATCTCGGTCATTTCAGCTCGTGGCGTGAAGGAGAAAAACGGCTCGACGACGTCGACGAGCGAAAGCTCTCCGTGCGACGACGTCGGTAAGCCGATGCCCGCCCCACGACGTCTTCAGGCACCTGTGAGTTTGAGGGAACCGATTCTGGAGCGAGAACGTCTTCAGATCGAACGAGACAGCCTGAATTCCTATGCGGACGACTACGAGTTTGACGTCGAGGATGAGTCTTTCGAGCGGATTGATGACGTTCCTCGTGTTGATGGGTTCGTTCCATTTTTGACGGACCATGCTAAGATCTTTTTGTTTTCATCGTGAGAACAAAATGCTTTTTTTTTTGACGATTATCGTATTTCACCAGGAAAAATTGATACTCTTGTATTAAAGCTTCTACTCTGGGACATTCAGAATTGCGTTCACTCAAGAATTTCTTTCTTCTCAAAAGTAAAAGAAAACCAAAATTTTTTAAATCACTGCTTTTGATCTTATACTTGGACAAAATTTTTCTCAGGAAAAGCTACGCCGATTACGTGAATCTGAATGAGTTTGTCGCGATTCGGGATGATAAGCAGCCCTACAGTGAGATCATCAAAAATAACAATCAGAGAGAATTGCCGCCGATCCCTCCTTCTCATCAGACTCGCTCTTGGGTTAGTTTCCCGTATCAAACAAGAAATATATGTCTATTCTTTTTGCAATTCGGCAATAACTTACTGTAAAGTTTTACGCTCACGCATTTTATTAGTACGTTAAAAAAAGTGAAGATCTGGTCGAAAAAAAAGAATTCGGAAGTTTTAAGTGATTCGATCTACTATTCTCAGTTATGATGTCGATCAAGCTTCATTTCCAGGAAACGAAGCTGCTGCAAGTCGCCGAGAGATGTCTGTCCTTCGTGGAATGCGAAGCAGGCGCCGAAGGATCTTCCGGGTCGCCGTCGCAGGCGTCGCCCTACCACGTCTCCAACATCAGCCGGATATCGGCGACGCGAACCGATTCGCCGGGATCGCGGCGATCGAAGCTGTCGCGACACTCGTCGCCGCGGCCCTCTTCCGCAGGCCGACCGCATTTTACCGGTTCGCCGGACTGCGGCAGTGCCTACGCGGTCAGAGACTTGGGCCTCGGATCGGATCCTCCTGTCGACTATTATATTCCTCCTGATGCCGCTTCCAGGATGTCCAATGGATCTTGCGGCGGAGTCAGAAACTCGCTGGTCCCTTCTAGAGAAACGGTAAGGGCAGAGCAATTTCGAAGGCCACAAACTTCTAAGTATTATCGTAGTAAATTTGGAGGAGTGAATGTCGAAATTATTTATGTAACATTATGAGGATGAAATTATGTGATTAAAATGAGACTGGGAAAGAGTAATACGGAATTATATTAAAATAAATTTAAGTATCGCGCAGCCGTTTCGGGTCTATAAAAATGGACGGCTTAGAGGGTGACCCATCGTCAGCATTTTCCCTCTTGCTTATAGCAAAATATAATTGAAACTTTTTAGCTTTAAACCTAGGCGCGTATTTTTTTTTTTGAATAAAATAAAGTAAAGAGTATAAGAGTAAATTTGAATGAATGCAAGGAAGAAAGTATAAGAGAGTCAGAGTAGACGTATAAGTCCATCACTTTCTTCATGCGTATAAAGCCATCACTTTCTTCATGCGCTTGAAACATTCCAAGTTACCGAAAAGACAAGTTTCAGTTGTAAAGTAAGCTCAAATAGCATCAAAAATCTTTTTTTTCAAAACTTTTTGCTAGTCAGCTCTTTCTCCAGGACTATGCTCTCAAATTCGAGTTTTTCATGCTTAAAATTGAAGTTTGAGGTCGAAAAAAGCGGATATTGGAGTCACATGACGGATTCTCGGGTCAAATCTTTAAAACGTCGTTTTGTCGTTTTCAAAAACGGGAACTTGAGTTTCTACCGCAGCTCTGTAAGGATACAGCTTCGTAGAAGCATGTGCTCCTCTTGTTTTCCAGAAAAATGGAATGCGAGAAGAAGAACCGTTGTTGAAAATCGCCGTCACGGATATCAAGTCTGTCGTGAAGATCAATCAACAGGGAGCCGCCTATGCTTTTCAAGTATCTATCAACAAAAGTTTTTTCATTACGACAATATTTCGTTGCAGCTTGTGACGTCGACCGACAAGTTCAATTTTATGACGGAAAGCGAAAAAACGACACATGAATGGGTCTCTGTGCTGTCAGCGGCGGTGAAAGGTGATTGAAGATTGGACAATGAATTAAAATAGGTTTCGTGAATAAGTTTTCACTGAATACAATTTTGAACTTTCTAAGTTTTGTATAAAAATGGTTATCATGTTTCGCAGCACACATATCAAATTTTTGGCCTAAGTTAGCTCGATTGTTCGAATGTAGGAGGGAAAAAAAGTTAATTATAGACTGTTCTCTGCACTAAGAGAACTCTACAAAAAAGCGTTTCTTCTTAAGCATAGATGGGCAAGTATAGAACTTAGTCAGACCAGGAGGAGGAGTTGGTTTTCAAAAAAATTTAGAAAGTTAGAAATCCAACTAATTTGAACCTCCGAGAGATTTTTTTGTATATTTTTTTAAGTTATTTTTTTATTTTTTTCGTTGTAAATAGATTGGCCCAGGAAAAAAATCGAAGTTCAGAACCGCTAATTTGTTTTCAATTTTTGATATTTTCTCGCTCTATCCCAATCTAAAGGAACGAAACAAATAAAATCAACAGAAAAATTGAAATTCACCAGAAATAACTCAAGTATGCGAACTCTAGGCGCGACACTCCGAGAAATGGCCAGCCGGGTGACGCCGTTGGACGCGTCGATCAGCGGATGGATGACCCGGGTCCGATGCGGCCATTCCAAAAAAGTCTTCGCTGCCTTGGTCGGCCAGAAACTCATGTTCTTCAAAAACTCTCATGACATGGTTCGTTTATGTTATTCGAGAGGAAATAAGCCAAAAAAAAAAACAAACTTGAAGTGATCGAAATTTCATTGTTAATAAATAAAAGTCTTGAAAAATGGGCAATAATTTTTGATATGATTCTTGGTCAAAATAGGCGGGTCTTACAGTAAGATATGTTTTTTACAAATGCGCCTTGAAGGGTTTTTTATACTTTGCCCTGAAATCTATTGGAGACTAAGAATTCCCATAGAGCTTTCTGATCTATATCATTTCGGTCATAACTATCTTTTCAAGACCATTTTATCAACATTTAGCTTTTCGCCTGTAAATAAGGTTCGAATCGAAGCTAACGATGAAAAAATACATAATAGAAAAGGAATACCCAAAATATAAAATCTGGAAAAATCTTTTCCCCTAGAAAAATTTGAAAACTTTTTTCATGTTTCTTTCAACAGCCCAGCAATGTTTTATGTGTCAAATACCAAGAATTTCAGCTTCAAAATGAAGAAAAATTGATTATTATCAATTTTCAGGTTCCCAGCGGTTTTCTTTACGTTCAAGGCGCCCAGATCAGCGAGAAGAACGACGGGCTCGAGGAGTACAGCGGGAGCAGCGACGAACAGTTGGAGATCACCAAGGACCATCCGAATGCCCGGAAACATTCTGACAGTCTTTGCATACAGGTTTTTTTCATCTTCTCTCAGAAAATTCAAAAAAGCCTCTTTCTCCAGATCGCCAATGAAGACCCCGTCTACCTGATGCTTCAAGGGTCAGAAGAGAAGGAGAAGTGGCTCTACTTTCTGAAGAACGCCAGCGGCGACGCCACCCTCTGCGGAACGCCCTTCGAGATTCTCGTCAAAAGAATGATGGCAGAAAATGTGACGTCGGAGTCTCCATTGTGGAAAGATTTGCTGCTGACGTCTTCTGAAGAAGTTCCCAAGGACACTCTGGTCACCGTCGCGCCGAATGACAAGAAGAAGACCCTCGAAATCGCTAAGGTGGCCTCAAAATCTGATTTTTAACTTTGAAGATGGGTTTCAGGCCTGCCACTTGTTCGTTTCGGTGTTGATGAGAGCCCAGGCGGTTCAGTATCATATCGATCTTGCACAAAATATTCTTTCTACTGCGATTCAGGTAAAAAGGTTGAGTATCCAATCCAATAACCAACCATAATTCAGAATGAGTTCTTGAAAAACGAGGTTTACGCTCAGTTGATCAAGCTGACCAGTGGATCGATGCCTTTTGGGCTTCAGGTTCAGTTTTTATTTTCTTTAAATAGAATTTAGGACATTTTTCTTCAAGAAGAATGAGTGATCTCGTTGAAAATCTTGTGAAATTTCTCTGAATTATTAAAAATTGTTTGTTTAGACTAAAATTAGAAGATGGAACAAATGAACAAACCTTAGTTGGCTCCCCGGAAAACACTAGAAATGAGCTCCAAAGTTCTTGAGCAGCCGGTTTTATTTTATTTTAGTATAGTTTCCATGGTCCTACTGGTTATGAAAAAAAACAAATTCACGATTTTCAGGGCTGGAAACTGTTGGCCTTGGCGATTCCCCTATTCTTGCCGAAGCAATACTCGTTGCTGTGGCTTCTGAAACGGCACATCTCCAGATGGGCCGATATGACGTTAGAATCTCCTTGGTCATCTCCTACTCTTTTTTTCCAGTGGCGACGAGGCGAACATGGCGGCGTTCTGCGAAAGCGCGCTCGACAGATGTCTGCGAGTCGGAGGCCGACACGAGGGTCCAAGTCGACTCGAGGCGACTTCTGTGCTCACTCGTGACGTCACCACTACTAAATTCCCTCATTCCATCTCTGTCCGACTCCCCAATGGAGAATATCAGGTTTGTCTGCGTTATTTGCACTGAAAGAAACGCGAATTTCGATAACTTATAGTGAAAATTCATCTGATCAATTTCTAAATTTTCTAAAGTATTCATTCGAAAGTAAAATGAATAAGAGTTAGATTTTTCTGAAATATTTCTTCAACAAGTACATGGTATGAGCTCACATCGGCGCTTCTGAAGAAGATCAGGATTTTTTCCTTCTACTTCCAATCTCAAGTTCGAAATTTTTGATTGAGGTGTCGGATTATAAATCCTCAAAGCACAAACAAAAAAATTAGCCTATTTTGAACAAACATTAAAAAACAACTTCATTGGGTTCAGTAAAAGTTTCAAAAATGAGCAAGGAGGCTAATTTTATAAGTTTAAAGAGAAAGAAACTTTCTTCGCAGCCCTGCCTGAAGAACTTTTGAGCTCGAGTTCGAAAAAAAAAAAGTCAATTGACCCTTGTTCTATACAACCCTCAAAAGTTGAAATAAAGTTGAGGATCAGAAAGTTTTGGAGAAAATTCAAGATTTTTTATAAAAGAAGTTCATATATTCACTTGAAAAATGGAGCATGAAATCTCTTGTCCATTTCAATTTTTTTACCATCTCTTGTACTGTTGAGCTTACTTTGAAGATCGTCGAGTTTGACGGCTCGACGGAGATCGGCCAGTGTCTGTCCTCGCTGTGTCTGAAGCTCGGAATGAGACCGGCCCTCCTCTCCGGCTACGCTCTCTACATGTCGGACCCCGTGACGCAGAGCTACCAACTCCTCAAAGGAAAGCAGAAACTCTGCGACGCCTTGACCGTCTGGGAAGCCAAGCAGCGCGACATCCAAAGAGGCAAGGTCTCTGCCGACTGCGCCGCCGCCTTGTCTCTTCGGATGCGCCATTTCTGGCCTCATTTGGTAGTTCTCAGGGTTTGATCGTCATCATCAAGAATGTCTTAGATTTCTACTGAAACGCCCATCGAGAAGTCGTTTCTGGTCTGGCGCGCCGCTGAGGAAATCGTCAAGAGTCGGATTCCTTTGAGCAGTCAACTGGCTGATAATCTTGCCGCTCTCTATGCTCAGGTGGGAAGTCGATCGAAGAGCTTTTCAAAGGCGCATCTAAAAGGAAATATTTGCAAGGCATTTTATTGAAAAAATCGAAGCAAAGCGAATAAACTTCCTACTAGGAGTTACCTCTTACTTATTTTTTTGTAAAAATAATTTTTTTATCTAATAATCTTTTTTGATTTCAATATTTAGCCAGCCTTTTACGTTTTCCTATTCAGTTGACGTTTGGAGACGTGCCGTCAAACAATATTTCTGAGCAACAGTTCGAGTTCCTCACCAGCAGGTTCTACCCTCAACGACTTCTCGACGTCGCGTGCATCAAGTCACTCAGGTTCAACTTGTGTTTACCTAGGAAACGAAGAAGACACCTGTTCAGACTGCAAATCCATTCCAACTGGGCTGAACTTCACGGCATGACCGAATTCGAGGCGATTCGAATCATCCTTCAGGTTGATGATTTCGATATTTATTTGAAAAATCAGTTCGAAACCATAAAGTGTTCTGAAAAAGTAGGCGTGAAAGATGACATAAATCGTAGGGAATTATGAAAGAAAAGCTGTTAAAACAGCTATAAAAGTTGATTGTTTTCATGGGTTAAATGGAGAAAGCATTTTCGAAGAGTAAATCAGCCAGAATATTTTATTTGAAGCGTAGAATAGCTTTGAAAAGGAACTTTCAGGTTCTACGGAAATGGGCTCTTTTCGGATGCGACCTGCACGAGGCTGCGATGAGAACGAGCAATGAAAGGAAGATCTACCTGGCCCTCGCCGACACCGCCGTCCATATGATCGATCGACGACATTTCGTCAGTCTTTCTTTCAAAATAAAATATATTTTTTCGAATATAGTCTGTGTGCCACGACTTGAAATTCACGGAACGACATTCCGATGTTCCGCTGCGTGTGGGAAAACATGAAAGAAGAGTACCTTAATAAAGAAAAGGAAAAAAAAAATTAAAAGCGCGACCAAGGTTCGCGAACGCGCGCAGCGGCACAGCGGAATGTCGTTTGGTGAAATTCCAAGTCGCGGTACACAGGCTATAATCAAACTTGTTTTCAATAAAACTTTCGAATATTGAATCTCAAGTTCAACTACTCGTTTTCTAGAACTTCGCCAATATCAACTTTCAGGACGTGATCCGCACGATTCCCTACCACAGGCTGTCGTCTTTCGGACCTTTCCAGAGCGACTTCATGCTCACCATCGAACGACCTCTTCCTCCGGGTTCCCATCCTGATGAAACGCCCAAAGAAAGGCTCACCTTCACCATGGAGAAACATGAAATCGAACAGGTACTTGGTTTTTAGTTTCTACTGAAACTCATCAAAAATAGTATGATTTGAAAGCTTGAGCATTGAAGAAAATTGAACTGTAAATAGTCTGAAATTACTTTTGAGCTGAAGTGAGCTGTGGCATATGCGCTCTACGGATGAATCACGCATGAAAGTTTTAAGGATTTTATTCTGAAAGATTATATTCTGAAAATTTTGATTTTCGAACGCTCTCTCTGTGGAGCACATTTGCGCAAAATTAAGGCTAGTAGCTCCACTTTCATAAGTATTTTATTTTGTAGGCTTAGATTTCGGAAAAGAATCATTTTGCTCAATGCAAAAATATGGTTATGATTTTTGATATAATCTTTGTTCAAAACTGATTTTTCAGGTGACTCTGCACCTAGCTGAGTATATCCGATGTCAGAAACTGGTTTGGAAAGTCTCGAAATGAGAAAAGAAAAACGTGAACATTGTTGTTATCTTATTTGTACATGTCATGCAACTGCGTTGCGTTGTTGAATTTTCGACTTGAAAACATTGCCTGGCTCAAATTTCACTTACTTACTGTCAGATTTAATTTATCGCTTCGATCCCTTTCTTTGTAAATTCGTTGCAAGTGCAATTGTTTTCCGTCTTACACCATTTTTTCAGAATAAATTGTGATTCATAATGAGTATTTATGTTTATGCAAAAGGCTTTCAGCGGCGGAGACAAAGCAGCAGATATTTCGATGAGTGACTCATAAATCAGGAATTTTTGGGATCAAGTCGTTGTTTTAACATCGAACTTGCGAACAATAACAACTTTTGTGCCGAAGAATTAGTTAAAAAATTGCAAATCTGTTCTTTCAAAACCTTCATTGAGTACATCCGAAAGTACTTTGAAAGTTTCTTCCTAGAAAATTCTAGAATGCAGCGTAACAGAACCGTTTCGGTCGTAAAGGAACTTCCTCCAAATTAGGACTGATAATCTGAATTTGTGACAACTATTTTTCAGAACGAGTACACATTTTTGTATAATACTCGCTCCTCGGAGACCATTTTTCAGTTTTCTTGGTTTGGAACGCGCTAATACCATCAAGAAATGGAAATGTAACTATTCATGTAATTTGGCATAAATTTATTTGGGAACCTATTCTAATTTGTTCAGCAAAAAAAGAAGTTGTATAAAAAAATTGTCTAATAATAATTTCAATGAACAACAATCGATCTGGAACTTCAAGAAATATCTAGGGGTAACTGAAGAAATAAAAACTAAGATACACCCTTCAGAAAAGTTGGTTTTCTAGTTCAATATTTCCGAAAGGCTACATTTCCTTATAGATATAGTTTGGAGAAAGAATTATCGCCGGAAAATCGTCCCACGGTCGCCCAGAATATTTCTTTTTAATTCACTTTGCCCGCTTCGAATCGTTCCCCAATCGATTCCCGTTTCTCACCCGGCTCCACGTTTTCAATTATCATTTCTCAACTTTTTATCAGAAAGAGCTTTGGGAAAGGTACTAAAAAAAGTTGGCAAAACAGTTTAGCAATATTTTTTCTGATTTTGCTTATCTTAAAAACTTTAAGGTTGAAATACCATTTGTTTTTTTCGAGTCTTTGACTCAAAGAAAAAGTCAATTATTATTCTATTTTTTTCGCTCGATTCACCTTTCACAAAAAAATTGAGCGTTTGATCTTGAAATATCCATTATTTTTCTCGAAAATGTTATAATGAGTCATTTATGTATGAGCATTAAGGATTTTTACACTTTTGTGCATAAAAGATGGGCGTGGCTACAGAACCGGAAAAAAAGAAAGTCTTGCGAAACAAGCGGAGAGTATAAATACAGAGACGGGAGACGGAATCAGTAGCTGTCGAAAGACATTCCGCTGAAATCGTGCGAAGAGCAGGGCCTGTGTCGGGGCTCTGCGACACGCTATTTCTCTTGCGCAGACGTACCTTCCGCATTTCTTTTTGGACTCATTTCTATAAAGAAGAGGGAAATTGCGTGGTACTTCTGTGCAAAATGCATAGTTCTGGTTTGCTGGAAACATGAGAATTCCTTGCAGACACAGAAACTGCTCTCTGCACGATTTCAGGAGACATGCCGTCCGCAATCCGCTCTCGCTTCAACCGCGTCCGCAAGTTCCTACGCGACCTCTTCGTCCGTCGACCGCAAGAAGGACAGCCTCGGGATCCGCCTCGGCGTCTGGTCATCAGCCGCCCCACTCTCGTGCTTCGCTCCATAAGCGTGAGTTCCTTTCATTTCAAACAAATCAGTCGAGCTTCTTTGCTACTTCCTTGACAAAGGACGTGTGAAGCTTTGAATTCCTCAAAATGTTGCTCAAATATTCTCTGGAGGTCTATAAAAAGGTTCCTCATGATGACTAGCTGTAATAACTTTTAGTTTCGCAGATATGAACATTGATAAAGGCAAAAAATGGCTTTTATGCTTTAATGAAACTTCGAGAATTCCTATCTAAATTAATAGATTTTTCAAGAAATGTTTGAGCTCAGCTTCACAATTGTCCCTAAGAATCTGATAGTGCTGCTTCAACTTACAAGATTGAAAAGCTGATAAGGATGAACTTGTTTTTGATGAAAATCGTAATTTTCAGCCGGAGTCCGCCTTAATTGGCTTGAAAGACCCTGATTCGATGGGCGGAACTCGCTGGATGGAGGTCATCTGGCCCGAGCAGCCCGAGCAGCCCGACCAGTGATATTTCAACGAAACCATCGGGTCATATTAATATGATTTATGTACTCTATTCCTCGTTCTTATTATTCTTTATTTGTTTTCAATTATTCGAAATGTTATCATGAACATGTTTTTATATATTATTTATTTCGATAAATTTTTGATGAAATAGTTTCTTTCACAGTGAAAAGTAATGTATCACCTTTCAAAGGCCGATTCGGAAAAATTTCAGTGATCCCTTAAAATTTAGCTAGAAATTCATCAAGAGTCGTCTATATCTACTTTTTCGATTTTTTGAGAGAATGTGGAGATTTTTTTCTTTACGAAAACGAAGAAATTTAATTTTTGTTTTTCCAACTTTCGTCTTTTTATCTGATAGAAATGCTGATTCAGCAATCACAAGTTATTTTGCATATCTCATTTTTCGTGCAGATAAAACATATCTCGAAATAAACATAGAACGAAAGATCCTCGATGATCTTGTCAGAGATTTTTGGTCTTATCTTGTGGGAAATGCCTCATAGATATCTTTGAACTTTTTCATTGCGCAAAAGGATTTTTCTGATGAAATCTCTCCATAAATAATATCAATATTGGCTGTTTGAACCCCATAATGGAGTTAGAAAAATGCTTTTAGGAACATTACGCCCACAAAGCAAAGGGTGCTCTCTCAGCCTGACGTCTCCACTTCTACCACGCTATTTCGTGATCTTGCCTTTCCCGGCAAGATGCTCTGGGAACATCGTTTCACAAATATGACTGTATGTTGCACGATTTGTTCCCCTCACTTTTTTCTACCATTCTTTCTCTTTTCTCACTTTGATAAAGTAGTAAATAGAGATAGAACTACCTTGACCAGCTCTTTTTTTTCGACAAGTTGGCGCTGAATCGCTATTTTGAAGAATTTCTTCATTTGTTCCGCTTTTCCTACTAAACTCAAAAAAAAAATTACGATTAGATTTGCGATGTGATCATCTTAAACATAATCGTATTTTTTTGGTAGGTGTTCCAAGGAAAAGGTATTCAAAAACAACAAAAAAATCTGATATTGGCGATGGTGCTCCAACTTCTCCTCTTCTAAACTTATCAATACGTCAAAAAACCGAGAAGAAATAGTTAGGCTTAGAAAGCTGCTTTGTGGGATGAAAAATTATAAGAACTTTATTCAATCTATAATATCACGAGACGACGGATCAATATGAGTCACGAAACGACGCCAAGAGCCCGCAGACGATCTTGGGCCCTTCTGGCGAGGATATCGGCTGGAATGGCCCAACTCGGATCTTCCATCGCGTCGTCCATTGTGAAGACGTACCGAGGCTTTGGCAGAAAAGGAGCTTCAGGTTCATTCGTTGGGCCGGGCTGAAGTTTTTTTCTGAACTCTTGGAAAAAAATGGTTACAGAAATCCTCTAGATTTCAGGTTTTTAATGTTTTTTTTTCAAAATCTTGACCTCATTTTTGGGGGGATTTTAAATGTTTTTCTAAATAACTGAAAAAAGTGAACATCTAATTTCAGAGACGTTTCAAAAGAAAAACTTCTGAGATTCGGGCGATTGAGCGTTGTACTTCGATTTTTTTTTGAGATTCTCAAAACCGACAGAAAATTTTCGATAAGATTATAACTTGAATCAATTTACTCATTGAAAACTTGGAATAATTCCTAGTCAGCTTTCAAAATCATTTTCAATGGCTGAAAACTTAGCAAAAGGCGGATTGATCGATCACTCATTTTAAAAGGAAGCAAAAACATACCGTTGTACCAGATTGAGAAGAAATTGAAAGCCTAAATCGGGTTCGGAAGAAGTTGAAGCAAGAAAAGCAGAAGACCATTTTCTGAGGAAATTCCTGCTGGATTTGCGAAAAATGACAGATTTTCTTGTTATTTTTATCAACATCGCTGTAGACAGTGACTCATCAAGTAAATTTTTTTTTCGCATAAACAAATCTTTTGAAGGCAATAAAATCTATAAATAATGGGGGAGAAGAACATTTAGGCATTGTAGCAGCACATTCCTTGTTCACAAGAATGAAGGGTTGGACAGTCCGAATCTTCGGCACAAGGACCGACCGGCTTGAGGCCCGAGAAGCATCTCTGAACATTTTCCATAGGAGTCTTGTTTCCATGATCAACTACAACTTTGTACTCGTTGACCTCGACGACGGGAGTTACAGTGACCAGCGGAGGCTCAGTAGTTATGGTCGACTTGGCCTGTTCGACGAGTCTGTTCCATTCCAGTATTTCTTCTTCGTCTATCTGAAAGAAACAAAATTTCTCAAGCTTGATTTGAAAATCGGAAAAAAAAAACACAAAAACAGTTTTATAGGTCACCACTTCGTGCCAGACTTGGTGTTCTAGCAAAAAATCGGTTTTACATTTTTCAATTTCTATAATTGGTGATTAAACCACGCTGACTCCAAAATTAATGACGCAAGTTTTTTTTTTTAAATTGTCTATCGATAACGTTTCTATGTTTTCTTTCTTTCAAAGATTTTTCATGCCCTAAATATGGGAAAGGTGATAAATTGGGATAGGTGTTAGGGTGCTCCATGAACTCCATGTCGTTCTAAAAGCGCGTGTTTAAAAGTTTTGAAATTTTTTATATTTCTTTTACTGCCCATGTGCTATTTTTTTCGCAAGTTTACCAGAATATATTTGAGAAAGTCATTGGTATTAAAGAACATCATTTCGAAGTTGAACAAATGTACTGCACGGTCTAGTGATTCATGCAGGTACGGTTCGAAAAAGTCCAGAAAATAAATCTCGAACCTGATCTCCTGTCTGCTCTTTGGTCGTCGCTTCTGGAGTCTCAGTTGTAGATCTGAAATGTTTCGGTGGTCTTTTTGTTGCCTGAAACGCAGCGTTGATTTCATTCTAGGTGCGAACTCAGCACCTCTCCATCGATCATTTCAATCTCAACTGTGGCGATTTTCCTGGTGGGTGTCGCCGAAGTTGTCGAGATCATCCCGAGAAAAGGCGTCGTACAGCAAGCTCCATGGGTGCAGGTTCCGCCGAGAGCCACGCAAATCGAGTCTTTTTCCAGTCGGCATTGGCCTAGAGAAAAGAAAGATTTTGTAGATTCCCTTTGAGTTGGAACCCTGGTACGCAGTACCCTGCAAGAGATACAAAACTTAACGTTTTATCATAACTTTTTTGTAGGTCGTTCAACCCTTTTGAAATTTCGTGAGATTGTGAGCTTCTCATAATAAGAAAAGTGACTCTTTATTTTCAAGAATCGAAATAAAAAAGTGAGGCAAGGCGTTCAAACAGATTTCATTGTGATTTTAGCCGTTATCATAAATTTCTTTTTCGAGGTGCGTAAAAGTTAAAGAGCATTGATTAAGGTCCAAAACAAAAAGACTTTCAGGTCATTCAAAGCTACTGCTCCTTTAAATAATACAGCAAAAACTTTGAAACAGACACATTATCTTATTTCGCATTGGAGCTTTGCTCAAGTCGGTATATGTCAAGGGACAAAGTTTATTCACTAGAATCGCTATTTTTTAATTTGAAAAGTTGATTCAAAAAGGTTTTTGGGTTATTCGGAAAATCCTGAAAGATTTAACGGACCCTTAAGACGAAAAGCCGCTTTCCGTGTGATTCCAGTCATTCAAGGTTTCAAATACAGGCAGCTTTTTGAAACAAACGACAATTATTCTTATAGTGCATAGATATTTGAAGTCAGACAAACCGATATGAGCGCCGCCGTTGAGACATCGTAGAGGGCTGCCGAATCCGGTTCCCTGGCCTGGCTGAACTCATAAAATCGGAAATCAGAGCAAGAAAAAATGAGCTAATAGAATCAAGATTTGATAAACAAAGAACTATTTTCCATTTTCAAAACCATAACTCCAGAAACTTTTTTTCACTTCGTCATCGTTTCCCCTCGAGAGAAGTCTTATTTTTCGAGAGGTTCTTTGCGAAAAAGCTCAGAAAACCAAACCTCGATCGACAAAAAAGACAAATTTTTCTCAAAAATCATACTCGCAGTTTCCCTTCGATCTCGTTTTTCATCAAGAGAAAGCTTAATTTTTAGAGAATGTTTTTGAAACTCACATGATGATCTCCGTTCCAGCCATTCCAACTGCGGCCGGTCCAAAGCCCGTAAGCAGTTGGATAACCGATCGCCAAGTTATTGTTCGGAGGGGCTGGAGGTCCTCCTTGTCCATATGCTACGAAATGTTATTCAGACAAATTTCAAAAAAATAACTGATTTTTGTGACTATGAAAGAAAAAAAATTTGACTCTGTGAAGATGACTCTATTATTTGGAAATTTCTCTCGTAATCAGCGTTCAAAGTTTTTTTAAACGAACAAAATCGTGAAAAAATATTTTTCATACTGTTTCAGGTTTACTTGTTTAAAAATGAAATAGATTTAATTTCGCAAAGAGAAACGATTCTACGTGCAAAGCAAAACATTTTACAGAATTTCTTTTGAAATTGTTTTCGGACTGGTCTTCTTCTTCATCTATTCTAATACACTGCGACCCATAATTATAGACCCACCCTAATTTCTCCGATTTTAAGAAAGATTGAAAAACTTTTCAACTGGGTGATTGATAATTATATTATGATTATGTTCCTTATCAACAAGGTTTATCACAAAAAAAGTTTGGTGGCTGAAAGTTTTTCAATCTTTCTTAAAATCGGAGAAATTAGGGTGGGTCTGTAATTATGGGTCGCAGTGTATAAAGAAACTAAGTTTGAAAAATCTTACGATGGAAAGGTCCCCACTGCGCCGATGCCAAGGTTGCCAAGAACCCCGAGAGCACCAAGATCCGGAGGATCATCCGCTCTGAATCGTTTTGAATTTTTTCGAAAAAAAAATTAACGCAAACCTAGAAAAAAGGGCAAAGACCACGAAAGATGTGGCCGAAAATTGACCAGGGGGCCTAAAAACCGGCCTCTTTGATTAATTTATTTGCCGCGACTTAACCAGCACAATTCTCCAAACAAAAGACGCGAGCAAATATCTGTGGTTTCCGGGCAAATTTTCCTTATGTTAATAATTTCTGCGCTCCTTAACAATATCATATGAAGTGTCTTGAGGAATCGATTCATTAAAGTCAGGAAAATTGAGTCTTGAAACGAATGTTTTTGTTCAGCATCGCCCTGCATCTTCAAAATTGCTCAAGATCTACTTATATCGTTTTAATCTACGAGAAAAGGGGTGAATAATGAACAGTTCATTCAATAAGGCGAGAACGAAAAGTTAACCAGAAATAGATTAACAAATTGAAAAACGAAAAAAATTGTTTAGACCCGTATTTGAAGAACAAACGTAGAAAGGAAAAAAAGTTAGCCAGCATATTATATCAAAAATCAATTTAAAAAAAAAGATAAAATGTATATATATTAATTATTATAGCACAGAAAATACACTAAAAAAATAACTAATCAAAAAGACAATTTTCTCGATCCAAACAGCTTGCGACCAGCTTCAACAACCTTTTCTCCTAAAAAGATTTCAACTTAATTTCAGTTTTTAAAATATAAAAAAAACCTCGCAATTTTTATTCTGTGGGAGGATTCCGTAATGAGTGGCAACTCTGGATTTGGCGCAAGACGAAACTCGTTGCAAAAGTCGAGTAATGCAATCAGTAAGGGATGGGAACACCTGAAACGTACCAATTGACCATTGTTGACCGATCTATTTCTTTTCTAAAAGCTAGAGAATGCAGGTTTCCATTTTGAGGTGTTTCGAAAAGAAAAACCAATTCATGAAAAGGTATACTCGGCTCAAAACGTTCCTAGATTTTCTAAATGTCGAGAAGCCTTTGTTGAGTTGAAGAAATTGTATCAAACAAAACCCTCCCCCCTTTTTTCGCACTTATTCGTTCGAAAATCCGTGTAAAATCTTCACTCGAAGTGGTCGCTCTCATTCTGAGGCTCCCACCTAGAGCACGGTTTCCGGGCTCCAGCTACAAAATCCGCTACATTCTGAGCTCGTCAAGGCGCAACTGGATGGACTACGCGCAGAAGCACGGGGCGAAGGACCGTATGACCATGCTTTCAACTCTTTCGACTACACGTTTGGACTTCTAGTTCGCCAAAGGCGGTTGTTCGTTATAGCTTTTAAAGTTCTTGTTCACCGCCTAGTCGATTACATCAGACTAAAACAACAAAACAAATGATTTGATGTTGATTGATTTGAAAACGCTTTTCGATCCATTATTTCCCTTATGTTTCCGTCAAAAAATTCTCATAGCAATCGCGAACCACCGAAACATCAGAAAGTGCAGGAACGAGATGTTTCCAAAATTTGTAGGCAGCCGGCAATTCCCCGTACTTGTGCAGGGTGTTGACGACGTCGATCGTCATCCTCACAACGTCCAAACTTTCTTGTATCCGGTACTGTAAATTGAACGAATCTTGATTCAAAGCTTGTAGATTAGAACGAACATCTAGGGTCATGACTAGAAAACTAAAATTTTAGATTTTAAAGGTTAAGACATTTTTATAGTAATCCGTGGATAAAAATATCAATCTGAAAAATATTAATTTTTTTATTTTTTTCCGATTTTTTTGGACTTCAAGTTTGGATTCTCACCACATCATTATTTATAGCAGATTATTTTTTGCCAGCTTTAAAGGTGCAGCAATGTGGAATATTTTCTTTCACGGGCGACATTTTCCACATTCGCTTTCCCATCCAATTGACCTTTCTGGCAAGTTCGGCAACCAGGACAACCGTGAAGATCCTTCTCTCAATGTTGGGCAAAGTGAGCATCTCCTGGACGTAGGCCATCGCGACGAACATCGACGGAACGCCTTCGACCACGGCGCGCAGTTGCCGGACCGGAAAAGCCTGGAATCAAGTCATAGAAGAAGCTGTGCTGGTCTGTTATGGACCTGGAACAGAACGACTTTCATCAAGCCCTCGTGGTCGATGAACAGCCGATGGATGTATTCGAAAGCGATTTTCGCGATTTCTTCTCGATTTGCCTTCGCCGTGTAGTCGGACTCATCTTGAAAAATACGAATATCTTCAAAAGAAATTTTTGAACAAGGAGAAGAAACTCATCTCTTTTTTTCTTTAATTCTGAATTTTTATTGAAAAAAATACACCATTTTTCAGTTTCTTTTTTGTAGCTCTTTCCTTCTGGTATAATCAGTTTGCCGCGATTTGAAAGTTTTCGAGTTTCTCGCCGAGAGACGAGGAGAGTGTAAAGAAAAACAGCAGTTTCAAACAGCGAAAAACGAACATAAAGAACTTTCGGAAGCTAGTTTTCGGTTAGCATCCCTTCCTGTTCTTCTTCAATTTCAAAACCAACCATCGCCCATCCGTCGAGAATCGGCCACTTCGATGAGAGCTTGAACAGTGACAGTCTGCTGAGAATCTGCATAGGCATGGGCGAGAAGTTCATTTTCTTTTCGATCGTGATCCCTGAAGTCGATTTTTTTGCTATTAGTTGTTTTTTTCTTTCTCAAAAAAATTTTTAGCTGATTTTCGTTAACCATTTTCTCAATCATTAGTTTTAAACTTGCTATATATATATATACTGCCCTCGCCGCAACTTGAAAGTTTTCGAGTGTCTGCGTCTATCTGTTCCCTCATCGGCGAGGTCAAAATAAGCAAGGAAACATGAGAGGGTGTCCGAGAGACAAGAAGAGCGCTGAGAAAACAACAGTCACGAGAAACGAAGTAAATTGGAAGGAAAAAATTGTCTTTTATTCAAAAGTTTCAGGGAGTTTAATGTCATCCTTTCACTATGAGAAGTGGTATTTGAAATTTTTCTTTTTACAACGGCTTCTTGTCTCGATTTTTCGGAGAACATTGTTTTCCAACCCCATTTTAATGTGTTTTCCGATCTTTCTATGACTGACGGCATGTGCTGAAGAGTCTTGGACATCAACATCATCCTGACGCGATGATTCCATCTGCAGGCCGTCGAGAAGAATCGCAGGGTGTTGACGAAACAGAAAAAGTGCGGTGGAGAGTTGAGAATCCGTCTTAAATATTGTTTAAAAGCTCGACAGCAACTGCAAATTCATGCGGAATTGAAGCTAGACTTGAAAAAAGAAACTCAAAAACTTGCTTTCTGTCTCGAAATTGCTTTTTTATAAGAGACGCGATTTTTTTTTTTCAAATCATCAGCTCAAGTTTTCATGGTTTTCCAACATACTTATCACATCGGAAAAGCAACGCCGGTATCTTGTAGACATTCGAAAAATTGGCCCCATCTTTCTCCAGCCAAGCGTTCGTCGCTGACTGAAAAAGTAGGTCATTTTTCTTTCCATTTTTGTGAAAACTTCGAAAAGTTGATTAGGGACCAGTTCCTCGAAACGAGCAAAAAGTTGCACAATGAGTCGAGTGAAACGAATCGGAGTTCTCGGTTCCAGAGACTTCATGAAAGCTTCAATGATAATCGGTAGCAGGCGCAACTGAAAAAAATAGCTTTTTATTTGAGATACAGGTTTTTCGGTTAGGAAACCTGATCAGAAAATGGAGCGGCGTCAATATGCTTCAAATAATTGTAAGCCGCATTTTTCGAGGGTTCCAGAACGGTTGAACGGATCTGAATTAATCCAATTTGAAACACCAAAAAAAACTCTCTTAAATAAGTAGATTTAAAACATTAATTTCAAGAAAACTATTACAGGACTCACAAAATCAGAAAGATTCAAAGCCTTCGAAGGTATTTCTTTTTAGAATGATTTTCAATTTTCTTGTTTCAAACATTGTTCTTCCAATGATGCGAACCTGCTTTAATATAACTCGAAATTCAAAAATTAGATAAAGTTCACTGAAAACTCTCTCATCAGATTATACATTTTTTTTTCCAATGGTGATTATCCCTTTTCTTTTTGGGAAATCAAGGCCTCATGTTCTTTTTTGTCAATTTGATTTGTAAAAAGAAATCTGAATGCATTTCGGTAATTCGACCGTCCTTATTTTCAGCTATAGTCCGGTTACCGCGACTTGAAAGAAGAATTTCTCTTTTTTCTGACCTCGCCGGTGAGGGAACAGAGAGACGCAGACATTCGAAAACTTTCAAGTCACGCCGAATAGGCTATAGGAAACTTTCTTCTCAACCCATCACAAACGAAATGAAAAGAGTACTTTTTTGAGGACATCCTCTTTATCGAGACACTCAGCCAACGGACGTCGATCGGCCGCAGATTCCTTGGCCACTTCGATACTTTGAGGCGTCGGCATCATGTAGGGGAACCAATTACTGCACCGCAACACCTTCAATCGACTATATTACCTTTTGTTGACTAAAAAAAGTCCTTTTAGAACTACTTACAACAGGTTTTTTTCAATTCTTAAAAAAATAGATGATAATCGACAAAACGATTGCGATGCACAATTATTTGAAACCAAAACTGATGTAAAAATTTGTAAAATGAGTAGAATCCAATAAAAAGTGTTTGAGGAATTGACATTTCTTTTCCTACTTTCAAATTCTAGGACTCCGTGAAATGAAAAAAACATCTCACCAATCGATAACGGATATTCTGGAATTGCTCGTGTCGCACTTCCACCAGTGACATCAGATAACGATACGGAATTTTCGCGTAGATTTCATTGGAATATGCCTAAAATTGCGCTGTCTTGTGAAAAAAACAGGCGATTCTCACAAGATTTCTCTGATTTCCAGCCCTTTCGACTTGTTCTCGGTAGGCGACCAAGTACAAGAGGACGTATATTCGTGACATCAAGCGTTCTTCATCCATCGAATCGCCAGAAAAGACGTCCTTCAAATATTCAGCTCATTTTTGTGATTTGTTTTTTTTTGTATCAATTGGAAATGCGAGGTTATCCGACTTTCAGGCTCCAAACTTGCAACTAACATATTTCACTTTTTCTGAGGACTCTTGCTTCCACTCATTATTTTGTATGTCAAATCCAAAAGATGATAATCAATATATGATCTGGTAAATATCAAAAGAAGAGATTTTTTTATTCCAGTAGTAGAGGCCAAAAATCTGGTTTTCACTAAACGAAAGATTTCCTCTCACTTCTGCTCATTGCGTTTTTCTTTCTTCACTTTTATTATATTTTGTGACATCTCTCAGGATATTACCACAAAAAGAATAGAGAGAAAGAGAGAGAAAATGCCTTCCTGAAGAGACTCCAAGAAGTCTTACGTCGTCTTTTCAAGCCCTTTCTGTTTTTTTTTGTCTTTTTAATCTCACTATATCGTTTAAAATCAAAAAACTGAAAAAAATATTTTCATTGAATCAATCACATGTATTTTAGAAAATCATTTTTTTCCAAAAATTTTTAGTTGAAGAAGAAAAAAATCTGAATTAAACAACCGGTGAAGTCTGATTTTTTTCTTCTCACGATTTTCAATCAAACACTCTAAATTTCAAGCAAACCTGCACAAAAGCTTGAGAGAGGCCAGCGGTTTGATAAGTCGCAGAGTTGTAAGCGAATCTGTGAAAGAACTATTTCAATCAAAAAATAAATTCAAAACTATACGTTTCAATGACATCGACTAGCATCGAATTCGCGGGGACGGCAACGCTTCGAAGCTGTCTTTCCAACCAATTCTGAAATTATTTGCAGAATAAAAACATTTGAAGAGGATAGAAACCCCGATATTCGCTTTCAGAGCTTTAAGGATACCGGCAGATTGAAGGGCAGAAATCGTGTGCAAGGGAACTCGTCCAGGACTGTTCTGGTTCAGATTCAAAGTCGTCGGTTGAGCCGTACTTCTGAAAAGTACCCAAAACTTCAATACTACGGGAGTCTTCGGACCTTCGAGCGACTTCAGCTTTGTCCAGACAATTCTCGAACAACATCTTTTTCAGGACAAGTACGTGAGGGTTCCGGAAATAAAGATCCGTCTGGAAACGACTCAAATTCAACAAATCTCTCAATTTCTGAAAAACCCTTCGCTGAAGAACGTTATTGACGTAGAGACCGAGATCGTGGAGTTTACCCGACAAAACGCACGCGTGAGCATACAGTAAAGCCCCGGCGAATGATGACTCCTCCTAGCAAAATATTACTTCACGTGGAATTTTTCTCGGAATATACTTCAGATTGGCTTGAACTCCCTTCATATTGGAAAGAAGTTCTTTTCCTGGAAGCGTCGAGCCATCGATAGACGGCCTTGTCCGGAGGAGCTACCGTCTCATTTTGACTCGTCGGATACCTAGAAAAATTCTTCTTGAGACCTTCTCAAACCAAAACTGGTAATCTGAAAGAGAAAGATAGGAGACTGTTCGATATTTGATCTCAGAAAAGTAAATGTATCTTCATCTTTTTTCTTCGTTAATTTCACACCCCATCATCGTATTATATATTATCCATCCTTTCAATCCAACAAAAACGAACTGAGTGAGAATGGGAAAGAGAATGAGAGCAGCCAAGACGACGTTCTCGTGAGTGTCCCCAAAAGGAGAAGGCTCCGAAGTTGTAGGGAAAGAACTGGAGGCCTGCAGAGGCTCATGGGCGCGGCCAAAGTCCTGGGAAGAGGCCTCGGAGTCTGCGACGACCGAGTCATTCAGGGAAAACTCGTCGAAAAGGCCGGCCGAGTCCATCGTCGATCCTTGGGACCATTCCATCGGTTCCATTCCTTTCTGGGAGCCTCCATACTCCGGTTGCAGCCCCGTTCGGAACACGAATCGCGTTATCTGTAAGTTCAGACTCCAGAGATTTCCAAATTGATTTTATATTATATTTTACCTAATTTTTTTCTTTGAATTATTTTTTTGAGCTTGTTTCGGCAGAAATTTCTGTTTTAAAGATTTTTTTCTCTCTGAGAAGGATGAAAAAAACAAGGCCTTATTGAATATGAAACATCTCAAATCCAGTAAATCCCTGAAACTTTCAGCAAAAACTCATTTACTTATAAAATGATGAAAAAAAAAATAAAAAATCAAAGGAAGAATCCGTAGTAGCCTTAAATAGTAAAATGAAGTTTTTCAAGTTTGTTCACGAATTAGGTCTTTTTATGGGTTCAATCAAATTAAAGATATTTCTCGGAGTAGAGGCAGATATAAATTTTCTGATTATTCTCCTTCACGCCAGAGAAACTGTCTGTGAGCCAAAAAAAAACGCTCTTTTGTTCCGAAATCTTTACCAAAGTGATGTCGGGCGGAGACCACTGATCAGTTGATCCCAAAATTTCGACGACGCAATTCAATAGACGCGAGGAAAATACTGGGGTGGAAAGTCCTGCCAACAACGTTTCCGGCGGACTGAAATAGAAGAAAAGTGTTGATCAAAATTGCTTTGTTTCAACTTATACCGGCTAATTAGATCCCTGACAACTTTTAGCAATCGGCGAACAATCGGCGGCAGAACTTGTCGAACTCCATTTCTTGTGATCAAAAGACAGAGCTCGGAATCTTGAAAAGCGCTTCGTTTACACTGTTGATGGAAAGGAAAAGCTTCGAAAAACCTCGATTTATAAAATGCGGCTCGATAACATTGACAAATTCGAAGTCGTTCAACGCATCTGTGGCAACTTTACACCCCAGTTTGCAATCTCTTAACTTCTTGTTGGAATTTAAACGAAAAAAAAATTAAAGTTTTACGTTCGGCTGTTCAGCAACTGGTTGAGCACTGAACTCAAGCAAGAAGGGTTCAGCTCGATCAACTGCAAAAATATCCTCTTTTTGATGAGGGCTTGTTTGAATTTCAAAAAAACTCTTACACGATGTTTCGTACTTACAAAGAGTGAAGTTCAAGCGGCATTTTTCAAGATCTCAATGAATGTAGAGATCGAAAAAATAAAAATGCAACTTCTCTCTCTCTCTCAAAATCTAACCTAAACCTTCCTCAAAACGCATGAAATACAATTTCTTCACATTTTCAAATTTACGTGGTGAGTGCAAGTGGGTATCGTTTAGAAACAGAAGAAAAAGAAAGAAATAATTTTGAATCGACTTTTATTATGAAATTAATCCAATTCATATTATTTATATCTTTCTGGTGGAGATGACTACCTTTCTGATCATATCCTCCCTGAATTTTGTTGTTCCCGGCGCAAACCAACTGCGACTGAGCACGGAGTTCAAAAAAACGTAGAAAAAGTTCTGGCATTTGGCGCAACATCTGTTTGAAAAACTTATTAAAGATAAACAGCTTTTTTTAAGCTATAACGCTACTTTGTCCCTGCGCTTTTCAGAAGTTATTTCTGAAAGGTTCAAGTTAAAAGAAAGAACTTCATAAATTATATACAGTGCGCGTCATAAGTATAGGACCTCCCCCTCCCCAAAATGCCCATTTCTAGAAGTTAGAAAGAATTTGAGGATATCCTGTCAGCGTACGAATGTTGAGGGTACCCAAAGAACTTACTGTGCAAAAGATCTCAAATAAACTCGAGTCTATACGGAAACGCGAGTGAAATAACAAAAGTATAGGAAAGTGCACTCCACAATTGTACACTGACAGGATATCCTCAACTTCTTTCTAACTTCTAGAAATGGGAATTTCATGGGGGTGGTCCTATACTTATGACGCGCACTGTAGTCTAAATTAAACTTCCGGCTTTTTTTCTTTTTTCTTCAAATTTTTTCAAGCCATATAATTGGCGGTTTTTTTTAGTGAAACAAGATGAAACGCACTTCGAGCATGACCACAGGACCACTCGGGACGAGAAGAGAAGTCACGACTTCCTCAACAGTCAGGAGCCCCGGCATGAACGACAGAACCACGACTAGAAGCTCGGCTTTTTCGCTGACTGCCGAGATTTCGATCCAAGGCTCTGGCTGGACCAGAGACGTCGTCTCGGGGTCCGCGCTCACTGAAGAATTTGCCTTCATTTTCATTTTTTCAGTTTTTTTCAAACTTTTCTTAACGATACGGCAAAGATTGACGACGCCTGTGGCCAATTTCTGGGCTTCGGAATGTTTCTGAGTTTCTCCGAACACTGGATCGCACTCGTCGATAAAACCACTTGGTTTCATGTCAACCTCCATAGGTTCTGAAAATGGGATTTATAATGTATTTGATTTGTTTATGGATGATGTATTAGAAAACATCCTTTCTCAAAGTTTACCTTCGTGAAAAAGCGAATCCGACGTGGATGCCCTTGGTTCTGCGACTTTTCTTGCTACTGGCGCCTGTGCCGTTTTCTCCTTCATCGTTTTTTGGAACCTCACTACTTTATTCGACTTTGGCTCTTCTTTGTGCAAAGTTCCCATCTCTCCATGTTTATTAGTACTCAAATTAGTTGCGGGGAGAAGTGCTTAACTTTTCTTTTTTCTTTCAATTTTAAAGATACCAAAAAAACGTTTTGTTGCCTTTGCTGCGACTTGTTTTTTTCTCGATATCTGTACTTCACGGCCAGAAGTTATTGTCCGCTCAAGACCAGCCCAATTTATTTGAGAGTAGGGCAAGTTTTCCAGGCGACATGGATCGGAAATGGATACGAGCGGAACCAATAAATCATCCTTGAATATTATAATTTTCATGGATACAAAAAACTTTCTAAACTGGAATGTCGCTGTTCGAGGTCGCAACGCCCGATTGAAGCGCCGCAATTTCGTAAAAATCTTTCAAAGGAGCTAAGAAATTTGCATCTTCCTGGAAAAACTTAATTTCGATTTTGAGAAAAAAAAAATAAAAAATTACTCTGTCCGAGTTGTTGAGAGAATCCCCCAATAATTGTAGATAAGCGTTGCGACCCAAGTTCGAACACATTTCGACTGGAAAACCCATACTAATTAGAGAAAAATCCGAAAAATCCGAAGAAAAAACAAAGGTTTGAAAAAAAAAATTATGAAAGTTTCGATGGGGCGCACGTTCTCACTTGTTCCCAGGGAGGTTCTTGTGTCCGAATGCTCCTGGAAAGCCCAAAAATAAATAATTTTTTTATAAGGTAATAACGGTATTTCAACAACTATTTATGCTCAAGATGATTTTCTCAGTGCGAGAAAATCCTAAACAGTTCAAAAATAACTAAAATAAAATTCTAAATAGTTCAAAAATAACTAGAATAGCTGAAAAACTGTCTTTTTGTCGACATGACATCATCGAATTCTAAACATTTCAAAAATTTCAAAATCTTCAACACCCCGGTTTTGGAGATTAGATGTTTGAAGTTCTCCAAACATATTTTTTCATGGGAACCGAATAACCCACCGAGCAAGTTTTTATCCCCTTCCGCGTACCGATCATAAAGCTGACACCGCATTCCTGTATTGGCTTGTGGCCGAATCGTTACGTAACACGGTGTGGGAAAATAAGAGTTTTATCCCCTCAAGGACAAGTCGTTAAGATTGACTTTCTTGGCTTTAAAAAAACTTAGAAAAAAATAAAAACTATAAAATATCATTTCTGGGAGACTGGAAAAAAAAATTAGGCAAAGGAGAAAGCTTTTTTTTTTTGAAACCTTGTGGAAGTTCGTGGTTCCTGATGATGAATTCAACATCTGACTTTTTGTAGATACAGTTTTTTCGAGAACTTTCACTAAAAATCTGAAGACAAAATAGACCAGCTCATCTAAATATAGCTCTGAAAACTTTCTTGTAGACTTTCTAGGATATTTTTATACTTCTTCGAAAACAAAAACAAGGTTTTGATAACAAATGGCAGTGTTTTTGATGAGAAATACAATTCTTTATTTTTTTTTTTAAAGGAATGTTAGTTGGTAAAACTATATTGTCTTTCGAAAGATCAGTTTGGAGTAATCCGAGGTTTTGGACGTTAGTAACTTTTGTAGAGCTTCACGAAACTCGACGAAAAAATTATTTCAACGCAATGTCCTTCAAGATGTCTTCGCTCGAAATCGCAAGCGAATAAATAAGTTAATTAAGGACAAAATCGGCAGCTTTTTATGCGGTACGTCGCCACTTGTCGGCTGTTGTGTAACACTTGCCTGCCGAGTGTCTTTTTCGATGCCTTTGTAAGGCGTTTTCACTTGGGCGAGGTTTTTGCCACGGCTGCGAGCCGTTGTGTGTTATGAACACCCCAAAAGATTTTTCTCCTCGTTTTCAAAAGCAAAAAGAGAAAAGATGGAACGTCCAGATGAACACAATGACACTTGAAGTGCATTATGAAGGTTTCAAACTCCGTTCAAAGTTTCTGACCCAACAAATTCGAACGAATCAAACGGTTACAGACATTATAAAAAGAACCGGAGGGCAAATCTGTGATAAGCGTCTGTAAAAAAAGAACACTTTCGAAAGGTATCACAACCTGCAGAAAAATTTAGAAATTTCAAAAAATTGTTTTTACTGAGCAAATAAAAAAAAATGAGTGTCAAGCCTCCTACAAACAGAAGAATTTCGAAGATAAGGTTTGAGTTTTTCTCAATTCCCATAACTTCCATAAACATGTTTATTTTGAGCGAGTCAAGTTTCTCCAAAAGCGAGTCTCTTCAAAAATTTTCAACTTTGACAATAGTTGGATTAAAAATCAAGATGTTTGCGGCGCGCCGTAGCGCAACAGGTTGTGTGCTTGTCTATGGTCCAAAGGGTCACAAGTTCGGCTCCGCCTAGACATAACCAAGGTGTTCGAGAAATTTTTGGAGGAGAAGCACGGCTACCAAAATCCGCAGCCCGACGCCGCTCAAGTGATAAAAAGGCGCTGGAAGAAGAATAAACATCAAGATTTGAAATTTGACTCGAAAAGTCAAGCTTTCGCAAGAAATGTCAACGCGCCGCGGTCGCGACGCAGTTATTATAAACTTAGGCGATTTTTAATGGATCTTATTTATTTGCCCTAACCAGTCTTGTGCGGGGCCGGCCCGTCAACCTCTCGGCCCCCCGGCCACTTCCCAAGCCCAGAAAAGTGGTATTTTGGTTTATTTTTTTCTCATACAGTTATTAGAAACTATGATTCAACGAGTAAAAATAATTTTTGCGTGAAATTTTTTTAAAATGAAAATTAAGATTTCTTTCGAAGCCCGGCCTGGCCCGAGCCCAGGCAGGCTTTTTTTAAATTTTAGGTCCAAAGCCCGGGCCAGGCCGGCCCGGGCCGCCCGGCCTGACGCACAAGCCTGGCCCTAACCAAATGTTGGTCGAAGTAAACGATCCCTTTTGGAGTGAAAGCGCTACGTTAATTATAATTAATATGTGTTTGGCTGTTTTCCAAGAGGAAATTACGGGACCGGATCGAACGAGAAGATCGCATCAACGCATTTTCTTCTGCCGTTCTATGGGTTCAAAAACAAAAAAAGCTTGAAAAAGACGAAACTCCAACAAAAACCTCTCTCCCCACATTTTTCTCTCTCCAAACTGAATGAACAAAAATGCACCGAAACATTTTTTTTTTTCAAGGAGAATGTCCTCTCGCCTTCTCAAAAGTGCTTCCGTCGGTCCACTTGGCAACTTTCCAACACTCGCCTAATTGGCGACCATTTCTTTGTCATTTTTTTCCGGTGCCATTAAAAACGGCCAGAAAACCACCGGGCTACGACAGCGAAAAGAATGAAGAATTTGAATTGTCGCCAAAAACGAAGATGGCTAGTTTTTTGGCTTTTATGAAGCGCAACACTACTCAAATGTGATGCAGAAAAAAACAACATTTCTGATCTATTTTTAGAGGTAAGAAGATAGATTGGGCTGCTCAAAGAGATAATTATTCAAAAAGAGGAAATGAAAAGAAAAATGGCAGACTTTCAATATTAGTCCGAATTTAGAGTGTAATAAAATGGAAAAACTTTCAAGCCACCCTTTTTTTGCGACGATCTCTCAATACTCATGACCTTTTTCAAAAAAACAATTTTTTTAAAAGGAATTTATCACTAAAATACTTTCAGGTCCACGAGCACAAGTTTGTTTCGGTCGGGCGCATTTTCAAGCGATTCTCTTCATTTTGCACGTCTTCCATGATCAAACAGATGGCATGGAATAGCAACTTCATAATTGAAAAAACAGAAAAAGACGGGAAAATCTACATGCCCGAATCTAGACTGAAAAGATCTTCTTTGCCACAAAAAACTCAATTAAAATTATACTTGTTTCTTCAAAAGCACTATGAAGTGTTCAGTTGGAAAAATCTTTGGACCCTCATCTTTCTGAACTGAATCTTCAAAATAGTTAAGAAAGCTAGAGTGGTCCCTAGAGGGGTTAGGGAAATAAGGTCTTATAGGGGAAAAAGTAGTGCTTTCTAGACGTCGGAAATTTAGGTGGTCTTTCAATTTTTCATGACTTGAAAATTAAAAAGACACTGTGGATGAAATTTGATCGAGTAAACCTTTAAAAAAGTTTTTTTAAATCAAAATAACGCTAGTTTATCGAGTTTTACGCAATGTAATGCCTCCTCTCATGAAGTTACAATAAAAACAAGAATAAACGACTGATGATCCTTTAGAGTGGCCCCTGTAGGGGAAGGTAAAGTAGTCCCAAGAGTGAGAGCTTGAAGGGCCCCAAGGCTGCCCCTTTAGAGACCACTCTGGCGTTCCTAAGAACTCATAATTGATGATCTAATAAGATCCCCATCTCTGTAACATGTGTGCAGCTACATTACAATTGTCAAAAAGAAGCTGTGGGCGTCTTGCAGAGAGATTGAAGGTGGATCAGATACTCGTCGCATATAAAAGCCTTCCAGCGGCACCTGGTCTCCCGTCGTGACTGTCCTTGGACTTTCCCTTGCCACTTTTGCCATCGGACCTCTCCTTCCGTTTCAGTCCAAGCTTCGACAAAGTTAAATAAAAAAGTCTATTCACAGTCAGCTTTTTTTATTATTTTTTTTAAAGAACTTTTATTTTTTGGACGTAAAGTAACATATGTTACTTCACGCTCTCCCAAAACAGAAACCACTGCTTCAACACATTTTTGCTTTTGAGATCATAAGGCTTTATTCGTGCCATCATTTCTTTATTCTTTTGTTTTCTCATGTTATCTTCACTTCACATGATATTTCAGGATGCGTGTTCTTCTCCTGACGGCCCTCTTCGGCTCGGCTTCTGCCTTCTTGTTCCCAGGCCTCGGCGGAGGCGGCGGTTGCTGGTCAGTCCAGAATCTCGTTTTCATTTCTTTAAATTTTACTATTTAAGAAAATAATGAAAAAAAGTTGAATTTTTGGAATGCAAAACTACTGAAATAGCCTTCTTTTTCCGAGTTTTCAGGTTGTTTAGGACCATGAAAATTTTATTGCGAAAAATCATTCATTCAGCGAATATTTTCGAATTTTCGAAGTTATATTTTTGTCTTTTTATAAAAGAAAAAGTTTTGAATCTTGTTGGAAACGTACCAAAATATTGGAAAAAAAGTCTCTTCGATTTTAAATATTCCAATTTACGAAAGCAAATTAAATAGTTACATATTTTAAAAGTAGTTCTCTTTCAGCGGAGCTCCCCCACCGCCACCTTGCGGAGGAGGCTGCGCTCCTCCTATTCCTGCGCCAGCTCCTTGCGGCGGCGCTGCGATCGGAGGCTGCGGAGGCGGCGGCGGCTATGCTGGTCCAGCACCTGGAGGTTACGCTGTCCCACCGCCACCACCTCCACCAGCTCCTCTTGGAGGCGGATACGGAGGTTCGATCGGCGGCGGCGGCGCTTACGCTTCTCCATCCATCGGAGGTGGATTTGGCGGTCAACAGTTCGGAGGTGCTGGCGGTTCTTACGCTGCTCCTGCTATTGGAGGAGGAGGTCTCGGCGGAGGATCGTATGCTGGAGCTGGACCAGCTATTGGAGGAGGAAGCCTCGGCGGAGGATCGTACGCTGGAGCTGGACCAGCTATCGGAGGAGGAGGTCTCGGCGGAGGTTCGTACGCTGGAGCTGGACAGGGATCTGGACTCGGAAGTCTTTCTCTTGGAGGCGGTTCTTACGCCGGAGCCGGTCAAGGATCTGGATTCGGCGGTCAGCAACAAGGAGGTTCTTATGCCGGAGCTGGAGCTGGACCGGCTCTCGGAGGAGGATCGTACGCTGGAGCTGGACCAGCTATTGGTGGAGGAAGCCTTGGAGGAGGATCGTACGCCGGTGCTGGACAAGGTTCTGGATTCGGTGGACAACAACAAGGAGGTTCTTACGCTGGAGCCGGTCAAGGAGCTGGATTTGGAGGTCAGCAACAAGGAGGTTCTTATGCCGGAGCTGGCCATGGAGCTGGATTCGGAGGTCAGCAGCAAGGAGGTTCTTACGCTGGAGCCGGTCAAGGAGCTGGATTTGGAGGTCAGCAACAAGGAGGTTCTTACGCTGGAGCCGGAGCTGGACCAGCTATCGGAGGCGTTTCTTACGCTGGAGCTGGTCAAGGAGCTGGGTTCGGAGGCCAACAGCAAGGTGGAAACTACGCTGGAGCTGGACAAGGGGGACAGGCTGTCTTCGGCGGGCAGCAGCAAGGTGCTTCTTATGCTGGAGCTGGACAAGGCGGTCAGGCCGTCTTCGGAGGACAGCAGCAAGGTGGAAGCTACGGTGGACAAGGAGCCACTGCCGGCGGAGGCTTCGGAGCCAGCGGCTACTCTGGTTCCGCTGCTCCAGCTGGTGGTTATTCTGGAGCTCCTGCTCCAGTTGTCGGCGGAGGTCAGACTGCTCCAGCTGCCCCAGCTTCCTATGGAGAGACCCCTGGCGCCGTTCAGACCCAACAAGAGGTTTGTAGTCTGTCAAAAAAAAAACAATCAAAATTTTTACTTCAGATCGCTCCTCAACCCCAGGTTTCTGAGACTCAACAGAGCACCTCCAACGCTGGAGTAAGATTAATATTTTCCTCTAAGCAAATGATCGATCAATTTTTAGACTGACTACGGAAGCCAGGCCGAAACCGCTGTCGAAAGCTCGGCGACCAGCGGATCCGACTATTTCCGCCGCCACATCAAGAAGACGGCCAAGGTCTAAGCCGTTCTTTCGGCTTTCTCATATCTGTTTGTATTATATTGCGGACGTTCGAATCTCAGTGATTTTTGGCATTGAATATGCTCTTGTTTTCGTATTTGGGAGATATAAATGATTTTTTTTTTTTCAAACTTTTTGAGTTGACACCATCAAATCATGCTTGAAGATCGGGTTCACAATGCTTCAAGCGTTCAAGAAGTATGCGGATTTACAGACTTCGAAGGATTTTCAATAGGTTTTAGCAAATAAGCTAAAAAAATAAGAATTCCGTGTATTTTCTTCACTCGAAGGGGCAGCTCTCTCACTTCAGTCGGCCGAGGCTGCCCTATAGTGTACACGGCGTCCGTGCCCGAGCACCACCATCACCGCCGTACCGTACTCGCGAAACTGAGGGATCTAATTATGGAAGAACGAGACGAATGACGTAAAACCATCTTTTCCATTCAATCGACTACACGTTTTGACTTCTTTTTCGCCCAAGGCGGTGTTAGTGCCGCTCAAAAGAGCAATTTTTTCACCGCCTAGTCAATTCCATCTGACTAAAAAAACCAATAAATATTGATCCATTGATTAATTTAAAAATATCCTCAAGTTTTGTAAAATCCTCTTTGACGACGTATATGCGTTATGCTGAGGTCTTTGCTTCCACTACTTCCTATTTTTGGGGGAAAAAAAACATTTCAGCTCGGTTTTTTTATATTAAACTGAAAACTGTAAATTAAGATCTGCCATCTGAAAGAGAACCAGTTATTCGGATTGCGATTTCCAGAAAAAAATAACCTAGTACAGTACCAACACGGTACAAAATTTCAACCCATTACTCCTTGCGCAGAAAATCCAACTTGGAATGCTCTCCCCAATGAGAAAAAATGAAGGGGAACCACCTTAACAAAAATGCGCGGTTCGTTGGACATGGAAGGAAACCAAAATTTGCCCGTTTTTTGGAACAACCTGTCCCATAAATTCTTCTCTGACAATTTTGAGAGCGACGTGCTATTCAACGCCTAACAACGACCTCAAATTAGCCTTTCAACCAAAAAAATGTCGTTTAAAAATGCTTCTATAGCAGAAATTTCGTTTGGTCTGATTGATTCTCGGAATTTTCCATGAAACTTGTTTGAACCGCAAAAATCTGTGAGCATTTCTTTGGGGATCAAATTCATATGAAGCGTTTTGAGTATAGCCTTTAAAAAAAAAATAGAAAGCATCTTTACCGAAGCAGGAACCGATTGCAACTTCTTTTTGCAACGTTCCGAACATGCTTTGCGAGTTTCAAGTGGCTTCTTCCACTGCGTTGCTTATTAAAAAAAGAAGTACGAACACTTGTGTGTTGTTATTTTTCGAAAAAAAAAGTCTTCATTTGAGAAACTGTAATGCGGTTTCTCTAGTAGATCTTTACAGTGAAATAAAAAGTTATATAATAAGCTGGTAATGAGGCAAAAAAATGGTTTAAAAACAAGTCACGACATAGGAAATCTTTTGAACTATTTTCTGTCTAAACTTGAAAAAAATTCTAAATATTTTTAAATCAAAAAGAGAACTTTATAAAGTTTTCATTCATTTTAATCTAATTATTCCAAATTAATGAAAACTTTATAAAGTTCAAAAAAAGGAAGTTTTTTTAAACTTTATTTTTAATCTTTTTGGTAAATTTTAGACATTCTTTCTCAAACAAAAGACTGATATTCTTATGGAAAATAGTTGGCTTTTCTGCCAATGAACGGAGTAAACAAACTAGACAGAAAACTAGAAAGTTTCGAGGTGTTCGAGAAATTCTTCTCCGGTGGCCTTGACGCGTAAACCGCGAGAATCAACGCTTCAGCTAATATGTGGGTTCATATTTAAAACAGCATAGTGAGGAACGACCTCCATTTGAAAGGGAAAAGGTCGCGTGGACCGGAAAGTCCCAAGGCTCGAGAATCGCCGTGGGAGCCACCCAAACAAAAAAGAACTGAAGGTCAGAGGTCGGCCTTGAAACTTTCGAGATCACAAAACATCTCAAGAGGTGACGCCGCCAACAAATTGAGGTTCCTCACCACACGTGGTTCTCTCAAACATCATCGGAGAGTGTGAAATGAGGCTAATCATACTCAAAAGCAGAGGAACGGAAAGGCTGCTTTTGGCATGGCAGCCAGGCCATTGATACAGAAATTTTCCAGGGCGTTACGTGGTCTTTTGGTCGAGTACGTGGCGATAACGCCCTGAAAATTCCCAATTTTGACATTTTAATTTTTTTTGTTTTCTCAAATTTTTTTAAATTTCTCTAACATACTGTAACAAAAAGGATAATCAAGGTAAATTTTCAATCACAGAAGATATATTTGGGCGCAAAAAAAGTTCTATTTGGAGTTTTTTTCGTGTAAGAAACTCATATTATCTTCTATTTTTCCGAAATTTTTGAAAAAAATCGGGGGAATAAAATAAAAAAATCTGCAAAAATTTTGAATGGCGACTTTTCCGATTTTTTTCATGTCGCTAGAGAACTTTCCGACTGCAAAGTTTCCGACTAAATTTTTTTCCGACTTTTTCTAGATAAAAATCTCGGTTTTGAATCTTCCTATGTAAAGTGATCAAGTTTAAAACTGTTTATTGCATCTTCAATGTAAGAGTACATGTGCAATCGACTTTCATTGATTTAACTGTGTTTAAACGGCGGCAGGAGCTGTGGCTTAGGCAGAGAAGTTGTGAATTTCACTCGTAGAACATCAGGTACAAGAGAGGTCGTAGGAAGAAGTACGGTGCCGGCTTTCCAAAGGCCGATGGCAGAGATTGAGCCTTTTCGCTGCATGCAGCTCCAAATTTTATCTACCCCGGAGGGATGAAAGGCTTGGTCGACCTCGGGGGGACTCGAACCTACGACCTTGCGGACGTTAGAAATGAGTTATGCCAGCTGAGCTATGCCGCCGATCGAGTTATTCATGATTAAAACACAAAGAAAAAGGGAAAACAGAAAAATATAAGGGAAAAAAGTCGGAAACTTCGGGCTTTCATACCATCGAAATATTTTGCATTTCAATAAGTTTAAACTATATATCACAACGCAGAAAAATAAGAATTATCTTTTTGAAAAAAAGGAAAAATCAAAAAAACGGCATCCGCAAATTTAAAATGATGATGATTTTTTTGATTGAATAGTTTCTCCACAATCTTTATTTTTTTCTGAAATGATAATTTTTTTCGATTGAATGTGAAGAACGGATGTCTTAATCTCCTGATTTGAAAAAAAAAATGTTTCAAGAAGTGCAGCCGATTGCCATCGAAAACTTGAATAAAACAAATCTATAAACGAAAAAACCTATCTTCAAAGAAGATAAACCTCATCTGTTTTTTTAAACCGCTAATTTAAAAAAATTCAAAATTCTCAACGAGAAAAAAATTGTTTAATTATCGGTTTCTAAACAATCTTTCTATATATTAATGTTCATCACTAGATTAATTTATGAAATGAAAATAACTTGTCTTGTCAACTTCCCAATGGAAGAAATTTTGACTGCATCAAAAAAATTGAAACAGAGAAAATTGCGAGGTGAGAAACGGAAGTCTTGCTCTCCCACCTTATAGAAACCGGCTGTTTCAGAAAGCCATTCAATTTGCTGCGGTTTTGCATTTCCACTCGAGGCTCGGCCTCCGCCCCTTGAATGGCCTCCAGAAACTGTATAAAAGCGACGTCCCTCTACCAGTAACCATACAGTAACCAACTTCTCCAAATGCGTTCCTTCCTCATCCTTTCCGCTCTTCTTCTCTCCGTCCACGGGTTCGTTTCATTATTCATTTCTTCTTCTCGATTTCTTCTGATTTGCTACCAAGTTTCTGAGAGTTTCAATCTCTTTAAAACTAACGAAAATCATATTTTGTACTTATTGATTTATCCTTTCCAATTGGAAATTTAAAAATTGGATCAGAAAACCTGAGAAGGTCTACGAATATTAGGGATTTCCACAGAAACTTTCCTTGAAATTTTGTCTTTGAGATAACCGAAAAAAATAATGAATTTTTTTCCACTTACAAATTTAAAAAGTAAAAAAATGAGAAAAATATGTGCGGCTTCGAAAAAAAGTTCGCTTAATATAAAAATTTTTTTCCACGAAAAAAAGGTTTCATTTCTTCAACGATATAATAATGAACAACATCGCTAAAAGTTGAAAAAGTTTCACAAACCAAGATGTTTTCATTTTCCATTTTTTCTCATTCTTTTCGTAAGTTTTTTAAAAAATATTTTCTACTTATTCTAATGAAACGATTAGTTACGCCATTTTCGATGAAAACTGTCCACCAGCTTCGAATTTAAAAATTTTGTTTGAATATACCGAAAAATGCTCGAAAACCACCGTCTCCTTTCCAACGTTATCAATCTGCTTTCGGCGAGACTAGACTGCGAACGCCTCTCGTTACTCTCGTAGCCTCGATAGCTCAGTTGGGAGAGCGTTAGACTGAAGATCTAAAGGTCACCAGTTCGATCCTGGTTCGGGGCATTTCTTTTTGCTCTTCGTCTGGCTAAATGAAATGTTCAAAGTTATAAAATGAAATAACCATTCCAAAACTATTTCGAACTTTATGAAGCATTTTTCAGTGGTAACTCTGGCGGCAACAGCTACGCTCAGCCTCCATGTAAGGACTTTCATCAAATTCGTTTTTTATCAATAATTTTTTAGCAAACTCCTACGCGCTTCCGCCACAAAGTGAGCTCAGTTGGGAGGTGAGTTTCAGAAGTTTTTGTTCTTTTTGCAGGCTACAGCGCTCCCCCCCAATCCTACCCATCGGCCCCGGCTCCCAGCTATCCTTCTCCTCCTCAGTACGCCCAGAAGCCTTCCTACGCCCAGCCTCAACCTTCCTACCCGGCTCCTTCCAGCTACTCTTCGGCCGCCGCTCCACCGCCGCCACCACCTAACCCAACTTACAACGTGAGTCTTCATTCGTTTATGGAAAATCCAGAACTATTCGACTTTCAGGCTGCTGTCTCATCTCCCTCCTACTCGTCCAGCAGCTTCGGATCGGTGAGTTTTGGTGAAAGGTTAAAAAGAGTACTAATTTGGAAAATATTCCAACAGGCTTCTTCTTTGTTAAGGAGGATCAAAGCCTTGAAAAAAAGCTGAAATGTTGCTCATATTAAATAATTTTCGAGCTTCCATTTCAAATCCTTTTTTTATCAAATAGTAATATTTAAAAAGTTACTGTCCACTCTTCACAAAAACTTCAAACAGAATGAAAAATTTTATAACCGACGAGTGAGAAACTTTGAGTATATTTATAAAAAATTGAATTCTCATAACTTTTATGCTGAAAAATGCTCGAATTTCCCCTTGAATCGAAAAATTTTGCTGAATTCAGGGAATGCCCCCAGCTCCCCCAACCTACGGATCGGTAACCATAATATATCCCATCTCAAAACTTAGAATATTTTTTTTAGTCTGGCAGCTCGAGCAGCATCGCCGGAGGAGAGCCATTGAACTACAACACCGGAAACAACTGTGAGTCTATCAGCTATCAACTATAGAAAAAGGGTTGAAACCGGCCGTTTCCAGTGAGAAGAATGCGAGCTCGCGCTCGTCAGGCCCCACTCCGCCGTTCTCACCCTCGTCAGAAGCTGGCTCCCATCCGCCGTATGGCCAAGAAGATGCGCGCCGCCGCCTAAACTTTTCCAAAATGACTAGGACCTTCAATTCTCTTCTCCACACTTTGTATAGGAACTACATGTATATGCGCTGCATCAATAAACCATTTTCGAACGATTTGAGATTTCTGATCGAACAAAAGACTCTTCACAAAAATGAAGTTTGAGGAGCAGAGTCGAAAAGAGAAGCTCTCAAGAAAAACAGCTTGAAAAAAAATTCAAAATGTTCATCTCAAAACTTCTGTTATTGTATCATCTTCCCAGCCTTGAACTGAACATAGCTTTTTTTTTGACCGTGAAAAAAAACTTTTCAAAGTTTTTCTAGAGAAGGTTGAAAAAACAAGATCATTAAAAAATAGTTTCGATTCGGAACCGCCTTTTTGGAGATTCTAGGATATTGACTATAAAAAAATTACAAAAAACGTCGAGCTTAATGAGAAAACTCTCAGTCGAGTGAAGAAGTTAGTAGCCTAATAGTTACAGCTTTGAACTTGCGAATATTTATCAGAAAAAAAAGGTAAAAATTTGCAAGCGAGACGACGAGGCCGTCTTCGAGCGTTACCTTTAAACATCCACTTTTTCTATGCTTTAAGAAGAGGAACTAATTTTGAAAATATGGAAAGATCAGAGTTTCAAGAACGCAAAATGATGTGAAAAATGAAAACAAAATGAACACTGAAAGATTCAATTCCAGCCTGGAAATGACTGTTCATGGGTGTAACTGTAAGAAACGAAACTTCATATTCCCCTTTTCACAGAAAAAGTCCTATTGGCGTCAAAAAAGGTCTCAAAAAGACGCCTCTAAAGTTAGGGTGTCGAAAACTTTTTCCAGGGTGTCGAAAACTTTTTCCAAAGGGTGTCGAGGGTGTCTAAAGGGTGTCGAAAACTTTTTCCAAAAGCTCTTTTCGAGACTTTTGGACCGTGCAAACTTTTTCAATTTCGGAACTCAAAAAATGATAATAATTTATTAGGGGCTGAGCCGTATGGAGACAACAATTGCACATGGAAAGAAACAAAACTGAATAAATGAATTTGCTTTCTAGGAAGATTGTCGGAAAGCGAAGCAAGTCGTGCCGAATTTCTCCGTCTCGCAGTACAGTTCCGTGTTGACGATGTAGGAGAAAGTCCCTCGAGAACAGATGACGTCGATTCTGAAACATGATTCTTGTAGGAAAAATTATTGTATTTGAAAAGTGAGCTCGAAATCTAAGACAAAGGTTAAATAAAACCTTCCGCCGAGCTGGTCAGTGGCGGCAGTTTGAATCTGTCGCTTAGAAATGGCGGTGCTCTTGTCGATGTTCTGGAAAAGGAAAATCAAGTCAAAGTTACAGAAAAAGGGATGAAAACAAAAGCAAATAAAACGTTTTTTTTTTCTCAAAAAATGCTCTCTCACACTAGTTTTTGAGATTGAAAAAAATAACGAGAACGATTTGTTGAAGATACAGAACTTCCGATGATTTTTTCTTAGCCTTTTGGAAACTCATCCTACAGACACTTTTCCAGCAAAGATGAAGTTTTTAGTCGAATCAAATTTATGTTCGCGAAAAAAAGTTCTAGCCTTTTTTTTCTCAAAAACGCTTTGAGCGAAAAATTTATAATTTTTTTTCATGATATGAAAAAAACTACTCTCTACTTGAAACTATAATCTCAATTTTTCTAGGAGAGTTTTGTAAACGAATCAAAATAATCATGCAAGACCTTACACGTCTACAAGTTAACAAGGTTAGTTTGAATGCAAACCTTGGTGATGATAGTCTTGAGGACTTCAGAGTTGCACTTGGGGTCGAAGACGGCCTCGTCGTCTCGCTTGACACGAGTACGGTAGCCTTCGAGCTGGTCAACGCCTTGGTAGAATCGATCGTAGTCGATGTGGCGCTTCTGAGGAGCCTGGTAGCTGTTGGACGACGCTCCGCCGAACGAGGCCGAGGCGGAAGGAGACGGGGGGATCACGGCAACTTGGTTTGTCGAGTAGGAAGACTGGGGCTGAGCCTGAGGCTGGGCAGCCGAGTATGCGTTTGAAGGGAAAGCTTGCTGCTGTTGAGGAGCGAAGCCTCCGGTCGACTGCTGAGAAACGAAACTTCCGTAGTTTCCTACAGGTTGTTGAGGGGCAAAGCTCTGTTGCATCTGAAGTGGGGCAAAAGGCTGCGGAGCTGGAGCAAACTGTTGCGGAGCCGGTGCGAAGCCGAGAGGAGCCTGAGCGTAGGAGGCTGACGTAGGCGCCGCAGCATAGATTGGAGCCGCCTGAACTTTTCCGGGCTTTTTAAATTGTTGAAACGTTTTGTCAAAAATTTGATTCAGAAAAAAACGGGTATAATACTCACAGCAGCTTGGGCTCCGCAAGAAGGAGCTGGAGACGGTGGTGGACAAGCTGGAGGAGCTCCACAGCCACATCCCCCGCTGCCGCCAAAGAAGAAGGCCTAGATAAATGAGAAATCGTTAAAAAAAAAAACTTTTTCTAAACTTGGAGCGAACTATAAATATTCAAGTCTTACGCTCAATAAAATTGAGGAACTTCTCGAAGCAATTGAAAATGAGACCTCGATTTTTGAACCATCAATGCACGCTAATTATACATCCCGCATTTCCCTACAGTTTTCAGAGACCTATGATTAAATGTGAAAAAAAAATCCTGCTGACGGGACTTCGAAATTACACCTTGGATCTTTTTCTCCGTTCATTACGTACGATCAACCGGTTTAGGTAAAGGAAGAACGAGATCCTCGGGAAATGGTCTTTTTGCCTTTCTGTGTCCAGCTGAGAACGGCTATCAGAAACGATTGCGATCAGAGATAACGAGAGCGAGTTGCGGGGACAGCTTACATCACGCGCCCTTGGTCTTTTTTCAGCCGAAAAAGGATGATGGATGGATTTTTTATATTTTTTCTGATTTTTTTGATAATTTTTTACGATTTGTCGCTAGGTTCCCGAAAAAAAAAACACAGCAGTCCTTTTTCCAATTCAAAATCGAGAAACAAAAAACGATTCAACCTTTTCTACACTGGTGAATCGGGATCTCAATACAAGTAGGTTCCGGGTAGCAACTCAAATCAATCGGCATATCGTAATCGGTGGTCATTTGTATGCGACCGGGTACTATCTTTATGGTACCTGGATAGTACCTGACCGGTATCTGGATGCTACCGGGTAGGTACCTGAAGTTCGCGATTGCCACTGGCTCGCACATCGGCCGTTCATATAGCATCGGTGTTTTTTTACACCTCCCCAATCTTTCCAGGGTCTTATTGGATAAAGCTGAAACAAAAAATAACGACACGGCAAGCAATTCCCGACTTTCCGGTAGCAATCGCGAATGTCAGGTAGCTACCCGGTAGGACCTCTCGATATACCTATGTATGAAAAAAGAAACAGGACTTTGAAATGCAATCAGTAAACTCTTCGGTAAATGTTTCTTCGTAAATTAAAAAAAAAAAGTATTTTTCGAATTTAATTTCTGAACTCCTAAAATCTTTATCGAGATAATATTGATCAGACTTTTCCAGTGGCTTATTTTTTGAACATGAGCCAAGTTGAAGGATTGGGTGGTCCAATTTTCTTTCAAAACATAAAAATTTGAGAAAGTGAAAAAAAATGTCTTTGAGCGATAATACCAACTAGAAGCTAAACCGTACAGTATCAGAAGTTTCTGAAACTATCAGAAGAATCAGAAGTTTCTGAAACTAAAAATACGAACTTTTTTCCAAATATGATACTAAAAAGACCAAAAAAAAATGGATCCCTGAAAATCTCCGGCAAGAAATAAGATCATGTTCAGGCAAAAAGAGAGGGAAAAAAGTTCGTGAATTAATCAACTTCTTTCTATTCAACCCTATTCAAAATGAATCGGAAGAATTTTATTGAAATTATTTTTGAAGCTTAATATAAAAGTACCGTAACCAATTTTTCATAGACGTATGAAACTCGTCCTCAAATCCTAAACTGGGACCAGAACTAGAAGAATACCTGAGCAACGCCGGCCAGGACGAGAACGGCAGAAAGTGTTCGCATTCTCCGGGAATCCACCGAGTGTATTGGTTAATTAGCACGGTGGAAAAGCTTTTATAAGCGTCGCTGGTTCCAGGGAAATCCCGAGAGACGGCCTGGCGGAAAACGGGTTGCGAGTAGCCACTTCTCGGCCCAATGTTTCATCGGGGAGAGATAGATCCCAAAAACGATGGGAACAAAAACAATTTCAAACGGTAAACGGCTTTTTGGCATGTGGGAATGTGTTATCGGGTTTCGATCTGGTGACAATTAAAGAATGCCTTTATGAAGTCCAATAGAGCCATAAATTAAAGATCTAATTAAACAACAAACTCAACAACGGGTCTCGTAGTCTCCACCTTGAAAAAAAACAAAAGAAGAAGAAGAAGCATGAATTGGATATATAAAGGGATAGGGAAGGATAGGGAGTTTTCTCCCTAGTTCTTGGCAGCCAACGTCTCGCCTAAGGCATCCAGAACTTCCTTCTTGTAGTCGTCAAAGTCGCCATCGATTTCAGAGACGCCCTTCAAACTTCTTTTGAGTCCATTTTGCACAAAAAAGAAATCTCTATTTAAATCATTACGGTTCAGATTCTCTTTGAAAAAGTTTGATGTAATCTCAAATGTTAGCAACGAACGAAGAATCGGACAATTTTCTGAATCTCATTTTTGTCATTGATGAAAAAGTCGTCTATCATTTTGTCTTTTCTTTTCGAATTTTTTGAGCAGCTTCCAAAAAAAAAATAAAGTTCCATAGTCAGGTGATCACGCTAAGTAAATTCTAACTTGATCCACAAACAAAATTTCCTCGGTAAACCAGATAGTTTAGATTCAAACGGAACTGTTCATATAAATTTATATTTTACATATTAAAAATCACAAAGCCGTCCCAAATACACCATTTACGGTTAAAAAAATCTTAAATTTTTTTCTTAGGAATAATGCAAACTTAACCACATTTCTATGAAAATTTCGAATCGACCTACAAGCAATATTTCTACAATATACCAGTTCCTTCATCTTCGAAAAATTTGCTTAGTAAATTTGATAAAGTCTTAATTTTATACATCCATTCATGAATCTAGCACAAATCAACTAGATAACTTTGATATTTTCTTTTTGCAAGAATAGTATTATAGCTGATTCACGGCTAGCTTGGGACGTTAGGGGGCGTGGCCTGACTGCGCTCTTCGCCAACAAGGAAATTTCTCTTTTCTTATCGTGTCAGGAACCTTTTTACGATGGCTCAAGCCAGCCTTAAATCAGCTTTATTTCCGATAATTCTCCTTTATCCTTCAAGTTTCGCCGAAACAGACCTGGCTTTCGACTATCCACAGAGCGCAGTTAGTGGCCCGAACGAGCCTCTCGTCGTGGGTCACCATCAAAACTCCGCCCTCGAACTCTCCGATGGCCTGTGCCAAGGCGTCAATCGACTCTATGTCCAAGTTGTTCGTAGGCTCGTCCTCAAGTCAACTTCTTCGACAATTTCGCCTATGATTAACTACCAAAATCAAAATATCCGGTTCGCCAAGAGCCAGTTCACAAAGAGCAACTCGAGACTTTTGTCCTCCAGACAGATCCTTGATCTTGACCGTGTGCGCGTGGCTAGCCAATCCGGTCGTTCCCAGCTGTTTTCTGGCCGCCTTAAAAATGTGAAAGTTGAAAGTCAGTGAAGACGGTGATCTTGGCCGACAAGAGTATCAAGTTTGTGATAAAAACTCTTTCTGAAACTTTTTTTCGTTTGAAGAACTTAAAATAGCAATAAAAAAAACATTAATTTCTCTTTTTTTTTTCTGCGTTTTCTATTTTTCTTCAAAAACTATATGAAAAAAGTTTTAACGAGACTCCCTTCTGAAAAGTTGCAGCTATCCTTCAAAAAGAAAACCTAGAATACTTTCATCACACCATTCTTTTCAAACAGTTTTTGTCAGCACCTCTTCCCAATCTTTTGGTTTCTCGACTTGTCCACTCATGGCTTTTCGCTTATTCTGAAAAATTCAGGATGCATAATTATTTTCAAAACAACCGGAAAGCTGCAAAAAAAGCTCGGACAAAGGTATGGAGACAAGAAGAAGGAAGGACGGAAGACATTATTTTCCACTTTTCTAATTACCTCATATGCAATTTTGAATTTGACGCACAGGTACTCGACAGGTGTCTGGTCGCCATTCAGAGCCTCGTTGGAGTGCTGATCGAACCATCCGATTTTCAAGGTTCGGTGTTTCCTCAGCTCACCGCTTTGCTGAAAGAAAAAAATTTCTATTTTTGTTCAAAAATATTTAAAAAAATCGCAAACTTATTGAAAAACTCTTGTAATTTTCTCTTTGAATGTTCTCAAAAAACAGCAAAGTTCGTCACAAGTCTCTGAACTTCCGTGTTTATTAGCCATTATCATTTTTTTATGACCACGCCGGCGAGGGAAAAAAGAGCGCTGACATGTTCGAATTTTTCAAGTCACAAAACATTTAGCGTAAAAAAATTTGCAAACGGGCGATTTCGCCTTTTTTTTCTATGATTAAGGTGTTTCTTGGGACGTAAAAATGAGAAATAGGATCATAAGAAAGTTTTAGGAAAAAAAAATCAGCGAGTTTTGACGGCGACCTTTCCGATTTTTTTCCCTTATATTTCTCGGTTTATGTAACATATATTCATTTTTTTTTTTTTTTGAATCACCAACTTGTTCTATATAGGAAGATTCAAAATGGAAAAACGGAAAAATTATCCAGTCGGAAACTTCGGAGTCGGAAAGTTCTCTAGCGACATGAAATCGGAAAAGTCATCGTTTGAAATTTCGCTGGTTTTTTTCCTACCACCAATAAAAAAAAATAAAAGATGGTGATGAAAAAAAAATTAGCAACCTTAAAAATGACATTTTTCGAAATAAGTCTAATTTTTTCTAAGAATCTTTTGAAGGACTTTTTTATTGGCTTTATCATTTTCACTCTAATTTCATGGTATTTTTGTTTAAGCTTTTGATAGTTTCTGTGTTCGAAAATTGCTAAGCGGATTTTTGAGATGTTCCGTTATGACTATTATTAACCGGTTCCAATTTTCCGATGAGTAACTTCAAAAGTGTCGATTTTCCGACGCCGTTCGGTCCCACGATCGCGATTCGCGAGTCCATATCCACACCGAAATCGATATTTTTGAACAGAACCTGGTTTCCGTAGGCGAAAGTGACGTCTGAAATTGAATTTCGAAACGAATTATACGATAGCAAGTCTATCAACTGTGCAATCCAAGCACGGGCGGGCTGAGTTTTGTTGTTTCGGGGAAGTTGAATTTCACTTGATATTCCTTTATTCTTTGCATCAACTCTGGCGGCGGAGCATCGTCTAAGAAATTAGACAGAAAATAAGAAGAAAAAAGAAAAAATATTACTTTCGTCTCCCATCGAAGAAGAAGCAGCATTTCCTTTGGTAGCTTTTTTTTGCTTATTCGCCAATTGTCCCTAAATAAAAAAAGATAATATTCAAGTTGATTTTAATGATTTGAAGACACTGCATAAAGTTCTACACGTATCTGCTAAATTCTGACTTCCCTAAAAAAAACGCGGAAAATTAATTTAAGACATACTGATTTCAATACTTCTCACAGCGTTCCCAAACGAGCGGCAGCTGTGGTCAGTAGGCGTGGCTGACTGCAACAGCGGCACGGTTTATTGCAATAGGGGCGCGGGAATGAGAGTCAAGTTTTGTGGATTTAGTGGTTGGAAAAAGACCAATAAATGATGTTTTTCCTAGGTTCTCGCAAGTTTTCAAAGATTTTTAAAGTGTATTAAATTATAACAAACAAATTTAAATGAAAAAAGAGACGAAAAAGTTTTTGCAAATCAAAATATCTCCCAAAATGTCGTTTTTTAGGAAAACTCGTCAAATCGAACTTCCAAAGGGAAAATTGAGAAAAAGCTCTAAGCACTTCTCTTAAGAAATACTATTTGAACGTTTTAAAACAAAAACAGATACATAATAGCTTGTACGAATAAAGTTGTCACCCAAAATGACATTTTCAAGAATGAATTCGTCTATTTGAAAATTCTAAAACAAAAAAACAAACGAAATATCTCATGCGAAATAAGTTTTCATCAAAAATGTCATTTCAATGCGAATTTCTGTGACGAGAACAATCGAAAATCACTTCAAATCTCTGGAAAACGCGATAAACACGTTTTAAGAACACATACGATGTGAAAAAATACGAAAGAATGGTAAAATATGCAAGAAAAAGAGAAAAAACCGTATTAAAAGTGAATGAAATTTTGTAAGGGTGACACGCGCCGCACCGCGTTGCGTTAGAAAAAACTCGCGTTTTCGCCCCATTGCGACGACCTTTTTTTTTTCGCTTGCCGCCGTCTCTTTTGGAACACTGTGCTTCTTTTTCTATGACTGCTTATAATCTTTTCTTTAGAGAAATTGTCAAACTTGAAAGAAATGTTGAAATTAATAATTTGCATATGTTCTAACATAAAATCGGTTTTTTTTTTCTTAGTCATCGATTCGCAGCAGAAAAAAATAAATGAAAACGGAAAAGTCGATCGTTGACGTAAAAGTGGAACTTTCATTAGCGTTCATAGGAAAAAAAAAACCTTTTTCGAACCAAACTTTACCTTGAGAACCTCTTCGGCCTGTTTGCTGCTCTTTCCTTCTTTCTTCAAGGCCTTCAAGCGTTTTTCTTGTTGGTCGAAAGCCTTGATCAACTCCTTCATCTTCTGCACGTACATTTTCTTGAACAAAGCTGAAAAAATCTTTTTCTAGTCAGATGAAAACATAAATTATATTACTGTAATTTCCTCGGTACTCGTAGAGCTTTTGGTCTTGCAAGTGAATGATGTCCGTGCAAACGCTGTCCAAAAATCCTTGGTCGTGAGAAACAATCAACAAGGTTTTCTTCCATGTTTGGAGGTAACTGGAAGCTTTTCAGTGCATTGAGTTTATTTTTTTCTTTTTCAAGTTTAAAAAAATCATTCATATTCGAAAAGAAAAAAAGGTCGTAGAAATTCCTTGTTTAGACTGCTACAATGAAGGGCTTTCGGCTAATTTTCAATATTTTCTATCTTAAAATTACCGTTTTTTTTTATTACAAATCCATGCAAAGAAAAACAAGTTTCTTTCTAATAAATTACATCTTTTTTTTGTCAATGGAGCGTAAATGTGCTGCTGAAGTGCCACAAATGATTTTTTTTTTTTGTCAAACTCTCAGATCTTTTCCTTCATGTTCCGATTCGTTTTTGTTACATTGTCAACCACCTTTCAACGGAAACAATTTTTTCGATTTCTTCACATTCTTCGAATTTCATTACCAACTTGTCAAGCCAAATAACTGCATTAAGGTCCAGGTGATTTGTAGGTTCATCAAGCATCAAAAGAGTCGGCTCGAGATAAAGAGCTCTCGCCAGGGAAATACGCATTCTCCAACCTCCCGAAAAAGCCTGAGAATCGAGTTGAAATCAGAGTTTCCCTTTGATTTCTTGAAAACCTCGACCGGTTTCTCCTGCATTTCTTTGGAAAATCCGAGACCGGCCAGGATTCGTCGAGCTTTCGGCTCAGCGGCGTCAGCGCCAATGTCGCGAAGCTCGTCGTTTACCTGGAAGAATATTTCTATTTTACGAAAAACATATCAATTGAGAGGTTTAAAAAAAAGTTTTTTGAGCAACTGCTTAAGTAGGTGTCTTTTAAGGGAAATAAGAAGCTTGTATTTTGTCAAATTAAAGCGGAAAAAATTGTTTTCATAGCTCAAGCTACTATAAAAGAGCTACCTTGAAAAATTTATGAAACCTCTTCAAATGTTTGAGAATGTGATATCCTTTCAATTTTATCCTTAACTCGAATATGAAATTCGAAATAAATAAAAACCTCTTTCAACCGTTCCGTAACAGTGGTGTCTCCTTCTTCGAGTTGTTTCGTGAGCGCAGCTTCTTCGTCAAGAAGTCGCATTCGATTCTTGTCCGACTTCACTACAGTATCAATCGCCGACGTGCTATCGACCTTGATTTCTGAACAATATTCCAATAAACTTTCTTTTTCTTCCGACTTACCCTGTTCACAATAAAGAAGGTCAATATGAGAAGGAATCGCTAATTTTCTTGCTGCTATATGTTTTAAAAGCGTTGTTTTCCCCATCCTGAAGAGAACATAATTATAGGATCGGAATATTTATGAATTTCCAACCCATTAGGTCCTACAAGACCATATCTTCTGCCGTAGACAATCGTTAAATTCGCCTTATTGAACAAAAGTTTTCCTTGAGCAGCAATATCGAAATTTTCAATCTGAAGCGGAAGAAAAATTCAAACGAACAGCTTCAAGCTTTTCAAGACCTTGATGTCCATACTGTTTTCAATTTGCTGCAACTGAGACGCATTTTTCGCCGTTTGCGAGACGGTGAAATGTGCTCCAAGTTCCGCGCCAGATCCGATTCCTGCAGGGATATCTGAAGTAAAAAAAGCTTCTGAGTCTGTTTTTCAGCCTTTCAAACCGTCATCATATTCACTGACAGTAGGAAGATTGTCAACGACGCCACCCATGGCCAAAACTTCTTTATCAAAACTGGCTTTGGCTTTCGCCTTTTTTGCCTCCCTGAAAATTTTAATACAATTTCGAATGATGCAGAAAGAAAACTCACTTTCGGGACATCTTCTTGCCACCTTCGTCAGCCATTTCTGCAAAAAACAAAAATTCAAAATAAAAAAAGGAATCAAAAAATTTCTACTTTGGAAAAAGTTAAGAATAAATTTGATAAATTCAATGTTCTTCTATCCTTATAAGAAACTAACGATGATTCTACAGATTGATAACAACGTGCAAAGGTATTATGAGGAATATTCAAGAAAAACGTTGCGAAATTTGGAAAAAAGGAAAGAAAGTACAAAATGGCCGAAAGAGGCGGAGCCAAACTTCGTGCCCCTTATTGCAACAAAAAAAAGGTCTTCTTAAGGGGATCTATAGAGCACAATAACTTTAAAGGAAAGCGTTTCTTTTTTTGTTTTTTTTTTCTGAAGACTGCTTTCGTAAGTCAAAAATATGGCTAACGTCGCGTTTAAAGGGCTTGAGAATATCTAGGATAGTGATGCAATCAACATGCTCTTTTGAAATAATTTTTCGACACATTGTTATCATAACTAACTGTTCTTTCACGCCTAAAACATTTTTTTTATCGTACTTTTTTAAATCGAAATTTCTATATTACTATTCTTCAGGGCTTCATGACTTCAGTGGATGCGGAATTATTGAAAAATCCGCTCGAAGGTAACTCATTTTATTTGTTTTAAATGGCTTTTTCAAATAGGAAATTTGATTAACTTCCAGGTTCATTTTATTATTTTTCAGACGGTGTGGAAGATGGGGAAATAACAGATGATGAAGACTGTGCAACCTCTTCTTTCGAAGTTTCTACAGAACTGGACGGTGATAATCATGAAATTTAAGCTTAAATCTAAGTCTTTTTTTTAAATTTTAGCTGTTAGGAATTACGAAGAAGATGATAATGGAAATTCTTCCGGTGATGAATATCCAGAAGAAATTTTGAACGTTGTGGCGCAAAAGGTATTTTTTATCACAATAATTTGACAACGTTTTTTCGAGGCTTTCGAAAAAAGTCAGCAGAAAGCAGTTTCAATCGAACAAAAACCACCGAATGATCCCAAACTGTGTGTAGTTTGTCAGAAAAAAGAGCACAAGTACAGGTGAATTTCACCTCTCATTATCTTGGAAGTGACTGAATTTCCAGATGCCCTCGTTGCGATGTTCGCAGTTGTTCTTTGGGCTGTTCAAAACAACACAAAACTGATTCGGATGCTAGTTTTACCTTTTTTTTTTTGATAATTATAAAAATTTGCAGTGCGACGGGGTCCGTCAAGCATTCTGCACAGTCAATAAACTCTCTCAATTCGACGCCCAAAAATCGATTGATGATCAAAAGTTTTTCCACGCCATTAAAGAAGCTGTTGGATTGCAGACGAACGAGGTGATTTTCATCGAAAAAAAATAATTAGAAATGTGAGCTTTCAGGGTCCTGTTCAACCTAGAAATGAAGAAAATCTCGGAAAACCAAGTGAAGAAATTTTTGAACACGGATTGCGTTGCAAGGTATGAGATTTTCAGAGAAAATCATCAAATTTTGGTTTTCCAGCCGAATTCTTCCCTGGAGCGTTATTTGATGAACGCTGCTCGTTTCAGACGAATCTGGCTGGGTTTCAGTGATGAAAACAGTATGTTTTTTGGTTTTCTTTTCTTTTATAGTCTGAGCAAATTTTTGTTGCGTTTTATTCAAGGCAGATTGGTTTTCAAAAATGAAAATTATGTATGTGTATAATCTTCCGTCACTTAAGGAGAAATCGAATTTTTTTATTTTCTTTCGAACTCAAATTTTAAGATTTTTCTTCTTATTATTATCAGTAATTTTTTTAAATTTCCCCAGAGAAGTACAGAAAATGTGTTATTCTAGCCAGAGCATCAATGAGATTATTTGACGACATAGCCATATTCTCGACTTCGAAGAAGAAAATTCCTAGGATAATAAAAAAAAAATTTTTTTGAAGTAAAGCAAATTCTGGAATTTTTGAAAAACTTTTTTTCGTTGACTTCGAAGCGCCTTGGGTGCACTTGAAGATTTTTCCGAATGTTCAGTTTTTGTTGACATTCAGAACCGAATGAAAGCCGTCACGAACAATTTTCGGATACAATTTTCTGGAACATTGATATAATCTTCCGCAAACAGACGGAAGAAGGATTCTCGGATTATTCCAAAACAATCGTCAACATTCCCGACTCCATTCGTCTTGTCACGGTTCCGGAATATTTTCTTCGGATTTTCATCTCAAAGTTATTGTTTTCTAGGTTCTCAAGCAGTTCTTCAAGCCGCGCAAGTTCGGGATGGTCGTCTCTGAATCGGATTTGGACCTCGAGAAGCTGGAACCTTTCATTTCTCGTGGAATCGAGGGCGTCAACGTTTTTATGCCGGTCCATAGTCTCCAGAACAAGTTTCTAGCCAATTTTGTTCGTTTTTCACCGTTTTTGTAGGTTCTATGGTATCCTTCCCGATCAGTCTCTGCTGGAAAATTTGCGTAACAAAATTGTCGTCGATTATCCAACACTTGTTGTGACTTTGGATAATGAGTTTTTGAATATAGAGGTCTGCAAAAATCAATTCAAATGTTTCGAAATGGAAAAAAGTTGTAGATCATCAACAAAGATGAGGCGGAGGCCGTTTTCAACAAGTTTGGAGGCTTTTCGATGAACAGCCGTGGTGGATTCCCACGTGGCGGCGGTCAAAATGTAGGCTTTTCAAACGTTTATAAACTTATTAAAAATTGTTTCTGATTCTCTATAGTTGAAAAAAGTAATTTAAAAGAGAATGTCGTTTTTTTTTTACAATGCATTGAGATCCTTGATTATCGGAATTCCGAGTTTCCCCTTCATTCAGCATATTTGCAATCTGGTTTCGAAATTGTTCTGTTTGACAGAACCGTATTTTCAGAATTAAAAGTTAAAAATCCTAAAAACACTTTTCCTGAAGTTAAATTTTCACGCAGATCTCGGAGTTTTTTCTCGATATAGTCTCCTCATTTTTTTAAAAAATGTTGTCTGTAGAGCACAAAAGGTCCTAATTTCACTGCAATCGCTGATCAAATTTCATTTTTTTTTTAAATAAAAAACAATTTTTTCGCTTTATAAAAACTTTTAAAATAAATTTTTTCTTAGTTCGGTGGGCATCGAGGTGACCGGCGAGGTCGTGGTGGTCAGTTCAACAGAGGAGGTAGTTTTCAATCAAAAATAGAACTGAGTTCTCTTTTCCAGGTTTCACTCCACGGGGAGGCTCTCATCATGTCCAGCAACGGGTTAGTTCCAATATTGAAATGGAAAAATCGTAACTTCTCTGGTTTTAGTTCCAAAAAAGAAGTTTCGGAGGGGACGGCAATGATCAGCCTCAGTGGAAACGCGGCCGTGGCGGTCCTGGTCACCGGAATTCTCGAGGAAATTTCAACCGATTGCAGAACAACAGGTGCTTCTTATGAAATGTTCTTGAACAGAGAAAAATAGTTGAATAACGGATTTGACCCTTTCATAGATAGCTTGAGAACGTTTTCGATGAGAAATTAGAAAAGAACGGGAAAAAAAATGTTGGAAGCGAATTAGACATGTAGAGAAGCTATCAGGCAAGAGTACAAAAACATTTCATGTTAGGGAAAATGAAAAATTAACATCTAAAAATCAGGACAACTAAAAAAACAGGATAAATTCGATGTGAAGCACGCTGGAATAAGAATATTGCAATAAAGCTTGTTTCCTAAGCCATTGATGTAATCGTAATTATGAAAAAACACGTCAATTTCAAAGATAATTGTATAATTATCATGTTTTATTTTTCATCTTATTCTCACATCGAAAGCTCTTTAATTCTTCAGATAATCAAGAGCCTCCAAGAAAAATGAGGATTTCAAGGAAAAAAAATTGTGAAAAATGAGCTTATAAAAACAATTGAAACGTTTCAAAATGTTGTGAGAATTAAAAAAATAAAACTTTTGGGATGATACTGAAAGATGAAATATTTACTGATGCTCCTTGACTTTTTTGTTTTGAGTTTATTTTTTAACATACGTCGGCTGGATCCCACCCCAGCCTTTTGCGCGCAAAAAAGTTTTTTAAAATGTACTGAAGTAGGCCGCACTTTTTGGGGGTAGGCCGCCGTTTGAAGGGGGTAGGCCGCACCCCGGGGTGGGATTCAGCCGACTTATGTTTTTTAAGATTTATTGAGAGTTTTTCATCAATATATCATGAAATTCATCAAAATTCATGTATTTTTGAAAACTTTCTCTCATTATTCTAAATGAAGTATGGTATTTTCTAGACACCAACCTCCGGCGGAGGGATTTGACCCTTTTGAGCCTTTCGAAGGCCCCATAACTCTCCCAATGGAATATGGAAACTCTGGAGCCAAATCGAGTTATTCTTTTGCTGTTCCCAAAAGAAACGATTGAAAAAACTTGTTTTTGATTTTACGATTTTGTACACCCTTGTTATATTGTTGTTGATCATTCTTAGCTTTTTATCCTTATTTTTCCTCTTCTGTAGATAGCTTTCTAGTTTCTCTTTCGCAAATCTCACCGATGAATTTTTAGTTCACTGCTAGTTTTTTATCCCGTGTCCAAAACTTTGTACTGTTTTGTTGAATTTCCCAATATTGATTCTTTTTTTTGCCATGTTGTTAAACTTTTGTTGGAAATAAACTTTGTTGGATGAATTTCGAACTTTTTCAAGCGTTGATTGTCGCTCCTCTTTTCTGTCTTTCCTTCTTCCTTCTCCATGTGTTTTTTTTTTATTTTCCAGAGTTTAGGTGTCAGAAAAAATGGATTTTAGCGTACTAAATAATGTGGAACCAGCAGGAACTTCGAGAGGTTCGGAAACAGGGGAAAATGAAGTTTTCAGTTGGAATTCAGGAGGAAACGAAAACGACGACGATGGTGTCGACGTTCTCACTGCTGTTGAGAATGCTCTAGGTATTTTCTTCATGAAATTAAATGGAAACATGTGTCTTGAGGTGAACATACCAACGAACAAGACGATTACATAAATCGTTTCGCGGAAGATGGAAACTTGGATTACAATGATTTCATGCGAATTACTGGCGGCCAGACGATTGAAGAGGAGTTGGCAAACAATTCAGGTGAATGAACGATAAATCAGGTAATTTCAGGTAAAATTGGCAATAAAAAATAAAAGTAAAGTTAATATAAAAAAAAAAGTTTTCTCTTAATACGTTGAAGTATTGTTTTAAATTTGAGTTTTGAGTTTAATGTTTGAAAAAAGAATCTATCGAGAACACTTTGAAGTATTATCAATCACCGGTTCAAAATCAATCGTATCAAAAGATTTATACGTCGCTCGAGTGGTTCAAAGGCGTAGGAAGGAGAAAAAGAAAGGGAAAACATAAATTCCATTGAAGCCATCCGTTATTTCTAAGACTTCTTCTCACACAGCGTTCTAAAACGGGGTTTACGTAAAAAGAGACACTATTCTCAATGGAGCGCGTAACTTGGAGCGTTGTCAATCAAAATCAAAGTGCTTTTTTTCTTTAATTCACATGCTATTAACTTTTTTTGATTGTTTTTCAAAATCTTTTTTTTGTTTCTATGCACGTAAATTTTTAATTAATGTTTTTAAACGTATTAGAAAGTTTTTAAAGTATCCATAGCTCGGTAATGTGTCGAAACGTTGTTTATAAAAAAAAGAAAATACTGTATCCAAGAGATAAAATCGAAATTCCAACTCCAAGAATCGATCAAAATATCAGTTTCCAACTAATAAACAAGAAAAAAAAGCTGTCAGTGTCCGCGCAAAAGAGAAAAATTTCGACTTGACGAAAAAATTCAAAAAAAGGTGTAATTGGTCTGTACCTAAGAGACAAAAGAGAAAATCGAAATTTCAACTCCAGGAACCGATCACATTATCAGTTTTCAATTACTTAAACAGGAAAGAAAAGAATACAAAATCAAACCTGAGTTAAAAATTTCGACTTTCGTGAACAGAACAATTATGTAGTCCTTTGAACCAATCAAACCACAAGAATATAAACTGCGAAATTTCAAGAGAGTTTTAGGAAATGACTAGCAACACTTGGAAACTATAAATGTCAGGAAAAAAAAATGCTAGCCTTCAAATAATCAAAAAATCCGGACTCTTAATTACGACGCGAAAAAGACGATTGTTAGCCGCGCCCACTCATGCAACGTCCGCATGCTTTTCAGAAAAGGGGCGGGAACCCTGCTTTAGAACGCTGTGCTCACTAGGGCATGGTCTCCGCTCGACAACAAGTTGAGAATTGAGACTTTGTGGCTGGATAGGCCTAGGTGAGAGTACTCGGGATCAAAAATAAAATTCTGCTAAACCCCACAGGCAGCCGAGGAAAGGCTCGTCAAAATTTTTCCAGCGCGCATTTGGCCGCGCTCGGAGCCTTCGGCTAGCAACTGGCAGCGTGGTGTAGTGGATTGTGGTCTTGTGCATTATCAATATTGGGACCATGGTTCGAAACCTTTTGGCGGAAATCGTTTTTGCCGGCTCATAACTTTAACACTTCCACATTTTTGTGAGAATTTTTTTCCAAAATTTACATAAAACTGGCAGAAAACTATTATTTATACTACTTTACTCAAGCCAAGTCTTTCTTCTCGTATTGAGGGGGATATTCTCAAATATTTTGTTGGAAGACAGGCAATAAACAGCATAGTTATTAAATTTAAGCTTGTTTCGTGAAAATTTCTGTTGGAAAATTTGAAATCGTCATAATTTCTGGCGCCTGTAACGCGAAACCGAACGAAAAAGTTTCATTTTCGGTTTTTTTTTTGTCATGTTATTGTATTTCTGTTTAGTACACTTGTGTCCAAAAGACAGGTAGTCGCTTTCCAAAAATGCTCAAAGTTTCATAACATATCTACTCGACGTGAACTTTCATAAACAGATCGTTTTCTTCGGCGTTTGCCCATGAGGTAGAGAAAGAAACGAAAAAAAAATTTCGAATTAATATGGGATTTTTGTGAAATTTAATTGTAAATTTTTTTGAAAAAAATCTCACAAAAAAATGTGAAAATGTTAAAGTTATAAGCTGGCAAAAACGATTTCCGCCAAAAGGATTCGAACCCTGGTCACAATATTGACAGTGCACAAGACCACAACCCACTACACCACGCCGCCAGTTGCTAGCCAAAGGCTCCGAGCGCGGCCATATCCGCGCTGGAAAAATTTCGACGAGCTTTTCCTCAGCCGCCTGTGGGGTTTAGCAGAATTTTATTTTTGATTCCGAGTACTCTCACCTAGGCCTATCCACCCACAAAGTCTCAACTCTCAACTCGTTGTCGAGCGGAGACCATGCCCTAGTCAGAAGGCATTTTTTTTCTTACTATTTTCATGCAAAAGGAATTAAATCGGTTCAGCTGCGCTGGAAGAAGAAGAGGAGGAGGAGGAGGTAGATATCGAAGACGAGGAAGACTTTGAGGGTCACGTCGAAGACGGCGAAATGCCTGGAACCAGCAATTCCAGTCCCGAAAAGAAACCCGAAGCTCCTGCGAGGGCTTCTTTGCCCGAATTCATCAGAAGCATCATGGATGAGGTCGGTATATGAGAAGACGTAGTTTCAGAAAGATTCAGTTGTCATTAGAATAAGATGATTTCTTGATATCATCAATAGAATTAAGGGACTGGGATATACAATTTAGAATTTCATTTCTGGCTCAAAATTTGAGCAAAAGCAGAAATGACGGCTTTGGTTTTGTTAATCAATTTAGAAGAACTAAACGAACCTTTCAGTTGGAATGTTTGCGGAAAAGTATATTCAACTCCCCTCAGACCCTGAATGTTTCTTTCATAGTTATATTAAAAACTATTTTTTTTCTCGATTTTCAATTCAATCACGATCTCTCCTTCAGATGGTCTCTGAAGGAAGTTCCAGCAGATCTGTCGAAAAAAAACCGACTCCCGGATCAACGCACGAAAAAGTCGCGAACATTCTGAAACGAACCACCCAAAGATCCGAAGAAACAGATCAACCGACTTCAGTTCCGAACCTTTCGGGAACTTTGAAAAGCGAACTAGATGCTCAGGAAGACGCCTATGAAAGGTTCCGAATAACCTGTTTTCTCGACAAACATGTGTGAGATTTAGTCAGCGAAAAAGGCCGGTGGCGGATAAAAAGAGTTCGAAAACTTTGGACGCTTTGCTCGGTCAGGCCAACCTTCTGATTGCCAGAGGAGACCACGAAAACTCACTAGAAATGCTTATGGAGGTTGTTTCTTTTGATTTACGAAAGATCATTTTATACTTGTTGGGGAATTTTCAAATGGTTTTTGAAACCGTTTGAATTATTTTTGAAATATTCTTAATTTTTCAAAAATCAAAGAAAAAAATAGTAGTTCGAGACAAAGAAAAAAATGAAAAATTTAGACTGTTGACTGATTTTTTTAGTCGTGTTTCTCCGTTTGAACGTTGAAAAGAAGCTTAGCCGCTCTGAACAGAAATATTAGGGATATATACAGAAAACAATGTTTTTCCTCTCATGTTATATTGATACGGAGCTTTTTTTTGCCTTGAAGTCATTATTTCAGTTCATTTAGCCGCAAATGTTTAGAATTTGAATAGAATTAGTAATTTCATAGAGTTGGAAAAAGGTTCCTTTTTTCTTGTTCACAGAAATTCTTCTTTTTCATTGAATTTCCTTTTTTCGAAGCGACCTTTTTAGTTTAATTTGGAAATGTCTTTTTTTTCAAAATTTTTCCCCTGTTTTCAACGGAAACTTTTCTAAATGAGAAATTTCAGGTAATAAGACTGGATTCCAGAAATTCAGTTGCTTACCGCCAAGTTTCGACGATTTACCACATGAACGGAGAAGTTCAGCGGGCTCTTCAGTTCGTTTCTTGGTTCCAGCAGATGAAAGAGTGTTCTGTTGAAGATATGGTCTTCTTTCGGCTCATCTCGACTCGAAAACTTCAGCGCCGGAATGGATTCATTGGGGCGACGAATCGAAGAATCTCTATATGTATGAGGAGGCGGCTGCTTGTTACAGTCGAGGTAAGGAGCTCTCAACGAGACTCGAAAAAAGAATGGAATTGAAATTCCGACTCTGATGTCTACTTTCGAGTCTTCGAGACCTAGATTGAACTGGTGAAACTCATTCCGCCCTAGCTTTTCATTTTTTTTAATCGAAGAAGAAGATCGTTTACCAAGTAAGAACAAATTTGAGCAGCACTTCAAGACATTTGTTTTTGCCGTCTTTCTGGGAGTTTTATATAACAAGGGGGTTTTTATAATATAATTGAAAAAAATGAATCACCGTTAACCATTATTTCGATCCCATCGATGATTTATTGAATGTTTCGTTTTTCAGCGTTACGAAGCGACCAAACCTCCTACGAAGGGTACCAAAAGCGCATCGAAATGCTGGATTTGCTCGGTCTGCGGCCCTTGGCCATGAGAACTCGACTACAAGCCGCGCAAATGATCGATTCTTCCGCGTCGGGAATTACCTTCGATTGGTTCCAGAACCTCATCAAAACGGTAGAAAAATAACCTCTGAGAGAAGTAAAATCATCAATTTATAAGAAATAACAGTAAAAAAGGTTAAAAATTGAAATACATTTTTTTTTTTTGCAAGAGAGATAACATCAGAACTTTCTAGAATTGGCTGAAAGTTTAGTTTGAATTTGATTCAAAGGTGAAAAAAAGATTTAAAAGATGGATCAAATGAATTTTGAAAAAAACAATTTCAAAAACGTATTTATTTGAAAAAAAAAAGGTTTCAGCTTGCCCAGTACTACATGACGATCAACGACGAAGAAAGGGCGATTCAGGCCTTGGAAGCTTTTGTCTACAGAAGTATGGAGTTTGGTCGATCCGCAGATGCCCAACATGATACTTTGATAAGTAATCAAATGTTTCTTCTCGCAGAAAATCGAAGTTTTCTCCAGGTATGCTCATTTTGAAAGGACGATTCTCGGCGGCCGCCACTTCTATCTTGGCTCTTTGCCCGGGAATCCAAGTTTTCCGGTGTTCTGATGATCAACCGGCTTTCACGGTTCGTTTTGAAGTTCTACGAGGATATAGATAATGTAGAATATATATATATATATCTCCAAGTAGCGACAACAGAAATTTAGTTTTTAGAGAATATCTCGTAAAAGGAATTTAATATAAACGTTCAATGGATATGTTTAGTGTTGAAGAACTCTATCATTTTTTTTTTCTAATTGACTAGTCGTGTTTGATTTGTTTCTTCCTGTAGATCTCCCACTCGAACGGATCTCCACTGGTTGTTCCCTTCCCGCCGACTGTTCCTATCCGGTTCCGAATCGACGACCGTTTCAGAACGGAAATGCTCGCCAGACTGATCCACTGCTTCATTGCCCTGGGCAGGCTGGAAATAGCCAAGGTTGGAGGGAAAAATAGAAGGTTTCGGAAAACGAAAGAAGTTTAGGATTTGGTGAACGAACTGTTGGAAAGGGACCTCTCTCAATCTGAAATCGAGCCTCTCGCTCTGGAAATCGCCCGGGTTTTCATCAGTTTCGACAAGCAGAAATTAGCCAAAGTTTGTTTTGGCCGGATTTTCGGAGTTAGGAAGAAAAACTGCGGCTGGTTATTTTCCTATCATTTTTCACGAGGCACTTTCATCGGCTTTTTATAAATTTCTAAAAATCAGTTCTCCGAAAGGTTTATAGAAAACGGTAGAGAATTCTTTTTTCAGCTAGAATATCTTTTCAGCGTGTTTCGAGACCTTCTTTGAAAGAAGATTTTCTAGTTAAAATTAAAGGAAACTTTGTTTCAGAAGTTTTTGGACGACCTGGCCCAGTACGACTACTACACGGAGTACAGCGCGGAGTACTGGTTCATCTACGGCGGAATTTACATGTCGGCGAAAGAAGATGAACTGGCGATGGACGCCTATGAAAGGGTATCCAGTCGAATCCTGATGTTTTGAGACGATTTCGGGCGTTTTCTCAGGTCTTGGAACTGAATCCGTCGCACGTCGACAGTAGAATCACTTTGTCGACTTTGCAACAGCGCGCCGGGTTCGCCGACCGAGCTCTCGACACTCTGAGGGGCCACGATCTGGATCAGTGCACCCAGTTGCCGGTCGGTTAAAGGATTACAAGAATTGTGCAAAATCGAGTAAAAATGAAAAATAAGCCTTCCTGATGAGACTTCCTGATAGCTGAAATACGCCTTTCTACTGAATCAAAAAAATGTTTTTATTTCACTTCTAAAAAAATTTATATTTTCATTTTCGAATCCTTATGTGACCCGAGTAATAAAAGCTCTTATATCTTACTATAAAAAATTAGATTTGTAGATATTCAGAAACCTGGCTTCATTTTCAGGACGAGAGACTTCTTGTTCGTCAGGCCGATGTCCTTTTCGAGCGCCAGGAAATCGATCAGTTCATCCACACGACTAGGTTTTTCTGTCTTGGAGTTTCTCCAACTTTGATTCATTCGTAGGCTTCTGCTCGCGCCTCATTTCTACGAAGTTCACCGTGAAATGGATCAGACGGGGAAAAAGAGAAACGTCAGGGCCAGTGGTTTGGAAATTAGAGATTTCTGACGAAATTTGCTTCTCAGGAGTGGGAATTTCGTTGAGCAACGTCTTGAGGTCGGCTGCAGTGAACGCCTTGGTCAATACGCATTGGGAGAGACTCGTCCGTCGTCTTGGCCAGAATGCCGTCAAAACCGGAAGAAATACGGATACTCTTGATATCTCTGCTGTGAGAGCTTCTCAGAAGCCCTTTCTAGTTGGGAATTGTGGGTTCAGATCCACGACTACTCCCTGAAACTCATCGAAAGTCTCATCGACAAGAAAAGATTCGGAGACGCCCTCGTCGTCTGTTGCTACGCTTTCCTGCAGCCGCGTCTCTACAAAAAGTCGGACCGGTACGGTTTCAGGCAATTCTGTCATTACCTCCAATTTAGGGTTTTCCAAAAAAGGTACGGAAGTTTCAGTTTTTGATGAGAATTTCTTTTTCAATAAATGGTTTGCAACAATCTATAACTGACAGATTTTTGACAAAAAAAACTTTCAAATCTAATTTTTTCGTGCTTTCGATAGCAAAAAAGGCTCTTCAAAAATTCAAAAATTCGAGAAACCTTTGAGAAATGATATAAAGAGATAATTTCTATTTTTTTATTATCATAGTTCTCAAAGTTTTTGCACAATGATATATAATATCATTTTGAAAAATTTTTATTTTATTTTTTTCTGCAAAAAAAGTTGATTTATTGAAAAAAACCTTCTCAATAGTTTTTATGGATTTTAAACGGGACGAAGTTTTTTACTCTTGAAAATTATTTCGATAAATTCGTGTTGAGTTAGAGAACTCTTATGGGAATATTCCTTCGAAGGAGAATTGAGAAATTTGTTTAAAAAGTGGTATTCTCCACTGTGAGAAAAATTATCAGGCTGAGTCTAATATTTAAGGACCTTTTTTAAGTTTCAGTTTCATTTACTCATCTACTCTACGAGATAGATGAGAAAGAAGTACATTTGAGCTATTTTAAAGCTTCGCCTATTTTTTGATATTTAAAGGAAGATGATTGAATGAAGAAAATCATGAATTGAATTTCCCAAGGTTTTTGTTGCAGAATGAACACATTCCACAATCTTCTCTACTTTTGCGCGATCAAAGCTCATTCCTGGACCTTGGCCTTTGAATATATCCGCTGGTATCACCATTACGTCACTGTATGTTCTTTTTCATCTTGAAGATGATTTGAATGGAAGAAATCTGCAGACGACGATGTCCCAACTCCTTCCCAACGACCCGAATGTGTTGCTCCGAAGAGTGGCCAACGCGATGAACTTCGTCTTTGTCAATTCTCAGAATATTTCCTATCATCGTTACATCATGAGAGCTCTTGCGAAGGTATTTTCTCGGAAGCTAGGAACTTTTGTGTTCTTTCGAGTCAACTTTTTTGATTTGCTGAAAGCTACGTTTTGCTCAAAAGAGATTCAATGCCATTCAATTTTTGTATTGAAATAGAATTTACTGTTTTGTCGTGTTTTCTTTTTTTACACAGTTCTGATTTTTCTCAAATTTTTTTAATACTGTGCAATAAATGGAGGCTTTCGAAGCTGATCGATTAGTTTCCTAGCTGAAAATTCTAAGAGTTCCAATGAAATTTGAAAGTTTAGCTCAAAATCGGCTCAAGGATTTTTGAAAATAAAAAGAGATAAAGGAAACTTTTAATTTTCAGGCGCCGGAGAGCCTCGCTTTACAAACGATTTCGGGTAACAATTCGCTTATCACCGGAACTTATCGACATGCTCTTGGTTACTCATTTTTTGAAATACACTTGGAAAAACGTCAAGGGTTCAGGTGAATATTTAAGGGTTCACAAGAACCCGGACAACCAGGACGACTCTCTGATGTGTTTGATGCTCAGTTTGACATTTACTCATATGGCATGCAAGAAGGATTTGTCCAGTCGCCATCTTATTGCATTGAGGGTTCGTCTTACGAACTGAGGGAAGAAAGCTATCAGAGAAAACAATGAAAATGTCCTGAAAACAGAGTTCACAGCATACGGGCTAGCGTTATTTTCACTTTTGCATCCCCACATTTTTAGATGGCTCCAAAAACATCATTAAAAAAACTGAACTATATAAAACGTTATTTTTCAAAAGGAAGAAAGGGGGTGCGACAAGTAACGTCACACATTTGAAAAGTTGCCTGGCCCGCGTATGGGTCACAGTAGGAACGTAAATATACTGAATTTCAAAAAAAGGTTTTGCTCTTAATTGCTCCTAATTCTTTTGGTTGTCAACTTTGTCTTTTTCAATCTTTAGTATTTCTTTGGGAATTCGCTCTAATGAGCAAAGCTCAAAATGACTAGCCACGTATTTTCTTCATTAGAATATTTCGGATATTTTAGATCTGTAAATTCAGACTTGAATATAAGTTTTTCTCATTTTCAATAACTAAACCTTTTTTGAATATTTTTTATGCAATTTGGTTAATGTAGAATAGTTAAGATGTTTTCATTCACACAGAATTTTTCAAACCAACTCTCGAATATTCTTATAAAAAAGGATCAGAAAGTTTTGCAGGGCCTAGCGTTCATGAAAAGGTATGCGAAGAACCGGAAGGTCAAGCCAGAAGTCTTTTATAACATCGGGCGGATGTTCCACCAGATGGGCCTCGTACACATCGCCAAGCACTTCTATGAGAAGGCTTGTCCATTTGCAATACTGATAATACTTTTTACTCATGATTTCAGGTCTTATCCGCTGACCCGCCTCTTGTGTACTACTTCGACAGAGACGCCAACGAGCATTCTTATCACTCGAAAAGGTAAAAAAAAAGATTCGAAACTTTTCGGCTGCAATTTCATTCCTGAAGAATGAGGAATAAATGGAAAATTGAAAATTTCCAATTTATTCCGATAATAAAGTGTGATGAATGTTGAAGATAAATGAAACTCCATTTAACTTCATTTCTCTGAATTTACAATTTAGTTTCGAAAATGGTGTTTTCGAAAATTCCGTGGTCTTCTTTCTATTTTTTTTTTCAATTCTGTCAAAGTTTTACTCAAAAATAATGATATAAAAATGTATTCTTAATGAAATTCAAAAAGCTCCAATTGAACGACGAACACTTGAAAAAAAAAACTTCATTGGAAAAAGATTGAATATCAAATAATAAAGTAATTTTTAAACGTTAAGGTACGATTTGAGGCCGATGGCCGCCCACAACCTGGCGCTGATCTTCAAGAACAGCGGAAATGAACTCGCCGCACGGGACATTTACGAGAAATTTCTTGTTGTTTGATCTCCATTTATCAAGTTGATCTTGTTGATTTTTTTGATAATAAATATATATATCTCATCATTAAATACTACCGATTTTTTTGCGTGCGTTTCTCGCAAATTCTATCTGCCCTCAACTCTGGGAAAATTATGCTAACGGAATTTGTAGTAGTGGGACGGAAATGTTCGTTCTCTCCCTACTTAGGGATACGGTGGCGATAAAGCCGCATGAAATGGGAAAAGATCAGATGACTGTGAGTTTCATGACTTCCTACTCCTAAAAAGCATTTTTTCAGGTCCTGAAGCGACGACTCAATGAGCGACTGTCAAATAAAGTTTGAAAAATATTTGAAATTTTCTGAATTGCGGAATTTTCAGGTCGTTCCTGAGCTTGGTCTCTGTATTTGTGTCTATGACGTCACAGAAGCCGGCGTCACTTTCATATTACCTGGCGAAGGGGCGGGGCGTGTTAGTGTTTCGGTAAGGACTTTTCTGACTAATTGAAAATAGTTTATGAGAAAGTTCATCGCTAAATGTAAGTAGTCTTGTAAAAACAATTTTTTCAGCCTGTTTTGTTTTTGTCGTCGATTATTATACCAAGTCCCTTGGTAGATTGAGTAGCAGGAATGATGTTGGAGACAAAAATCAGAGAAAAAGTTATTAATAAGATTTGGAGAGCCAGAGATGATTTTGAACTTTGCGGAAGTTACTTGCATTTGGTGCGAAAGTTCAGTAATCTGCTTTTTCTTAGAAATGAACTTTTAGCAAGTTTAAGGTTTTTGTAGTTTCGCCTAGTGGTGTTCCGGCCATTTGTGGACGAGGTGATCGAAGCGAAGGTCGTGGCGTCGAGCCGAGCCGGCCTGACTCTGTCGGTGCAGTTCTTCGAGGACATCTTCGTGCCGGCGGCGCGGTTGCCAGAGCCTCACGTCTTCGAGGACGACGGCCAGATTTGGTACTGGGAGTACGCTTCTGAAGAAGAATCCGAACCTCCGGCCAAGCTCTACATGGACCCTGGCAAGGTTGTCCGCTTCAAAGTCGTCGAAGTCATTTTTAGGTTCATTTCGACTGAAATTCGAAAAAAAAAACTGAAAAGTTGATCTTGCAGAGACACCAAGCCGGACCTGACGATCGAGGAGAATCGAAGAGAAAAGTCAATGGAAATCATTGGAACGATGGCAGGCACGGGACTCGGCTGCATTGGCTGGTGGAACCAGGTCGAGGAAGCCGACGAGGTTTTGGACGATTCTGAGGAATGAAACATTCCATTTTATCGGACATTTTCATTGGTAGCTTGAGTAGGAAGGTTATACGTCAAAAATCTTATTCTCAAAGATTCCATCGTTAATATCATCGTCCTAAAACATTTTCTTAAGTTCTCTTTCAATGAATTTGAACTACGGGGCCTAGAAAATTTCGTAAAAAAAAGTATTAGAAGTTTGCTGGAAAATGGCAAACTAAAATTATATCCTTGTTTTTTTCACGATTTTTTTGTAACTTTAAATTTCCTGTCAGAAACGGTTAATAATATGAGGCCCTTAATTTTTTTAATATTTTTTTCCTTTTCTGAAAAAAATAAAATGCTGCGCCAATTCCATATTTGCAAAAAGACTTCGAAAAAGACCTTCGAAAGTTTTTCAAAACTTTTCGTTTTTTTCAATCTGTTATGTACCTTTGCTGTGAAGTTCCACCGTCATAGTTGTTATTATTACACGTTTTAATATTCTTTTTTTTTTTTAGATTGATACCGTCAGTTTTTAGATTCTTTAATTTTACTACACATTTAAAAGAGATGATACGGTTATTTGCGCGTGAGTTTATATCACCTTTCAATCTGTTTTTACCTTGTCATTCGTATTTTTCCTATCGTTTTTGTTGATAATTTTATTGTTGATGCGTCTTTTGTTGTTTTTCTCAGTTTTGATTCGCGTTTTGTGAATGAATTTTTTCTTTTAACCCTAAAGTGTTTGTAGTGGACAAATAGTTGTAGTATAAAGAACTGAAGAGATTTCCGATCATCTGAAAACTTCTTTCCTTGAAAAATAGACTTCGCTAAACTTCACAATTTCTCCAGTTTTTTTTTCTATTTATTTCGAAATAAACGTTTGCTGAGACGTTGATGAAACCAATGAAGTTAGAGAGCTGTCAAAGAGAAACTAACTAGGGCATGGTCTCCGCTCGACAACGAGTTGAGAATTGAGACTTTGTGGGTGGACAGGCCCCCCCGTACTCGGAATCAAAAATAAAATTCTGCTAAACCCCATAGGCGACCGAGGAAAAGCTCGTCGAAAGTTTTCCAGCGCTTATATGGGTGCGCTCGGAGGCTTCGGCTAGCAACTGGCGGCGTGGTGTAGTGGGTTGTGGCCTTGTGCATTATCAATATCGTGACCAGGGTTCGAATCCTTTTGGCGGAAATCGTTTTTGCCGGCTCACAACTTTATTCCTTCTTCATTTTTTTGGGATATTTTTTTCAAAAAAATCTACAAAAAAATTCACAAAAATCACAATAAAAACAAAATACTGATTTGAAATTTTTTTTTTCGTTTTTTTTTTCTCTACTTTAAGACGATGAAGAAAACGATCTGTTTATGAAAATTCACGTCGAGTAGATATGTTATAAAACTTTGAGCTTTTTTAAAAAGCGACTACCTGTTTTTTGGACACAAGTGTACTAAACAGAAACATAGTAACACGATAAAACAACTAAAATGAAACTTTTCCGTTCGTTTTCGCCTTCCAAGTGTCAGAAGATATGGCGATTTTCGAAGATTCCAACAGAAATTTGGGCGAAAGAAGCTTAACTTTAATAACTATGCTGCCGATTGCCTGTCTTCCAACAAAAATATTTGAGAATAACCTCCTCAACAGTTCTTCAACACGAGAAGAAAAACTTGGCATGAGAAAAAGAGTAGAAATAATAATTTTCTACAAGTTTTGATGTAAAGTTTTGAAAAAAAAAATCCCAAAAATGAGAAAGGAATAAAGTTATGAGCTGGCAAAAACGATTTCCGCCAAAAGGATTCGAACCGTGGTCACAATATTGATAATGCACAAGACCACAACCCACTACACCACGCCGCCAATTGCTAGCCGAAGACTCCGAGCGCGGCCATATGCGCGCTGGAAAAATTTTGACGAGCTTTTCCTCGGCTGCCTGTGGGGTTTAGCAGAATTTTATTTTTGATCCCGAGTACTCTCACCTAGGCCTATCCAGCCACAAAGTCTCAATTCTCAACTTGTTGTCGAGCGGAGACCATGCCCTAGTAAGGTCTTTTCATGGAGGCTTTTGTTATTTCTAATGGAGTTCAGGCAAATTTCACAAAGTTTCCAAGGCGAAGAGCCGTCGTACTTCGGAAATTCAAGTCCTCTGTCTTTAAAAACTCCCAATTTAAAAAAAAATTAACTATTTAACCGAATGATTACCTCTATAGGGAATAGGCTATAAACAGAATTTGAGAGAACGTACCTTTGAAAATCAATTTTCAGCTTTTATATAGAAATTTGCGCAAAAAAATGATGCTTTTTTTAAAAAAATTTTACTTTTTACGTAAAACTATGGAACGCCCTCCGTTTTCCTAACGTTACTCGATAGAACGCATGTTTCATACCAACAAACTACGATGTTAACGAAATTTTCGGGCTTTAATTTCATCATAGCAATGTTTGGATCTCATATTTGAGATTCTGGGAACTTTTTTCAGTTTTCTCTCCACTTCAGCATTTTCCAAGCTAACGAACTTTAGCTTTAACAAAGCTTTTCGGAGTACACTTTTCTCTATAACAACCAGCCGCCCTCGTAGTCCATTCACGTGTCTCCGCAAAAAAAAAGTAATCGGTCCGTGACGCAAGTACGGCAATAAGAAACGGCGGCAGTGGGAAACCTCGGCGCCGTTTTTTTTTTCCCTCAGGCAATGGCTGAATTGATAAGTAATCCGGCGTGCACAATGCCGTGCATTAGTGGATAAGTGCGGATGAAATCCAGGTTTTGTCGGTAATCTCGACGACAAAGGCCGCGCCACTTACCGGCTCGTTTCTGGGAATTCCGTCGAGTACTTCTGCGTAACTCCTGCCTTTTTCGACACTCTTTTTCTTCATTTTATCAGCTGATTTTACAAGCTTTGAATACGTAGTGTGAAAAATTTCACAGGGTTGAAAAAAGAAGCTGAGCCAAATATGAACAATCCCATTAATAAAAGCTAAGGCGAACAGGGCTCTGGAACACAGTTACGGTACTAATTGGTCATTCTCAAGAAAATAAAAACTTCAAATAAGTTTTTATGGACTTCTTACACTAATCTCTCCGAAGAAATGTCTCGCGCTTTCTCGAAAAAGGGGCGTGGCCGTCCAATCAAACAAGGATTTTCGACTGGCTTCCCAAAAAACCTACAATTTCCTGATTTTCTTTCACTCATTCATCAAGAACTGATTTACTGTCACATTCGGAAAAGTGATTATTAATACACGGTTTCTGCGAAATTGAAATTTCCAAACTTCAGAGCACACTCCAACGCTCAATAGTAAGTAGCTATTCTGTTACTAAAGTTCATTCGAATCGATTGGATATTTTAGAAATCACAAGTTTTAAATTTTCGAATTCCTATTAAGCGCAAAATTTTCGCAAGTTTGAGCTTGCAAAGTTGAACTTCTTTTTTTTTGCTTTAAATTTTGATGATGAAACAGTTTTTAGTAAAAAAAAAGGCGTTTCTTTTTAGTACTTTTTATAGATTCATATGAAAGTGTCTTTTTTTCCTGTTAAAAATTTTTTTTCAATACCTATGTTTTATCGTAAATTTTGGAAAGAAAATAGGATTTATAATAAGGTTGAATGCATGTTCAAACTACATACTTAAGTCCAAAGTTGCAAACATTCAAAGGGACATTTTTTTTTCAAAAATACATTTGTAGCACATCCCAAACATATAAAAATCTCATCGAGCTCTCACTTTCTCTTTCGAGTTATCAATTAAGCTGAGAATTAAGCCACGGCCAACGTTATCATCCAATTATTCAAGTTCAACCATATCTTTTTCCTTTATTCTCTGTTCAACATTCTTCCTGTTATTTCTAAAAATTAGTTTTTAGTTTTTCAGGCCCCTTTCTAGCTCTTCTCATGGCTTCAACAAATAAAAAGAAATAAATTAACAATAATCTTTTTCAATGGTGAACGACAGGGAAAGTCTTATTTAGTTTGATTTCGAAATGAGGAAGGAAATTGATGAAAAACCGCGCTTTTTTCCTCCTGAATTTTTTCCTTTCTCTGGTTGAACGGAGCTCCGTTCATTAAATATTTCCTTTTCTCAGCCTCCCTTTTGTTTTTTTTTAAATTTCGAAACCTTTGATCCTTTTTTTCTTTTTGACCTTTTCATTTATTTATACAAAGTAAAAGGTTCCATGAAATTTGATTTTCAATAGAAATGAGAAAGTTAAAAAAAGAGGGTGTATTGTGTTTCAAATTGATTCGCTCAGTTCTGAAATAACAAAAAGCTTAGCCGTCTCCGATCCAAGTACTACCGGCTCTCAACTTTGCTTAACTTGCCAGATCGGACGGGATGGCATGTTTTAAACGTGATGTGGTCGTAAGCGAAGGAGAAAGGGTGTCGCGGAGCCATAGCCTTGGTCGGAATGACCAATTCACACAGGTTGAACAAAATTAAGAAATGTTCAAAGCACGATAAAACGTTTGTTGAAAATACTTTTTGATGCTCAGGTACAGTTTGGTTTAATAATAAGTAGGCGTGGTTTCCAGAAAAAGTTAACGTTAATTAACATGTGAAACTTTTGCGTCGCCGTTAATGATCTTGGGAAGCAGCCGTGAGAAAACACGTCTTTTTTAATTTGTTGGAAAAATTTTTGTTTACCAGTGTTCTCAGTAATAATCAGATACCAGGTGATAACTTGGAAAATCATTGAGATAATTTTTGAGATTTTTTCATTGTCCGCACAGGTGAAAACGCTTTTTTGGTGTTTCATTTTGATTTGATTACATCATCAACGGCTTCGGTATTATCAAAAGAAACTAGTTACCGTTGCTTCGATAGCTCTGAAAGTTTTTTTCGCTGTCTCTTTGAAGTGTTCTTCAGGCTATTCAAATAGACGGTAAACCATAGGAAAATCGAGAAAGGTTATCGCGATACCCTCTGAGGTATATCGCAGGCTCTGAAGTCTCACGATGGTACCTCGAGGATACCTCTGAGGATTTTGAGCAAAATGAGAAGGTGTTGAGAGAGACTCTGAAGTACCTTCGAGATGGCTCAGATATAGCTAAAAGGTATGCCGGAGGTCTCACGATGGACATATTATGGGGTCTTCACGACCCATTTTGAGAGGTATCTTTGTGGACACATTATGGTACCCTCTTTGCCTGTGACTTTTAAATTGATGTTTTTTTTTCTTTTTTGAAGTTTACACTCGTAAAAAAGGATCTTGACTTTTTTTTCGCAATTTGAAATGCCTCTGTCGCAATGGCTGAAAACATCGCATTATGGCTGGAATCCGAAGATTCTTCAAATCTCTTCTGTACGCGTGTAAATCTATTTTGGTTCATCTTCTTAAAAAAAAACCTTGAGAACATTAGCTAACAAGTTACGAGCGACCCAAAGTTAAGATTGTCGAAAGCGGCCAGAAATTTTTAAGATTTTTTCGAAAACTTCGGAAACGGCTAATTATCAAATCTTTGAGACGTGTTTTTCTCCAACACCTTGTGGCTATTTCTGTACTTTTTTTCTTGTGTGTAACCTTGATGAAGACAAAAAAGTGCGGAAGGATTACCTGCCGGCGCCAAATCCGCCCCGGAGAATGGGAGCGAAAGCCGAAGAAAAGAGTCGAGGTCGGTGATTACCGGTTGCCCAGGTGCTGTTGGAAGCCGCTGTTTGTGTCTCGGCGTCTCTCATTCTTCTCGCTACCTTTTTTGCCCCACGGCCATTTTCTTCGGAACCTTCGAACCTGTGTTTTTCTCATTGCGTGTATCTTAAAAACACGAGGTCCTTATGGGAAGCTTTTTCAATTGAAAAGTGGCAGGTCTGGTGTTGAGAACAACAGCCTCTAAAATATGGGTTTTTGTGCTCCATCGTGAAACTTTTCTGTAAATCGCAAACCAATGGTAATTTTTCAGAAAATTAAGTTTGATTGTTTTCTCGCTCCAAATTTCCTAATCATCTTATAGGAACCTTCATTTGGAGAAAATTTTTACTTCACGTAAGAAAATCGGAATGATTTATTCAATTACCAGAGCTCGCCACTTCAAAGTGCGAATTACGAAGAAATATTATAGAAAAACTGCGAAGAAAATTTTTCAATTCTAATTTCCCCCTTTTTTTGTCTTCCAATTCATCAAGCATGTGTTTTTCTCGTCGCGTGTCCATATAAAAGATCCTTATGAAATGCTTCTATCTATCGAAATTGGCAGGTTCGGAGACCGGGTAACTAAAAAAAAACCGCCTCCATTTTTCAACCTTATGCGCTCTATCGGAAAGCACCAATCACGTGTCTAGTTTTGAGCTAGTTATGAATTTTAGTTTCACATCCCTCATGGAAATGGCGAAACAGTGAGATCACACAGTATAATATTTAAAAGTATAATTTAAAAAAATTTTTTTAGGTATGAAATTTTTTTCAATAGCCCATTCCGCGCAAGCTTTCTCAAAAAAATATTCCGATCATTTCGGTGCATATTTGACCAAACTTCGCTACGATACCTTTTTTTCTCGATGTCTTTATTGATTTTTTGTGGGAAAAAGCTGTGTTTACGGTGGCTTTTTTCTGCTGTAAAAACTAACCGTCTTTCATGAAACACACCTTGATAAATTCGAATTTTCTCGGCCTAAGTTGAAAAATTTGAACAAAGGGTTTTCCAACTTTTGAAAGTGGTAAAAAATTTTCCACAGCGCCTGCTTAGATTTTTTGAAGAAAAAAAGTTTTGATATTCAGCTATTCGGTCTCTTTCTCGAGGAATTTTTTTTCATATAAAAATTGACCTACTTTCAAAAAGAAAATTCGCCTACTCGTCGCCTGCGACTCACTTCATTTCCGTTTTTTTCAATTTGTTCGTTTTTTTGGTCATTAAAAAAACGTCAAAGAGTTTTTTATTTATGATTTTGAGATGCACAGATAAAAATAAATTTGCGAGTGTACTTGAATATATACTTGAATAGTTATTTGATCTCCTTTGATTTAGCAGATTTTTAAACCAAAAAAATTTATTTCGGAGATGTATTGATTATACTGTAAAGTTATGTATAATTTATATTATTTTCGTTTATTTTCGGTTCCTCTCCACATTCAAAATTTCTACTTCTTGATTTATTTCAAAACGTTTTTTGTTCCTTTTGAACTATTTGGTTTTAACTCGAGCCTTTTTTTTTCACCATGAGTAGGGACCGCAGAGCCACGCCCACTTCGCTGTTCAAAAAACTTCGTCATTTTCGTTGCATTTTGGTTCTTTTTCATATTTTAAAACAGTTTTCTTGTACCGATTTGGGAAAAAATTGGGGGAAACATACAATCGGCTATGCTTAACAATACTACATATAAGAAAAATACTGAAAAAAATGAGAAATAAGAATGTACGACGACAGTTTTTAAAAACGCATTTGTGGCCGAAAAACGGATAAAAAAATCCCGTTTTTTTCTTGAAAGTTTCTGGGCAACTTTTTTTTATTCTTGAATATCATAAAGCAACTAAAAAAACGCATATTCTGGCAAAAAAATAAAAAAATTCTATGGTTGGCCTCAAAAAAACAACGCAATTTGAAAAATCACGATTTTTCGAAATTCCTTATTTTCGAAAAAAACGCAATCGATAATTACTGATTATATTTTTTTAAACGGTTGTTTGCAGTTGTTTGCAAATTTTAAAAAAATAGAAAAACTAAGTTTTTTTCATCGTTTATATAGTTTATATGAAAGCTTAAAATTTCCGTTTTTTTGTAACGCTTTGAAAACGGCTCAAAAGCGTTCTGGGCAAGTTTTTTTATTTCATAATATCAAACATTAGACATTTCTCTACAACATATCGAAAAATAAACAAATTCCTAGGATGGCCCGAAAAGTATGGTTAATTTTAACGCTCGAAAGTTATTTTTAAAACTGCGCGTCGCTGGAAATCTGCAGACACCGCGAAGGCCACGAAATTTTTCGAAAGCGTGAAGAAGGTTTTTTTTAAACTATTTATGAATTCTATTTAAGTTTTCTCATTTTATTGTGGCTTTATAGTTGCTTTTTTTACTCATTTCATAATTGGAATCTTTTTTTCCTATATCATTATATCCATTATAGCAGCGAGAAAAGTATTAAATTTCGCTTTTACTCAACTTTTTTCGAATTTGTTCAGAATGTCAAGTAAAGAATTCTAAATAATTGTTTACGTACACTCCATGTAGACGCACAAACTTTAGAAAAAAATAAAAAGAAGTAGAAAAATCAAAAAGTAAAAAAACGCTTTCGCCCTTTTTAAAAACTCTCTGAAAAAAAGGACTTGGTGATTATTTACATATTTTTTTCAGTAAATTTCTTAGTAGACTGTTACATTTTTCAATTCGGTTTAATGCTGTTTGTCCTTCGCAAAGGTCTATTTTGTCGGTTATTTTCTTTTTTTACGAAATGCATTGAAACCTTCTTCAAAACTCGCTTTTCAACAGCGTGAGTGCTTGAAGAGTAGGCTGATATTGAAAAAGAGCAATGTTCAATATGAAAACTCTAATATTTCATTTAAAACTTCTAAAAACTCAAATAAATATGTTTTCGAAACGTCTCCTGCGTGAATTAGCGCACAGCAAGGAGCGCGCGGCATCTATAAACACGCCCCTTTTTCCTGTGAACCTGACGGAAAGTTTCTACACAAAAAGTGGTTCCCCGATTTCGCCACTTTTTTTGCTTATAACTTTTTTTCATTTTTTTCATATTTTTTTCTTTTCTGTTTTTCGCAGTTAGCTCTCGATCGCCATCAGCTTTCTTTTCATATAGGTTTCAACTTTATATCACTGACTTTGGAAATTGGCCTGCGGTCCCTAACCATGAGACACTCAAATATAGGAAATTTTCTTCAAATATTTTGACCAAAGAACTCTTTTTTCCCAATTGTTATCATGAATATAATGCTGCGATTTTATTAATTGGCTTGCTTTGTTTTTTTCACAGCTTTTCATTCAGTTTTTAAATCAAAAATCAAAATGAGTGATAATTTTTCGTTGAAAAAAACTATTTAAGGAGATTTTTTTAACTTTGTTAATTTTTTCATTTCCAACTTCCTGTTTACGCAAATTATTATTTAAAATCTCATGTCAGCGTTCAGGAACATTTCCTTATTTTGGTCAGAGAGCGAGTCTAGTACTGGGGTGTGTGAAAAAACGGTGATTGCGTCTTTCTCATACCACGTTTTCCGACGAAATTCCCTTCTAAATCAGGTGTTTGCCCGGCCAGCAGTTAAGACCAAGAAACTCACGTGAAGGAACGAATAATGATTCAAATAAAATGTGTATGAGAATGAAAACTTTTATAGGAAATTCTCGGAAAACTGCAGGTCCGAACAAACTTTTTCTTGTTATCAGATGGCTCCGAAATTTGGCTGAGATTAGGAGAAGTTTTCCTTGGTTTCATAGAATTGTATACTCCCTGAGACTTTCACATCATGTAAAAGCTTCAAAAAAGTCTTAAGATTAAGATTTTTTATCTAAAAAGGCTTTCAGAACACCTCATGCTGTAGAGTTTTAGCAGAACACAAAAAATGAAGCAGGTGTTTCATAATGACGTCTTTCTTTGGTTGATTTTTTTTTTCTCGACCCACGCTCCTGGATTTTTTTGAATTTTATTTCCATTCTCCTTTTTATGAGTTTAGATGTTCGAAAAAACTGTAAAAAAGCTGCAAATCGGGACACAAGATGGGGAGGGTACCATAATGTGTCCACAAAGATACCTCACAAAATGGATTGTGAAGACCCCCACGTGTGACCTGCATCATACCTTTTGGCTATATCTGAGCCATTTCGGAGGTACTTTAGAGTCTCTTTCAAGCTCTTCTCATTTTGCTCGAAGTTCTCAGAGGTATCCTCGAAGTACCATCGTGAGACTTCCGAGCCTGCGATATACCTCAGAGGATATCGCGATAACCTTTCTTGATTCGCCTATGGTTATACTATTCCGCTTTTTTTTAAACCAGCTCATCTTTAAATTATTTTTAATTTTCAGGCCCTCTTTTGTTTTTATTTTCCCCACTTATCTCAAATGACTAAAAAGCAACCACTCAAACGACCTTTCAGACGAATGATTCTTTTTCATCGAGCTCGCCGTTTGTAGTAACCGAGAGAGAAGACAATCAACCATATTTTCTTCTTTCCATTGACTACAAAAACCCTTTTTTTTCTTTCATAATCCGCCCTTGTCTCACGAATTGTCTTCTGATATTTGTATTGCTTTCTATTTTTTTTGTTTCGCTGTGCTCCGGAACGAGTTATGAAATAATTGTAAAAACATGAAAAACTTCACATTATTATTTTCATGATAAATTTTTCGCTTGAATCAAATTTAATTTTTCTCACAGGATTGTTTTTAGAAATAAACGAACTATATAACCTCTGCGATATTGATTTTTTTTTCGGAATGAATTTATGAATTGAGAAAAAAAAATCCGAGTTGAAAAAAAAAACAAATCAAAATAGGTGCCGTTTCTTGACGCAACTTCACCGAAACTTCCAAAGCCTGATGGAAATAAAAAAACTTGGATGTTTTATTATGTTCTCTATGATTCCAGTTTTTTTTCTAAATTTATAAGCAACTCAAAAAGTTGCCAATTTTATCTCTAAATATGTCCATAACCTACTTCCCACTATTTTTTTTCAACTTATTTTTTTGAAGTTTCCGTGCTTTTAGGATGTATAGAATGTAGGATTGCGTCATTCTGCAACTTGGTGAATTTTTTCCTCGAAAATTTGAAATTTCTTATTTTGAATTTCAATTTTACTTTTCTTATGCCGTGTTCAAAGTGATTCCGCGAAATTCAAAATAGCCGTCAGAGAAAGAGAAAGATAACTAAATTTTGGAGGGTCAGAGACCATTTTGCATTTCGCGGAAATTACTTTGAACACGACATTATGCACATCAGTTGAAGTTTTTTTTTTGTGAGTATTTACCTTCTCTCAAATGGATGCATCGATAGGTGTTTCGAAAGTCAAGTCTTAATCTCCTTCAAAATCCCTCAAGAATCGGTCTGCTTGAACTATAGACAAGAAGATCTTCTCGAATTAGACACCTATTCATTCGGAGCCGTTTTATCTTATCCTTACATCCACCTCTCCGTGCAATTTATGTTTCCCCTCGTGTTTTCTCTTCTTTTTCTGCGTTACCGTTTCCGAACAAAGAAATCGAATTTAATTTCTTGCCCTGTTATTTAAATTTCAGGTTTTTCTTTTCGATTCGGGAAAAGAAAGCATGGAGAAGGAATAACCCGAGAATCGACACACCAGTTTGAATAGTAACCGTGAGTTTTCGAAGTGTTCTTGAAAAAGTTGGAATGACGTGTAACCAACTCAATTTGCGTCTAAAGGCGCAAATTTTATGATTCTTCGTTTTCGTTTGTTTGAAAGCAACTCCATGGAGATATTGAATCATATTAACTATCGACTTGAACGGGGCATGATGAATAATACAACAGGAAAGTTGAAAAAAAAACCAAGATTTTCCGTTGAGACCTTCGTTCTGCTTCCTCAAAAAGAAGCTTTCAAAGAATTCCATTGATTCTAGCTCGTTTCCAAGCTTTTAAATAGCTAGTATGCATTCTTGAGAATGTATAGAATTAATAGCAAAATGTTGTGCAAAAAAAAAAACAGGTCGACATTAATGTTTCCCGGCCAAAAATTGTAGAAGTGAGCGCAGTCGGTTTGACATTCAATAAATTGTATCGTCCCTATTGTAACGTACCCAAGGCGTAGTTTCTGCACTGTTTTTCAACCTTTCCTTGATTCCAAGTCTGGAAAAATCATTTTGTCCTCAGCTTGTACTCTTGAAAAAATCCAACTGAAACACGAGGTGAAGGTAGGGCTAATAAGAAGAAAAGAGCGGCCGCGGGAGCGCCCGCACGGCTACAAACCGCGGTTCCCATTGATTTCTCTCCTCAAATCTCTGCTTTATCATTATACCTGTTTAACCTAGTTTCGAACTGGATATAACAAAGTCCATTTTTTGATCTCATTTCATCTCGGGCAGTCAGGGCTGATATCGATACTAAAAAAGACGCAGACTGAATGAAACTCATTGAAAAATAATTTTTTTTTGAAAAAAGATTATGCATATGATGTCATTTTTCTTGAAAATGTTTCTCATCTAAGCATTTACTTTTTGTTTCAATCGCACCTTTTCATTCTCCTCTGTATTTTTCTATTTTTTATATGGGGCTCTTCTCTTTTCTTTGCTTTTTTCATAAATTAAACTGATGCAGGACCAAATGTTTAACCTGAATATATAGCAAGCTCAAAATGGACGTTGTTTTTGACATTTAAGCAGTACAAGGTTCTACTCAAGCAACCAAATTCAATAAACTCTGTAGTTTATCTAATTTCATAACGACCTTTATTTTACTTTTTTCCAAACCCGAGAGGTTTGGTAAACATTCTTAATTTCATAATCTCACATAGATATTTTTTCTAGAGACCTCAAAATGTTTCGATACTAATAATAAAAGGGAAATTCAGTGCGATGGGGTCTTGCCAAAGTCAAGAGAACGCAGAAGGAAACACGCGAAACAAAGAGATCGAGAAGCAAATTAATGCGGACAAAAGAGCCGCCAGCAGCATCGTCAAGCTTTTGCTTCTCGGTTTTCAATCCTTTATTCTCCCTGATTAATTAGTTTGGTTTTTCAAGGAGCTGGAGAATGTGGAAAGTCTACTGTTCTGAAACAAATGCAGTTAGTTCATTTCTTTTTTTTTCTTTTCAAGGTCGCGTTTGAAGTATTTTTGCGAAGTTCGTAATGACCTCTAAATTTCCAGAATTTTAGTCGACTTTTTTCCTCTTTGACGATCGTCAATTGCAGAATTTTGCACAGCAACGGATTTTCTGAGGAAGAAATCAATGAGAAACGAGCCATCGTCTTCAATAACACAGTTTCTTCGATGTGCACGATTCTGAAGGCGATGGACGGCGTCTTGCATTTGCCGCTGGAAGATTTGCAGAAAGAGGTTTTTTTTCAATAAAGTTTCTTTTTGTTATTTCTTTATCAATCCTTCATTGAAATAACAGGGAAAACTCTTCTAGAGACCAGAAAGTTGTTCAAATACCTTATAAAGTAATGAAGGAAAAAATTTCCACTGGCACAATAAGCACGGCAATGAAATTGCTCAAATAGAAGTTCAACGTGCATGAAGCTTTATTTTATCGACTTTTCATCAACAATCGTGGTTTGGAATATATACTTGGAAAATTGAAGAGCGACAAGGCGATTGTAATGCGAGTCCAAGAGGCCGGAGAGGAAAGTGAACCGCTGACAGAGGAAGTCTCGCGGGCTGTTCAGTCGCTCTGGTATTTATGTTACTTGTTATTTATTTTACTTCAAATTCATCTTTATTGAATTTCATTCTGTCCAAACTTTATGGCTGAGGCGCTCCCATGACTTCAAATAACACTGGAAACAGATTTTTCTCTCGGAGACCTTCATGAAATTCATCCATAAACTTCCAAACGCCTTAGAAAAAATTGTTGAACGGACCACTTTATATTTTCAGATTAGCGATTTCCTTGAGAACTTCCAATTTTCCAGGAGCGATCCAGGTGTGAAGAAAGCTTTCGAAATGCGCAGTGAATACCAGCTTCCCGATTCGGCGAAATAGTCCGTCTTTCCTTTTTTTCCACTTTTTACCAACTTAAATACTATTTTAAGTTTCTTGGACAATTGCGCGAGGATCTCCGAGCCAGGGTATCGGCCCAGTGAACAGGATATCCTCTACTCCCGAGTCGCTACAACGGGAGTCGTCGAAGTCAAGTTCAAGATTAAGGAACTCGACTTTAGGTAAACCTTTCTCATAGAACTTTCAAGAAATGAGAACTTTAGGGTTTTCGACGTGGGAGGTCAGCGGTCAGAAAGAAGAAAGGTGAACTGCAAAATTAGTTTACGCTCTTATTCTCCGGAGTCGATATTTTCAGTGGATCCATTGTTTCGACAACGTCGAGTCGATCATTTTCATCACGGCCATCAGTGAATACGATCAAGTCCTTTTTGAGGACGAGAACACGGTTTCAATTGATCTTTATTACTTAAAAAGCTGCTAATTCTGTAGAATCGAATGGTCGAATCCATGCAGCTTTTCAATTCGATCTGCAACTCGACTTGGTTCATCTCCACGGCCATGATTCTTTTCTTGAACAAAAAGGATTTGTTTATGGAGAAAATCCAGAGGGTCAACATCACTACCGCTTTTCCGGACTACGAAGGTTTGCACTGATTTTTCCAATCCGAAAAATAGGAAGGGAGAATAAAATTAATCGCGTTTCGTGTACAAAATTGTATACAAATTTAGTTTAATTTCTGAGAATCGAAACTCCTCGAAGCCCCATAAAAGATTTGACAATTTTCCAATGCTGGATGTATCTTATAATTGCTCCCGACTTTGAACGGCTTTCTTCCTATGATCAAGGATGTAGTTGTTCGCGAATTTTTCGTCCACAGAGCTGAAACAGTAAAGTCCTCTAGAATAGGTACTGATGAGCGAAACGCTATCACAATGTAAGAAACAGACTTAAATAAATTTTTGTATAATTGATATTAGTAGTCAAAAATTGGATTCAAAAACGGCGAAAAAAAGGCAAAATATTTCTTTTTAAATTTCTAACTTTTTTTCAAGTTTTTTTAATTTCACATAACTTCAATCAATTATTCTATTAGAAATAGCTCGAGCGCATCAGTATTTCGAAAGGAAAGTTTAGGATTTAAAATATTTTTTGAAAAATTTTACCGATTTCTTCCTAATTCCAACCTTTTCAGGTGGTCAAAACTACGACGAAGCCGTTTCTTTTATAAAAGTGAAATTTGCTGAACTGAATCTGAATCCCGACAAGAAAACGATCTACATGCACGAGACTTGCGCCACAGACACTAATCAGGTTTCTTCTTGGATTTGCAGAGCGGATCGTTCTGAATCTAGCTTGTTCAGAAAAAAAAAATTTTTTTTTGTTTCAAAAAAATTACTTTCGAAAAACTACCTTGGTAAAGCTGAAAAAATCTTGAAAAAAGGCAGAATTTTAACTAGTTTCATTTTCTACTTTAAAATCTATGGGACACCTCAGAACTTCATGAAGAGACCATGCCCACATATTGAGGCTTTCTTAAAATGAATACTATCTTCATCTCCGCAAGCTTTCAAAAGTTTATATCAAAATATTCAGGTTCAATTAGTCATTTCGAGTGTGATCGACACGATCATCCAGAAGAACCTGCAAAAGGCCGGCATGATGTGATCGGCTCGTGTTTAGACATAGAGAAAAATAAGCCTGAAAATTATTTGACCCAAGTGATATACATATCATTTTTGTGATAAGGTATCAACGCTCGATCGCTAGATTGCTCTAATTTTTTCCTGAATTGAAAGTCATGTGAAGAGAAAACTTCCAGTATTGAATTCTTGTTTAATTTCACTCGCCAGTGAACTTCAATCCACATTGTAACACTCTAAAGCTTAATAAAAAACTGAATCTCAACTTTAATTGCGAAATTCTAGACCTCAAAAGCCGTCTCACCAACTTCATATGTGTTAATTATAAAATATGACTAATCTGCTTGCTTAATTATATGATACAAAGGTTTTTTTCTTGTTTGAAAAAAATATCTTGATCTCCTTCATAACCCGTATTTAATTATTCTTGACTTGTTATTCGACTATTATCGAAGAAATAAGATAAAGATTTTATTGAAAAATTGGCGATGAGTTATCAGATTTTAATAAAAGAAAAAAAGCAGTTAGATAACAGGAAAAAGAAACATTTTTTTGGTGGGGCTTTACTTCAGGAGATAACCTCGTTTCGATTAGAAGGTTTTTTTGAAGATAAATACGAATTATCTCTTCAGGCTTTAAATTTAAAAAAGGCATACAATTTAATTTAAGCGGTGCAACAGAATGTTTTGTAGTGGAAAGGCGTGACTTAGAAATCCCCAGCCGTCACACACAAGGTCGGATATGTCACTAGAGCCAGTCCACTGATTATCTCTGATATCAGGATAGGACCTCGGCTAATGCCGCACACGCGGTACAAAGGCGTTGGAAGAAGAAGAAGAAGAATAAAATATAATCTGAGGTTTTTTGAGCTTGTGGATGTCAAAAGTTTTTAGTGTCACAATTTTATACATAAATGAGAAGCATCTTTAAAAAGGCTCAGTTTTAGAACCCCATTTTATATGTCCGGCCTGGTGGGAGAGGCCGAAGCCGAAGGGTTCCAGAAAGTCTGCGTCTCCAGGATCGAGCGATGTCTCGACGAACTTTACAGCAGTGTGGACGGCGGCGACGCCCGAGCACTCGGGAGCAACCTTCCGCGGATCCATCATCCCGCTTTTTCCACCTTTGTTCTCATCTTTTTGCTTCCTCTCGACCGTTCCTAGACTTTCTGCCTCATTTGTTCGATTTTCGATTCTTCGGAAGAGTTCTTCAATTATAAAATACTTCAGTCTGTCCAGAACTGGTTCTTTCTAAAACTTTCGGCTTTGGCTTTATTTCTCAAAGCTCGTTTGGTTTCGATTCATTCAAAATTTTGGAGAGAGCTTGTTTTATTTTCTATTTGAAATTTATAATAAGTTTAAAAGTTAAGACTTGACTTTATTTACAAAAATTTTTAAATTGAAATTCGTAAACTACTTTTTCTATCTTCCGCTTTTTCATTCCGAGAAAAATTGAACGGGGGGCGTAAATTTTAATGAGAATAATAACGCTTCAAAAATTCTCGATTTTTTCCAAAGTCAACTTCCGTTTTATTGTGAGGCGACAGGTGTTCGTGATATTTCCCGAGACTTTATTCATTTTCTGAAACATTTTTAAAAGTTGCTGCTTTTCATGACTTTTAAGTGTTCGATTTCGAATAAAGTTATTGAAAATGAATAAAATACATTGAATGTACATTCTAAACTATAATAAAAAGGGAATTTCCACTTTCAATAAATCAAAAAAAAAAAATGAAATCAGACTGAAAATGGGAAAATTTTAAAAAAAGCCAGGAAAAAATAAATTTCAAGACTACTTAGCCGTTTTTTCCAAAAGCATCAATCAGAAACCTTTTTTTATCTGTCTTCCATTTCCTTCACTTTATATTTCAGATTTTGAAGGTAAATAATAAGAAAAGTAGGTGATTTGTAGTTTTCGACCTGCAGCAATCAAGTTTCAAGGCAGCCGACATGCGCGAAACGTCAAAACGCCCTGGATTTTGCGTAGAGATTCGAGCTTTGTGAGATCAACCTGCGGGTAGAAACAGCAAACAGACGTGTCTTGCGAGTGTTTGTGCGTGTGCCACCCGCGAATCTTGTACCTCGGCTCTTTTCCTGCAGATCCGCTACTTTTTTGTCCATATTCTTTTCGAATCTGAAACGAAGTTTGGCTGAAAATAGGTCTGGAAAGAACTTCGGATATTCAGAAATGATCTCCGAACATATTTTTGAATACCAATAATCAGTTTTCTTTTTTTCTAACGTTGATTGAAATTGAACTGCCGAGTAGAAATCTGCAATCTGTGAACGTCTTGCAGTCACGCTTCTTTTGGCAAAAAAATTATCAGGGTTTTCTTTATTCATTTTTGTCTGGGTGTACCTCAAATATTCCGATCGTCACGACTTGTCTGAGCTCTCTTTTCTCTCATCGAATCAGCCGAATGAAAAGAAAAGCAGCAAGTGAAAACCAGAGAGCGCAGACAATCTGGACGACTTTTGCATTTCATTTGCAGTTCTTTCCGCGTATGATCCATTTTCAAGGGGAAAACTCTTCCCGATCTTTTTTTTCAAGATTTATTCTTCTTAAACAAATTAAGAAAATTAATCAATGTGTTCTTTGAAACCAAAAACGATTCATAGTGTGAGACTGCGACCTTGAAAAAACACTCCAAATCCGAAGCCGCAGAGACCACTTGAGCAGTTTTCTTGGTCCTCTTTAAAGGTCAGAAAACGGTTGATTTTTTTGAAGTTTCATTGATATTTCTGCACTTGTCTGGATGAACAGGAGTCAATTTTGACGAAGCCTTCAGTCGGCAAGATTTTTTTTCCTCGAAAAGGGGGCCGATATGCTGGATTGCATGATTTAAACGATTCGCGGAGCCAGAAGGACTGTTTGTTTTGAGACGTGGGCGAGAGGATTTTCGAGAAATGTTTCTCGAAAGCCGAACGCCTCAGGCCGAGTCTGTGTTTGGGGCTCGAGATGTTCCTCAAACGGTCAGCGGCCTTCCTCCAACTTAAAACAACCAATTTTTCGTTCTTTTTGTCGCAAAAAATTTGTTTCGTGATTTTAAATATTTTCAATTGTGGATTTTTTTTTCAGAACATCGGGACTTGGTTCATGGGTTTTTGAGCGATAAGCGACAAATCGAAGCATATAATATAAGATAAAGTTGAGAAATGCCGTTTAAGCAGCCGTTGGGTGAACGCGATGCAGCGAATCGCGTTGCTCCATCTTTTATTCGGGTATTCTCTTTATTCTGATTGCTCGCAATTTTCTGCTTATAATATAAAGGCAAACTAGATCTAGTTTTTCTATGGAAAAATCTGATTCAATTCCAAAAAACAAAAATTTTCACAGTATGTGAGAGGTGTGCAGTATAGTCGACGCACTCAAGCATACTCAAAAAACTTCCGATTCGATTTATCTTTTTTCGATATCAATACATTGCAATGTATTTCTTTGTTTAGAGATATTAATTTGTTATTGTAAATTTTCGTAGCTTTGTAAAACCTGAGATATTTCCGTTAATTTTAAGTTGTATTTTTGTCAACTTTTTAGCCTCTTGCGGACAAAAGAGCCGTCGTCGGGGAGCAAGTTATTCTAGAATGTCAACTCGAAGGTCATCCGGATCCTGCTATCAAATGGCTGAAGGATGGTCATAATGTTTCAACCTGTCCAGATTACCAAGTAAGTTATTTTTGTTTGAAGTTCAAATGCAGTTAATTTTTCCAGATCCAAGAAGAAGGCTTGAAACATCGGTTAATCATCTCACAGGTTCAAGCGGCTGACAGTGGACGATTCACAGCACAGGTAAGTATTAGATGACTTATTTATGATGGAGGAATATTTTAGGCAGCAAACTCTGCTGGAATCAAGCAGTCGACATGCATTTTGATCGTTGGTCCAGCGCCAACGCCTATTCCCGGAGCGAAAAGCATCGCGTTGGTTCAGAAATACCGTTTTTGATAAGAGAAAAGGTTTTTCAGGTCACCAGCTCCTCCACAAACTCCCGTCGGTCCTAGCGCTCCGATTTTCCTGAAGGAAATGCGCCATCAGCCTCTGAAACCAGGGGCGGTCATGGTTTTCGAGGGACGCGTCGCCGCTGTTCCTGCGCCCACCATAGAATGGCTAAAAAACGGGAAACCTCTTCAAAATTACAGGTTATTTCATCGAAATGAGAAATAGGAAAGTTTGTTGAGTTTGAAGAAAGCCATAAGCCTGTTTCTACATGTAACTTTCTGAAAATTTCAGGTCAAAACTTTTGATACATTTGGTTTTTCAAAAGTTTTTGTCTCTGAATCTTTGAAGAAATATCCGTGGATTGAATAATTTCATCAAAAGCGATCAAAATTCATACATTTTGGTTTGATTTATCATTCTTTTTTTCAATTTGAAAATCTTGAAGTTAAATTTTTTTAAATTTTTTTTCCATTCTGTTTTTTGATTTATTTTTTGCTTGACGTGTATCTGTTACTAAAAAAAATTTTGATCAAACGAAAAAAAAATAAAAGATTTCAATATATTGAAGGCATAGGGGCAGTAAAAAATGGGGTTTCAGGTGAAAGCAGTATCTTGTATAGTTTTTCTTTGCGAATCCAACGGTGTACTCAAAAAAATTACAGATGTGACAACTTTAGAAGAAAAACGCGATTTTACTTTCCCGCCTTTAATTTTGAAAAAAGCTTTGGATCGGTGCTCAGACAACTGATTACAGTAGCTGTGCACGCGATGTTGCGGACGTCTCATTAGACTCGCATTTTGTGAGAAATAACCGGCTATCTGCTTCAATTTAAGGGTTTCTTCTCTGAAAAATCGATTAAGAAAACAGAAAAAACATATTGGTAATAAAGAAAACACAAATAATCGCTATCCCAATCGAAACCTGTGTAAAATCATCATTTTTCACTAAAAACGCTTTTTTGCGATCAAAGTTTGCGAATTATACATGAATAGAAAGCTTTTGTGACGAAAAGAACTTTGGTGACAACAGAAAAAATTGAAGTTTGAAAGAAACGAAGTAAAAAGCGAAAATCCGAAAAACGGGGAAGCCTGTTGTCCATAGAGCAACTTCACTGCAAAGCGCCCTTTTCGCGGGAACTCAAGCTTTCCTTTCTCCGATTTTGAATTATTTTTTCTTCAAAACTAGGAAGTTCGGTACGTTCCCAAGTTTACCGTTCGATTCGCAATGAAAAGCTCTACAAAGTACTGCTTTGAACTGAAACACCGTTTTTTACTGCCCCTATGCCTTTAATGGGGCGTTTAAATTATAAAAAATATACGGTGAAGAAATCTTATCTATGAGATCTTTATGAATTTGCGAATGCATTGGCTCTTAGTTTTCATTGTAAATATATCTCCAGGGCCAAGCTGGAGCACGACAGCAAGTCCGGAATCGTGTCGTTGACGATCCCGCAGATGTTCAACGACGACGCCGGCGAGTACAGTTGCAAGGCGACGAATGTCCATGGCGAGGCGATCAGCGTGGCTCAAGTTCCGGAAATAGTTATCACAATTATTTTCGAGTTCCACTTCAGCTTCTGCCGAGAGAACAGTACGACCGTTGGTTCTCCAATGAACAGGCCCGTCTCACAAAAGACCGAAAACAAGGATTTCTGTCCCAGGTACATGAAAGAAAGAAAAATGGATACAAAAAGGGTTATTTTCAGACTTTGCGACCAAGCAGCGTGGCGCAGAAGCAAATGCAGAAACAGGGATACGGAACAGATCAAGAAAGTGTCGACATGGTTTGTACTAGAAATAGCGGGGAAAATCAGATAAATTTGAGGAGACAAAATGCAGGAACACTTAGAATCCATATAAAAGTTCTAAGAGCGAACTTCGTTAAATAGTAGATTCACATCCGTTTTTGGGGTATATAAAAGCTGAAAAAGTGTTTGCAATGCAAATAACCACAAAAATCACTTTCGATTCATGCTGTTTTTTGAGAACTTCGGAAATTCGTTACAAATGGGTATAATAATTTTGATTTTTTTGAAGGGAGGTCAAGATTAACCGACGAATTTCTGATTTGATGACAATTTTCCAAATTTTCTCCATCATTTGAAGTTTTTATCCATTTTTCAATAAATCCCTGCCAAAATCCTGATTTCAATTTTGGTTTTGGCCTGAAATGAATGTATTCAGCCATACGGAATATCTGAATCGGAAACTGAGCCTGAACTCGCCGCGCTTGATGCGAAAAGTGGACCTGGAGCAAAGCCGATCGTTAGGTATTTCAAAGGAAAAGAGATATAAAATGAAGTTTATGGTTAAGAACTCCTCTTCGAGGTCTTCGACTCACCGAAGGAACGGACGCCATTTTGCAAGCCAATATTGTCGGGAATCCGAAGCCGAGGATCACTTGGCTTTTCAACGGAAAATCGCTCCAAATCAGTGGACCACGCACTCAGATGACCTACAAAGGTTTTCAAGTTCGAAAAAAGATAAACTTGGAAACGAATGTTTAGGCGCAATGGCAGTGCTGAAAATCTCGATGGTGACGCCAGAAGAAGGAGGAGAGTATACGGTAGTCGCCGAAAACAAGCTCGGAAAGGTGAACTTTTGCGGGAACATGTAAAGCGATTTTTGGAAAAAAAGGATCATTCAAAAAAATCATTTTTTTCATTTTTTTCATTTTTAGCGTTTTATTTCTCATTTCCGAAAAATTTCATCTAAATATTGGCTATTTTTTTCTAAATCAGAGATCGGTCTAATTTTTTTATCTAGAGTGAAAAATTTCAATTTTCAGAGGGAAAAAATGTTTCAAATTGAAGTTTTGCTCTAATTTAACATAACGTCTAATCTTCTTTTTTCTTCAAATTTGAAAATTAGCTCTGATTAATTTTTTTCTTGCCAATCAAAGTTGAAGCCCCGTGAAACATTGATTTTTTTCTTTAATATTACAGCAAACTTTCACTGCCGAATTGTCACCCATAAAACTAAAGTTTTGAAAAAAAAAGGCAGAAGGAAGTAAAAAGATTCTAAGAGACTCTGGAGAATGAAAGTAGGAAGAAATACCTGTAATTTGGAGACATCAAGTAGAAATGACGAGGAGCTGCTTGTGGAACGGCAGGTATCAACGATGGTTCTTATTTGCCGCCGCACTCCTGACTCTTCAGGGGCCTGGCTTTCCAAGCCAATAAAAAATGCACTTGTTCGAGTTTTGCGCCTTTTTTTGTTCTGTTTAGCCTCGCGTTACCTGTGGAACACATCCGCCGCTGGCTCGAGTGCCGTTTTCCCACGTTCTCTTTCTTGCGATTTCTTATCCTTCCTCCCTTCTTGGTATTAAACTCGTTTTGTCCATGTTTATTCGTCGAATATCAAGTTTTTTCTTCATCATAAGGTGCAAAATTTTAAATTAAGTTTAGAAGATTTCTTTTTTTTTGGTGGTCATAGGGTTTTTAAAATGTTTCCTTTTTCTTTCCTGTAATTCGAAAATACATAAAGGTTTGCGAAAAAGCAAGTTAAAAGGCCCTGTTACTTCGGTCGTCTGCAATGAAGTCGAAAATACTTTTTCACGATTTTTCTGGATCTAGGAAAATACTGTAATTTGATGTTTTAAATTGAACATTTTTTTCTCCCCTATCTGATCCACACTGTAAATATTAGATTGAAAAAAAATCTGAAAGTATTTTAATTATACAGGAAAATCGGGAAAATTAATTTTAATTTTGTTACATCTCGATTAAGAACTTGATCTAAGAAGCTTTGCCTTAGACAAACAAGTCGTAGAACTCACTACTATAACGTTACACTTTTTTAATTTTGTTTTCCCTTGTTAATCAATTTTTCTAAAGCCTGGAGGGCACAATTTTCATTTTGAATTTTCTCTGTGTTCAGCTCCTATTTTTGACTACATCGGAGTGCTCAAAGTCTTATTCAACCATTGAAGTCATAAAAAAAACTGCTAGATTCCCTTCCTTTTTACGGCGATCAGCTCAATGAATCGTTTGGATTTCTGTAGTGGAGCCAATAAGCTGCGGCGATGACTATAACCCCTCGACGTCGAGAAGGTGAACCAATTGGAGGAGAAGAAAAGGTTTTCGAGGAGATTGGCGAGTTGCAAAAAAGTTGGTGGCGGCGAGTGTGAGTGGCGGTGGGCGCCGCGAAACGCGAAGAAATAGCGACTTGATCTTGGAGGATCGTCGTCGAAATCTACGGAGGTGGATAAACAGCGGCTCTCGCACATCATACACACCCAATGGAAACTTTCGCCACCTTTTGCCTTTTTGCCCAGGTCTTTTTTTTTTTTTGGTAGGCGAACAATCGCCGGCTCATTCTCGCCGGACCAACTGCACGGAGCCGTGAAATCTCTCTCTCTCTTCCGTTTTTTTTTTCAATTTTATATTCCGATTTTTCATCGTCTGAAATCGACTTTAATGCTTTCAAAGGTCATCGGCTAGATATTTATGTTATAGATATACACTAGTACCACTGTAGTGATTTTATTTGAGAAGTGAACTACCATAATGCAATCTTGATGAATGAAAAAAGCTTTACGCTTAAAGTAAATTCAAAAAAATTTTTTTTTATCTGAACCGAAAATACTATGGCTAGAGAAGAATAATTAATAATTACCGTAACTCTTGGTATTTTTTTAAAAAGTACAACAAAATGGTTTATTCGAAACAATCCAGCCAGTTTCTATAAAGTTTGCTGGACGCTTCAAGGGAGCGTATCGTCTGCTCAAAACTAAGATTTTTCAAGAAGCATAAATACATTTCATAATTTTTGATCAGGAAAAAACCGCCATTTAGAAATTTTTCTCATTGAACTCAGGTCGCGTTCATATGCGGCACCAAAAAAGTTTTAAAAAAGCTGTTCTGATCGAATAGATACATGCAGGCTTGTTTTTTTCTTTCAATTTCATTTTTGAGCCCTGAGACGGCTAAAAATAGCGTGATCTTTTCTGAAATGAACACTGGGAAAAATCAGAGTGGTTTCCGATTAGAACACAAAGAAAAGTGCGTGGTTTGGAGTGGGCCGCCGGCGCAGACGCAGCAGAAAAATGGCTTTTTGTCTTCACAGTGTTCTTTTAGAAGGACCAGTTAGCTTAGGTTATGGCGTAACTTAGGATAGAAGATCCAAATAGGTTTCCAAGTTTTTTTTTGATTGACTCAGCTGGAAAATCATGACGTTGAGAAATAAAAATTCGGGATTTTCTCCGTTTTTCGATCTCAGCAAAACTGCAAATATTTTTTTTTCAGAAATTCAAATATTGCAAAAGTCAGAATTTTGACTTTTATTGTGTCTCTAGGAGCTTTTTATTAAAGGCATAGGGGCAGTGAAAAATGGGGTTTCAGGTGTAAGCAGTATCTTATATAGTTTTTCTTTGCGAATCGAATGGTGTACTAAAAAAAATTACAGATGTGACAACTTTAGAAGAAAAACGCGATTTTACTTTCCCGCCTTTAATTTTGAAAAAAGCTTTGGATCGGTGCTCAGACAACTGATTACAGTAGCCGTGCACGCGATGTTGCGGACGTCTCATTAGACTCGCGTTTTGGGAGAAATAACCGGATTTCTGCTTCAAATTAAGGGTTTCTTCTCTGAAAAATCGATTAAGAAAACAGAAAACACACATTGATAATAAAGAAAACACAAATAATCGCTATCCCAATCGAAACCTGTGTAAAATCATCATTTTTCACTAAAAACGCTTTTTTGCGATCAAAGTTTGCGAATTATACATGAATAGAAAGCTTTTGTGACGAAAAGAGCTTTAGTGACAACAGAAAAAAAAAATTGAAAACTGAAAGAAACGAAGAAAAAAGCGAAAATCCGGAAGATAATGAAGCCTGTTGTCCATAGAGCAACTTTACTGCAAAGCGCCCTTTTCGCGGGAACTCAAGCTTTCCTCTCTCCGACTTTGAATTATTTTTTCTCCAAAACTAGAAAGTTTGGTACATTTCCAAGTTCACCGTTCGATTCGCAATGAAAAGCTATACAAAGTACTGCTTTGAACTGAAACACCGTTTTTTACTGCCCCTATGCCTTTAACTTCCGGGATCGCAGTAGCTTGCGAAATCTGGAAAAAGTGTAGAAAAACTTTGAAGTTTCTTCTTTTTTTCTTCAGTCAAATGGGGCGGCAGCTTTTGTGATACAACAGAGTTTTGAGAAAATCTGAAGAAAGCTGGGGCGAAAAAATAAAAGAGAGCCTAAATAATTTTTTTTTTGTCAGAGCTTTTAAATTTGAATTGTAGGGATTAGACTTGTTATTTTTTTGAGTTCTCAAAATTTTCGAAAAATGATCGCTTTCGATTTCGCCTTAACAAAAAGTGTCTCGGATTTGGTTTTCCTACCTTTTCTCAGTATTTTCTGTTTTGAAGTAAGGCGATTTTCGTTGAAGAAGCTTATATTAACTTCTCCAGTTGAAACAAACCGCAAAATGAAAAATAATTTCAACTTTCAGTCGCATTGAATCATTATAAATCACCAGAAAAAAGCGATGAAAATGGAAGAACATTGTTTCGGCCTATATGTAGATTCCAAACTGCTTTCTCTGTAATGATACTCGGTGATTGCATGCTCAAAAATCACCTGTGGCTACTGTGGATTGACAGAAGTGAGCGGTTATTTATGCCGAGCGGGTTCTCTCCAAACGATGAAATGATTTCAAGTGTGGAGCAGTTGGCAGGGTCCCCGTTTGCTCCTTTGTCGTTCTTCCCACGCATCTGCCTCACCGGAGGCGAAAAAAAGAACCTTTTGCTAGCCTTTACCTATTAAACCTGGCAAAGCCGAGAGCCTTCTCCACCTAGTGTTCTGTTTACTGGAGAGCTACCTGGTTGTTTCCATCCTTTGCCATTTTTTCGAATATTTTCTGAGTTTGAGATGGTTAAGTTGATTGATCAAAAACTTGATTTGGCTGTTGAGGGTTCATTCATTAATTGAGGCTTTACTGAAAATAAAAAATAATTTTCGAATCATAATTTTCATATTTCGGAGCCTTACACCAAAGTTCTGTGAATCGATCCAAAAAAATCATTTTTTTAATTTCTGTTATAAACTGATTTTTCTTAGACGTTGATAGTTTTCTGAAATCAGCTCAAAAACAATTCCAATTCTTACTAAGGAAATGTTGTGAGTGCATCAATCGCGAGCCTTTAAAATACGCATTTATTTGACCTCTTATCTTTTTTCGTTAAAACACTTGATTGGTTGATTGATAGATTAACTTCTCTTTTAGGCTTTTTCGCTCCTTTCAATACTTTTTTCCTATTCTACAAACATTTTGGTCTCACAGTGTTGTAGTTTTTTGCGATAGATTTAAAATATGTAATTATCTTGGCCTAATTTTCGAATGGGGATTGAAAATTTGTCTTTCGTTGACAGTTTCACTTCTACCTTTACAATGATTGCTTCAAATTTTCAAATGTACTCCAAAAGTGCAAGACAAACTGTTGTTTGAGTCGTTCTCAATGCAGCTCGAAGGTCTTTGGAAATGTATGTTTTCTCCAGCTTCTAACAAATGAGCCGCCATTTGGCCCCGAGATTTGTCACAATTTCTTTCGTCCCACATCTTTCCAACTTCTTTTTTCTCGGTATTTTATGACTACGGTAGTTGCCAGCTGGGCTCTACTGGGGCTTCGGAAAGAAAGGAATATTTTTGCAGGTCGAGAGCGCCGCTCGAATAGAGGTTTATCCACTAAGCGTTCCAGAAGACCGAAAGAAGGAGAAGCAACTTCAAGAACAGCAAGAGGTACGTATCTGAGCGTTTTACCAGAATAATATGTTCAAACTGAAAATCACTAAAACAAAATTCAAGTTGTTAATGAAGAGGATGATTTCTGACAATCTGTTATTTTGTTCAATCTTTCATCGAATACAAACACATCCTAAAAGACTGTTTTTGCCCTCACCTGATGTATAAAGTTTTCTAAAACGTTGAATTTTATTTTGAAAATGTTCGAAAATTGAGTGACAAACTTTTTAAACAGTATTCTTATTTTGAACTTTATGAAAGATTTAAATTTTAACACAAAGGTAGTGAGTCGAAATACGTGAATAAAAGTCTCTTTTTTTCTTCTGAAAGAGAGGTTAGGAGTTTTGGTTTTATAAAAATCTGTTTCTGGATCAGGTGTTAAGTCAAGCAATAAAGAAAGCAATATTCTGAATATTTTATGGAATATTTCCATCGTACGAAAACTTTAATAAACGTTTAAAAGTGTTTTCAAGAGATTTTAAAATTTTCAAAATATATTTTCGATTGTTTTTACTCCCGCTTTTATATGTTAAACAACTGTTCTGCCGTTGGTTATCTATGTTAACCGGGCGAACACCTGTGACGAACTTTTTTGTGCCCTCGGGACACTTGGTCATCGCCCAAAGGTCTCAGTTTTCAACCGGCGCGACTCGCCGTTTTCTTAAGATTTTTGGACGCGGAAAACAGCCGCCAACAACGATGCATCCTGTTTTTCACGGAAATTTATTCTTTGATCGTTTCTGGTCTCAAGAAAAAATGAAATAAAAATGGCACGATCAAAAATTATTGGAAAAAAAGGGAGAAGGGCTAGATTATTTTGCGCTCCCTGGCTGGTCGATTTGTTTGAAGACTGAACATTTAATATTTTTAGGAGTCAATAACTTTAAGTGCTTCCTTTTTAAAACCCTTCTGGATAAAAAATCATCTGTTAAACGTAATTTCTCTGAAATATCTCATCAAGAAAGTTTTTTTTTGAGAAGAATTAGGTTGATTTTTTTGGGCTTCTGGGCTATCCAGGTTGAACGAAAAACCGAATTTTTTTGGAGCAGTGATCGTTCTCACTTTTTTTACAACTTCTGAAAGAAAAAAATTTTTTTAAATCTAAAATGACTATTGAGTGGACGTTTGCTCGCTCAAAACCCGTTTTCTCGTCTCTTTTTATTTCTACGAGCTCATTTCTCACTCGGCATTAATTTTTTTCAGAAACATTATTATTATTCTTCTCGCAGCTTATAAAAAAATAAAAAAAGTAACTATAAAATTGATGGTGCGGCGAATGCCGACTGACAGATCCATGCAAAAACGAATTGGAGTTTGATGGGAGCCCGCGTAGGTGTAAAGCGGGAGACCAACTGCACGCAGTTGAGGTGTAACTCTCCAGGTGCCGAACAGACTATTTTGCCTCGACGACTTTTTTATTCCGTTGTTTTTCTCACCCCGCCACATCAAGATAATTGTTTAATAAACGCTTTGCAGTACCAGAGACAGCAGCAACTCCGGTACGAAGCTGCTCTCGAGCGGGAGCTTCAGGAGCGCAAAGCACGTGAGATCGAAAATCGGAAGATCCGCGAGGAGCAGCAGCGGCTCCAGGAGCTTTTCGAAAGAGAACGAGCCGAACGAGAACGTCTCGAGGCGGAGAGACGTCAGTTGGAGCGCGAGAAACGTCTGCGGCAGCAACAGGTCCTCCAGAATTGAGCTAAGTTCTGAATTTGTCCGTTTAGCAGACGCAACCGCACACCCTACAGTACCAAGCACCGCTTAACGAACCTCAGCATTATTCTCAACCGCAGCTAAGTCCCAACTGGAGGGGATTAGAACAAGGTTAGCAAGAGTAAAGTTGCATCGAAAAGTTATGATTCCTTTCGATAATAATCATACGTTTATCAACTGCTATCAATAAAAAATAATAGCGAATCGGATTATGTACAAGAAACAGTTGAATATCCAGCTACGGGAAACTCTTGCAGTAGACCGCCCTCAGTACTACCAGCAGGTGACGTCGGAGCAGCACCGACAGTCCCAGAACATCCAACACCAGCCTCAGCAACAGCACTACGCTCAAGTTCAACGACAACCTCAGCAGCAACAGGTCGCCGTTGAATCCCATCAACAGCGTTACGAACAGCACCGAAAGCAGCAGCAAACCCAAAACAAAGTTCGTTTCTGATCGAAGAATAACTCAAAAAGATGTAGGACTTCTATCCGGGACAGTACCAGCAGCAGCAGTACTATTCCGACCTTCAACAAGGCTTCCATCGATTCAATCAGTATCAGCAGCACCTGAGAGACCAAAACTACGCCAACATGCCTGTTTTCAAGCGTGTCGCTCCTCAGGTTTGGTTTCGAGAAATTTGTAGTTGGATTAATTTCATTTTGAAGAAAAAAAATATTCTTGAAGAGCCTCTGAAGCGACTGTAATGATCTGCTTGAAATTCTTCGAGAACTCATACCTTTTAGAGAAGATTGATTTGAAGTTTCTGAAAAAAAAGCTTGTAATCCGGAAAAAATAAAAAAAAACTTTAACCAGACTTGCTCTCTGGACTTGAGGTAGCTATAATAATTAGGAACTTCATTATTTTTTCCATCAAAGATTTCTGTGTTTCGTATAAACTTCTCAATTTCAAAATTAGCATTTTTGATGGATTTTCGAATAATTGGTCAATAGAAAGTTAATTTCTTCAAACGGTCGATATAAATTTCTTGTTTATACAGTTTTTTTTCCTGAAAAAATAATTTTTCATCAGCAGTTCATGAATTCCAGAACCAACAGCAGCAAGACCAGCAGCCCCCACAGAAGCAGGCGAAGGCGAACGGCAGCGTCGCCAACGGAAGCGTCGCCAACGGCTCGGCAGCAAACGGAGTCGTCCCCGGCCGCGGACATGAACACGGAGCAGCTCTCGTGAACGCGCGACCCCCGCAGCTGGTCGTTCAGCCACAGTCCGTCTCCGCCAAGGCCGGCGAGACCGTCATCTTCAACGCCAAGGTCTCGGCGTTCCCTTCAACTGAAACTCGCACTTCGAAAACCGTTCAGGGGAAGTAGCTGTGAAGTCAGGCGACATTTACGGTTTAAACATATACGATCCATCAATTCGGATGGTCGGGAATGACAAGTCATTGTACATTGCGATTATTAGGGGCCAAAGCTAGGGAATGCCCCAGTTTTTGCTGTTTTCATGGTTTTCTTAGCGTTTGAGATGTTCTTTCTCGAAAAGTACAGTAGAGAACCCATGTGAAAAATGCAAAAAGTTCGAGTTCATTCAAACTGGAAAAGAGCTCTGTATTTTTAGAAGGGTTTCTTTTGAAACCCTGATTTTGCTTCGTTTCTACTGATCCTTTTTTTCTCAAAATCTTTGATTATTTCTTTTTTTTTTTCTCAAAGAGTGATTTGAGTCCAAGGCTGGAAAATATTCACTGAACGAGATGTGAAATCGACACGAAAAGCGTCTCAGACTTAAAAAACCATTCAAAATTAAATTTTCTAGACTGCCGGCACGCCTGCTCCTTCTATGCAGTGGTTGAGATCCGATGGAAATCCCATTCAATCAGGCGGAAAATATCGCGTCGAAGATTCTGGCGACGGCAGCAGTCGCTTCATTATCGAAAAAGTTGATAATTCTACACGTTTTTTCAGAAATTCATGAAGATTTACAGGCGGATGCTCACGACGCCGACATGTACTCCTTGATTGCCAGGAACCCCGGCGGCTCAGTTCAAAGCCGATTTTCTCTCAATGTCTTACGTCTGTCTTCTGAACGTTTCTAGTCTCTATTTTCGAGTTGCAGAAGCGAAATCCCCGGAAGCGCCCGAATTCGTCGGCAAATTCCAATCCAGCACCCTCTATGAGGGCGATTCAGTTAAACTGTACTGCAAAGTAGGATTTTATAACTCTTTTCCCAATAATAATAGAAATAATGAAAACGTTTCAGGCATCTGGAGAAAGTGTGACTTTCAAATGGTTCAAAGAAAACGAGGAGATCTCAACGGGAGGACCATTTTCGTGAGTTTCTGAACAAAAAGTTCGAAAAATTGATGATTTTTGTAAAGAAAAGCTCCTTTTGTGATCTATCAATAACTTAGTAAAAAGGCGACGCTGGGGCTTTTTTTGTTGACTTTTTGGGTTGATTTTCATGAATTCTTTCATTTTTCCTTCGAAAGTTTTTCAGAGTTGAGTCGAAAAACAACGAGACGACGCTTCACATCCAGAGCGCGAGTCTGAACGAGACCGGCTGGTACCGATGCGATGCCTCCAACAAACATGGCACTACTGTCCTTAAAGTCAGCTTTTAAGAGAAAAACTTGGAAAATCAGTGATTTAATCAATGGATATGTTGTTATCTTTGTTTTCACACTATATAACTTTCTATTGGTATGCAAAAGACAAGAAATTTCATCAATCCGATTTTCTATTACGAGCTTTATGAAGTCCTCCATCAGCTAACTGATAATCGTAAGAAGTAGAATAAGAGTAGGGAATTTTCAGAAAAACTTTTGTTTTTGATTCCCAACTTCGAAGACTTGGTTCAAAGTTTGAGACAGTTTCTTCAAATTTTTCTTCGAATGGACTGCAAAAAGACTTCCTGCTCTGTAGCACATATATTTAAGATATTATGGGTGTCATTTTACGAAATGATTTCCCTTAAAAGCATAATTCTCTTTGAAAAATTCCTCAAAAAGAGAAACTTCTCAAATAAATTCTTCTAAAAATCCAGCAAAAACTGAACCTTAATGAGTTTCTCTAAGTATTTTTATCATTTTCGAAAAATTTATCATTTTGTTGAGAACGATGTAGACAATGCGAACTTCTTTTCAAATCGTATAAGGAAGTTTATCCGTAAGAAAAAGAATTTTTCAGGGACGAATCGTCGTTCAAAGCCGCCAGAAGGTGACTGGTCCAGTACATCGGGAACAAATCACTCTTCGGAAGGTTGATCAGTTCAGATCGAGGTTTTAGATCGGAAAGGAACTTTTCAAAAATAAAATGTTCTCCAGAACTCCTGTCAACATGTTGCAAGACGCATCAGCCTCGAAATCCGCGCCGACCTTCGAGGGACAACTTCAGGCGGCGTCGCTGATCGAGGGACAGTCGGCACGGCTTGAGATCAAGTACACGCCTTCGGAGGACCCGAACCTCCGTGTACGATTTCTTTCAAGTTTAAAAGTTCGAAACCATACGGGAAACTAAATTCTTTTATCTCGCAACTGATACGTTTGGCAAGGAAAAGTAGTTGTTAAAGCAGGTGATTTATTATATAAGCGTACGAAGAAATCATCAGATGTACTAGGATTGTCTTGTAAACGGGGTGTTTGAAAAATTTTTCCAAAATTCTACTCGACGAAGTCTTCAGAGAATTTTGGTCATAATTTTTTAACCAGTCTGACTTTTTTCTGCATATATCTCAGGCTCCAACTTCTGTCGTTTTCTCGAACCGAGAGCGAACATTAAATCTTACTTCCATTTTCTTTTTTTCATTCTCCTGAATTACTCATTTCAGCATGCTCTTTTCGAAAAAGACAGACCTGTCTTGGGTCTTAATATTTCCTACATACCTCCGATCAAATGAACTTCTGCAGGTCGCCTGGCTGCTCAACGGCAAGGCGATCCTGGCCTCTTCCCGAATCGTCACCCTCACCGACTTCGGAATCGCCGCCTTAGAGATCAACCCCGTGTCGGTGTTCGACCAGGGAGAGTACACGGTCGTCGCCGTCAACCCTCTCGGAGAAGCCCGCGCCTCGGCACGTCTTCAGGTCGTCGGACACGGCAGCTACAACCAGCCGACGCTTGGAAACAGCTTCGGAAGTGTCTATCAATCCCGTGGACCACAGCCGCCTCCGGGCATTCAGCTTGGTCAGATTTTAGATTAAAGATTTTTTTTTTCTGAACATAATCTTTTTTTTATTGTTCCTTCTGAATTGAAAAACGCATTTTGTTTCCTTCTTACACACATTTTTTTCTTAGTATGTACAGTACCGTCCAAAAAGAGATCAACCCTAACGTTTTTCGCCAAAAATTTTTTTCAAATTTTGGAGTGCTTTCAAAAAAAAAAGGTTTTGTGTGTCATTTTCACGCGGGTTTGCCGATCTTGCAAAAAACCGGATTTTTTCGAAAATTCATAAAAATTTTTTTTTATTGTGGTAAATTTTTTGATGGTCTGAAAAGCTGTTGGACAGTTTGATACACCGGATTTGATAATATATCCAATTTTCGTTGAGATTCTCTAACTTTAAAGAGAGTTATGGCAGAAAACCTCAGGGTTGATTTCTTTTTGGACGATACTGTATTCAGTTCAACTCTGCAACTTCAGACCTTCCAAATTTCCATTCGGATCTCCGGAGCCAAGAACTCTTCGAAGGACAGCCGATCCATTTGGAAACAAAACTCACGCCGATCAATGACCAGACCTTGCAGACCGTCTGGTACCTCAACGGCCGAGAACTCATCAAAAGTAGGAATTCTTTGCTTCCTCAGAACTCGAGAACTAAGTTTAGACGACCGATACCGTCAATCGTTGGTCCATGGCTTTGCCACTCTCGACATCGCCCAAGCCACTCGCGATGACAGCGGTTATTATACCTGCCGAGCCATCAACAAACTCGGAGAAGCTGAAAATCAAGCCACCGTCATTGTCCATCGTGAGCTATTTCCTTCAAGTTATGGAAAAAACGTCTTTTTTCCAGCAAAAGTTGAACTGCACCAGTTCGAGCAGAACCGTCATTTGGATGTAGAAGATGTCCGAGAGATTCAGTATTCAAACTCTATCCAAGATCTCACTCCCAAGTTCTTGTCCCAGGTTCGAAAGTTTTGAAATTGAAAGAGAAATTAGAGAATTATCGATTGTATGGCAATTATAACCTTTAGAAGATTTCACCTTGATCTAACCGAAGAGAAATGAATAAATTCCAGTTGAAACCATTCCACTGCGACCAGGAGCTCGGGCGCTCGATTTTCGAGGCTCGAATCCAGCCCATAAACGATCCTTCGCTGAGAGTTTCGTGGCTCAAAGACGGCCATGCCCTTCCCAACGCCAACAGAATCCAGGTTTGTGAAACCTTCAAGTCATCGATCATTCACTGATTCGATTGAGATCTTCCAAAACTTTGGAGTCGTCTCTTTGTCTCTCCATCCGACGTACCCGGAAGATGCCGGCGTCTACACCTGCGTTCTGTTCAATGCTCATGGACAGGTATTATGAAGAAAAATTCGAAGAAATGTCAGGATTACTAAATCCCAGAAAACAAATAGTCAGAGTTGGAGATTTGTGAAAAAAAATTAAAAAAATTGTTCTCAGAGTTTTACTACTGTTGTGCTCGCTTTTCGCATACATATTTTTAGATACCCATTCTATCAAAATCATTGAAAACAAGACAAAATTTCAGGCTCAATCATCGGCCGAGCTGACGACGGTGTGGGTGGACACACTTCAGCTGGACACGAAACACGCCGAAAGTCTGCCCATAATCGGCTACCTGGACAGCCATCAGGTCCACATCGGACCTCAGGCTGTCGATCGGCCTGAGGAGTTCCATTCCCTCGAAGCGCCGCGATTCGCCAGAACTCTTTCCGACAGAATCGAGGTAGAGCCGGGCTCCTACCAACAAATATCAGCTTTTCATAGGTGACCGAAAACGAGCCGGTCCACTTTGAGGCAAGGATTCAGCCTGCTAGTGACGTCAAAATGACGGTCGAATGGTAAGAATCGGACATTTGATATGAAACTTGAAAAAGTTGAGAAAAATTAGTTTGCTTATTTTGAAAGTCAAATGGCCACAAAAAAAACCTTTTCCCTTTTTTTTTGTCACTTTTATGGCAGATTTTCAATTTTTTAACATGTTTTCTGAACTTGAAAGGTTTTTTTTGCTTTTTTTTGGTTATTTCTTGAATAAAAGTCATTTTATATGAGAATTTTTATGAGCCGAAGAGCTACAAAGTTTCATTTTTCCACTAAAAAGGATTATTTTCATCAAGGTCTCTTTATTTTCAGTTATAAATTTAAATAAAAAAACAGTAATCCTAATAATTTTACAAATTTTTTTCAAAATTTTTTTTCTTGTCGGATATTTTTCCGCTTCAAGGTGAATATCCAATAAAAAAACTATACTTTTAGATATATTTTAGAACTGTTTTTTTCTCTTTTTTTTTCCTTTTTTCTTGAACTGATACCTGATATTTTTGAGGTGATTATGATGAAATTTTCAAGGTACCACAACGGAGCGCCACTCCCGGCCGCCCATCGGTTCCGTCCGATGTTCGACTTTGGTTACGTCGCTTTGGACATTCTCTACGCCTACCCAGAAGATTCTGGAACCTACACTTTGGTGGCTAGAAATGAGATCGGCGAGGCTCAGTCTAGTGTTGAATTGGCTGTCAACAGCGAGAAAGTCCTCTATCTTGAGCCTCATCATCCAGAAGGACTCGAGAGGATCAAGGTGATTTAGAAAAGTTTTTCTCTTGGACTGAGACTTTTTTGCGCGGTAGAGGTTCGAAATAGTAGGAATTTGAGAATCATCAATTGCAACAAATGTGTTTAGAGTTTTCAAAACAATACCTTAGAATTGAAGTTTTTATCCTGATAATCAAGCACAAATATTGTAATTACAACCAGTTGGACAGCATTTCTTTCCCTTGCAATCTGCGTCGTTTGTGCACCAGCTAACCGGTGAAAACACCTGAATTTGTTGGGAAACCAAGAGAGTCTTTGGAATTTTGTGAATACCTTGCATTTGTAGTTCATTTGGCTGGGAGTTGGACAGGTGCCAGGTAAAGGGCGGCAGCATCGTTGCGATTGTAGGTCCAGACATACCTGATAATTTTTTCAGAAGCTTCCAGCCAATTTGCAATACACTTGCTGGGTTAATAATAAGATTTTCCGAGTCAAGCCATGAAGAAGGGCTATGGAGAAAAAATTTCTATATCACTACCTATTTTTGGTGAAAAAAAAACCAGCTTTCGCAAAAAGGAGTCAAAAAAATCAGTTGCTATCAAAGTTATTAATCATGGAAGAAATAAAAATAGAAAATAGCCAACTAATAAGCAATTTTTCGAAATCGAAAATCGTGAACTCACAATGCCTGAAGCGCATTTATCTGTTTCCACACAAGATGCTTGGAAGAATTTGAGCCGACAAGCAGGAAGACCTACTGAAATTCTTATTCAATCAACAAATTCCGAAAAAAGTCGGTTACTCTCAAAAGACGAAGCTTGTTTGTCGACAGAGAAGTCGTCGTTTTGCTGATCTTCTTCTTGGCACTCTTCCCGCTGGACTCCTAATGCTTTCCAATAATCACATATGGGAATCGTTTTCTCTAAAAACCGACTGGAATCAAAACACGTTCAAAATTCAATAATTACGTTGTCGAGTTTCGGCGGGAAGGTGGTAAATATTAGGATCATCGGTAAATGGAAGCCAAACTTTCGGTTGACTCAAGCGGTTTTGGTATAGGAATACGTTGGCTGAAGCGATATGTAGGATAGAAAGTGATATCAGAGCAGCTGTTATCATCGGTAACCGATCTGTAGCCTAGAATAAAGACTAATGAGTGCGCGAATATTTGGCTCCGTGATATTTGGAGCTCGAGTGGCCGTCAAATGTGTACATTGTCTTGTTGACAGGTCACTTCCGTTTCAGGCCATAGGTCTGATCATTTTTCAAAACTTCATAATTTTTGATGATACTTTGATTTTTTTATGACCTTTAGTTTTGTCAGACTAATAATGAGATATTTTTGTTTAAATTTAGACTGTTTTACTTTGAGAAAAAAAACTTTTGATGTACCAAAAAGGCTCTGGAAGTCTTTACTTACAAAATTTTCAATTTGCGAATAGTTTCTGAATCCTAACCTAGATTTTCATGATTTTTGCCAAGTTCGAGAGTGAATGACGAAGAAAAAGAAAAATCCATATTTCCCAAATTATTTGGGTCTTTGAAATAGTTACTTCTCAGGAGCTCGAACAAGATCGACGACAAGGCATCGCGGAAGTTGAAGACCGTGTCTGCGACTCGGCTCCCAAGTTCCTCAACGACTTCAATGATCTCGAGCTCAACGAACATGAGAATATTCATCTTGACCTTCGAGTTCGAACTTCGAAGTTCATTTGGCATTAATGGGAATCGATTTAGGTCACTCCTGTCAATGACCCAACGATGCAAATCGAATGGTTCGTCAACGGACGGCCGCTGACCACCGGAAGTCGCGTGAAAACGCTCTACGAGTTCGGGTTCGTGGCCCTCGACATCAAGGGAGCCATTTCCGAGGATTCCGGAACCTACTCGGTCCGAGCCAGCAACGCCCTCGGAGAAGCCATCCGACAGTGTTTCATCAAAGTTCATCGTGAGTTTAGAGAGTATTTTCGGTTTTTTTTTGAACATTCAAACTATAGAAAAATCCTAGTTTGAAAGCATTCTGAAAAATAAAAATTTAAGCTGAGGGGGAGGGGGAATATCCAATTCCTAAAAGTTTATGAAGGAATAATTTCGATTTCAGCCGCTGGACACATTCTGTCCGAAACTCAACATGAGGAGTCCCTTGGGAAGATCAACTACCTCGAAAACCTCAACAAGTACGGCAGAGCCGAAATCGAAGAACGCGGCCCCGACATGGCACCAGTCTTCGTAGTCCCGCTGCAGAACGACGTCGGCGAAGTGGAAGAAGGCGAACCGATCCATCTCGAGTGCCAGGTGAAGCCGATCAACGACAACACTCTTAAAGTCACCTGGCTTCGAAACGGTGCTCCCATTCCTCATGGTAGAAAACTGCTCCGAAATTAAAATGAAGTTTTGAAATAGGTCACCGTTTCCGCACGTTCTACGACTTCGGATTTGTGTCTTTGGACGTCTTGGGATTCTACGCTCAGGACAGCGGAACCTACACTTGCAGAGCCGAAAACATCCTCGGATCCGTGGAAACAACCACCAATATCAGATGCGCTCGTGAGTTGTATCAAAACATGGATAGACTTATTTCGAGTTCAAAAGCTTGATCTTTTTTGAATGGTTTTATAAGAGGTGCAAATTGGCTCTTTGAGAGTTTGTTGGGTTTTTGCTGTTATGTTAATTTTAGTCGGTTGAGTTTTTGCAAATTATGAAAGCGATTTCACTAATCTCTGCGATTTTTGAAATTTAGAGAAAGTTCTCTGTTCGGATAGGTGTTCATTAAAAGTGCTCCGAAAAAGTTTTTTGCATCAAGTCGGCGAGAAAAATAGCTAAATGCTGTAATTTGTTGCTTGATCCATAGTACTTTTCGAAGTTCGGTAATTTCAAACAGTTCTCAAGAAAGGTCCATTTGCACTTGTCAGTCAGAAATAAACGAGCGGAACACAAAGACGAGCTTCCGTCGAGCATTCATTACCTGTGGCGTCCCCCCTGATTCATGGTTATTTACCTTCTGAAACTTGCGTAGTTGCGGCGGCGCCGACGCGCCCACCTAACACGAATCAAGCTGCTTTTCTGCCCCGTTGTTGTTCTTTCGACTTATTTTCCTTGGCGCACTTGGGGTTCAGCTACGCTTTTTGTGTCGTGCCTCTGACCCATGAACCGTCACCAGAATCAGTATTATCCGCCGTCGATCCGAGTCAATCCTCCGACGCCTCGAGGATCTTCAGAACAACCTTCCTTTTCACCAGTTCGACCAGAATATTATGGGCGGATGCCATTTGGTCATGGCGCTAATGGACACAAAATGCTTGGGCCCAAGTCCCAATCTTCCTCTGCGCTATCTGAATTCGCTAGCTTGGGATCAGCGCTAGCTGGACAGCCGCGAAAAAGATTCAATGATACGTCGTCGATGCGACTGCTGAACCTTTCCAATTCAGCCAAAGACGCGATTCTCGGAGGAGTCCAGCATCCGCGAAGTTACGCCAGAATCCAGGAGATTGAGGCCCCTAAACCGAAGCCGCAAGAGGTTCCTGACCTTCCTCAACAGGTGGGGATTATGAATCGTTAGAAACTGTTTAATTTTTTGTTTTTCTGAAAAATTTCCTAGCGTTTTTTCCTTTTTTTGTGATATGAAAAGTGATTTATTTCTTTCTAGAGATCTTTTATATATATTTTTTCTTGTCCTTTCCGTTGGTCAAGTTCAATGGAAAAGTGGAATCAGAAATGTTGCAAACTTTCGGAAATCGCAACTGTTTTATGAAGAATTTTCCAGGTGCCGCAATTCGTGAAGCAACTGGGACCCGCCATCAACTGTATGGAGGGAGACAGCGTCTACTTGGAAGCCCAAGTAACCCCCACCGACGACAATTCTCTCACGGTTGGGATTTTTCTGTAATTTTCAGTATTTCTCCGTTTTTTTTCGCCATATTCTGTCCTTGTTTATGTACAGGATGAGTCGTAAAAAAATTAAGCAGTCAAACATTTGAATTCTTTTTTTTAATTCTCTCATTTTTTTTGAAAAAAATATCTCATTAAAAAGTACAGTTACTTTCAATTCTTCACAAAAGTTTCAAATTTTTCTTCGAAAGCTTTTAGAAAACTTTTTGTTCTCGAAAATAAGTTTAGATTTTCGAAAATTTATGAAATAAAATGTTTTTTTTTCTATTCATAAATATTTGTGAAGGGAATTAGCTTGAAAAGTATGCTTTATCGATTTGAAATGAACTTGAAGTTTTTTTCGCTTTCGAAGCCGTTCATCCAATTTCAATTCCTTAATCTACGGTCAGAACCGTTTTTTTTTCTCGTTGAGATTCATCTCTTGAAAGGATAATAATAACTTCGACTTCAGTACGAATGGCTGGTGAACGGTTCGCCGTTGATGAAGGCCCATCGATTTGTCTTGTCGCAGGACTTTGGCTACATCGCCCTCAATATCCTCTACTGCTACCCGGAGGACAATGGAACCTACACCCTCATTGTTAGGTTCGCGCTAGAAAGTTGCAGCGAAATAGTTTTAAAAAAAGCAGATTGAAAATAGCATCTCATTTTCTATTAGAAAACCTGGAGTGAGTCAGAAATTATTTTTTTTTTCAGAAATGCTGCCGGCGAAGCTCAATCTAGCGTTGATATCAATTGCGGAATGGTTGGCGGAAATGTGAGTTTTTTTTCAGAATTGGATAGTTGAAGTGAATTTCATGAGTTAATCGCAAATTTGTCAATATTTTGAGGAACTCCCTGATTTAAATGAAAAGTTGTTTTCCTATACTTCTTAAAAAAATTGATTTTTGGGGGTTTTTTTGGTTTTTTTCTCTAGCTGAAATTTTCGAAATGAATGAAACGGATAAACCTGACAAGCATCCAATGATTTTATAGATAAAAAGGTTTGGTAGACCTTAAATTGAGATCTTTATTCGAATATAACTGAATTATTGTTCAGCTTACGGATTCCTTCCATCCCAACTCGTTGCACCGCATCGCCGAGCTCGAAACTCCGCTTCAAAGAGCCGAACCCGCGGCCGACAAGCCCAAGGAGAAGCCGACGGTTCTCAAGGCCTTGCCGCCGACTTTCGATGTCGTCCACGAGTCTCAGACGCTCCATCTCGAGGCCCAAGTCACTCCCATCGACGACAACACCTTGAGAGTTTATCCTCCATGAAAAGTCCCCTCCATTGAGATTGTTTCCAGTACGAATGGCTCTTCAACGGAAACCCACTGAAGGCTTCAAGTCGTTACCGTGTCCTCAACGACTTCGGATTCGTCTCTCTCGACATTGACTACGTAATTGCGGAGGATGCCGGAAAGTATACCCTGGCCGTTTCCAACTCGGAAGGTATAACATTTGTTTTCTTTTGTCGAAAAGTTAGAGCTTTTGTTTTACAAGAACAAGGGAGGTTATTTTAGTCTGCAGTTTGAAATTTTGTGCAATTTCGCTTCAAACTTCTTTGAAGGCCTGTATTCAGATCTCTTTTGGGAAATACCTACGCAAACTTAGTTATGTTTCCAACTCGGAATGTATAACTAGTTATGAAGTCTTAGGGTTCGAGTTTGACTAGGCCCATTTTTTCCATGATCAAACCTTTTTTCCAATTGTAAAACTTCAAATCTCAATAACGAAAATTTTGCGCAGGTAGCGAGTATGAAAAAGAGCTTTTCCTGGACCTTCAGTAGAGCATTTTTTCAGGAAATTCCACACTTCACAAAAATTGCCTCCCTCGTTAGGAGAACTAGACGTTTCAGTCATTTTGTTGGAAAAGAAAACCTGAAAAATGAATGTTATCTTAATTTGGAATTCATGCTACAGCTGCCTTTTCTGGAGTTTTCCAACTTCTACAAAAACCATTCCAGGACGTGCCGAAACATCCTGCGAGTTCCAAGTGGAACGTCTGAAGTCGATCCTGTCGGATACGTCTCATCCGGAGTCTCTCCGGCGCATCCAGGAGATGGAACAACTCCAGCCGGCCAAGCCCAGTGACGACGACGCTCCTCTTCAGCCTCCAGTCTTCACCCAGCCGCTTTCCGGACCTTCTGAAGTCCTGAAGGAAGGCCAGAGTGTCCACATGGACTGCGTCATTCAGCCAATCAACGATCCTTCTCTCAAGGTTTTTGAGCTGTTCAAAACTTTAAAAAAAACCAAATTTCAGATCGAATGGTTCTGCGAAGGACGACCTCTGATGTTTGGTTCGCGGATCAGAACTATCCACGATTTTGGATACGTCGGCTTGGAGTTCCTGCACATTCACCCAGAAGACACTGGAACCTACGTCTGTCGTGCCACCAACGCGGCTGGAGAAGCAACGACGGAACTTCGGTTGGATTGCCGTCCGCGCCGCAACATCTACCTGGACTCCCACCACGAATCCTCCTGGCAAAAGATTCAAGAGATGGAGAACCGCGTCGACGAACGAGAGCCGACGCCGGAGATGACCTTTCAGCCGCCGACCTTCACAGAGACCCTCAAGGACATCGACAGCTCAAACGAAGGAGAAGCCGTCCGACTCGACTGTCGTCTGATCCCCGTCAACGACCCAACTCTCAAGGTCTACTGGACGAGAAACGGCAATCCTTTGCCCGAGGCGTCCCGATTCATGCCGGCGCGCAACTTCGACTACGTCAACCTCGACATTCTCGCTCTTTATGGAGAGGATTCTGGTGTCTACACTTGCAAGGTGACTTGAACGTAGATGGTTTAGATCAACTACTCTTCACAGTAAATAAGGCAATTTTTGTATTTTATCAGATCATTTTTTTCTCTGTTCAAATGCATGGAAAAAAATTCCTATAAAAAAATTGATCTTGATCAGGAATTTTTCGAGTTCAAAATTTCATTTTCCATGTTTTTCGAGTTTTATGAAAACTGTGAAAGTCTCGGTTTTAACGTTTCCTTACGAAGTTGAATAGATTTAGAAAATTAGGAGAGTTTGAAAAAATCGACGACGAAAATTCACAAACTATTCCTTTACCGGATTGAGTTATAACCTCTTTTTCTCGGAATAAATAATTTATTTGCTTGAGGCCGTGTCCGCTTTCGGTGAAGCCGCGACGTCGTGTACTGTCAAGTGCGCTTCGGCGAAGTCGCTCTTGCTCGACACGATGCACGAAGCTTCTTGGAATCGCGTTCAGGAGATCGAGAACCGCGAAAAGCTAGAGCCTGTCTATGACGAGCCGGAAAAGGTACTGAGTCATTTCATTCAAATCGATCAACGGAAAATTACACGGAAGGATTCCGTCTAAAGTAAAATGAAGGATTTTGAATCCGCCAAGAGCTAAAATATTGTTATTCGATACGAGATTTTTTTTTTTTTGCTTCTGTGTAGGATAAAACAGGTGTGGCGTACTGAAGCACTGAATTCATTGTTACATGTTTTAATTGAAAATCAATCATTTTTCACCTGTATTTTTCAAGGAAACATGGAACAACTTTAGAATATAAACTTTTTTCAATTCCTAATTAACGTATGGCCACTGAGATTTGTTTTGCAGGTTCCTCCGAAATTTGTCGTTCCTCTGAACAATTCTTTGAGAGAGCTTCAAGAAGGAACGCCGATTCATCTGGAATGCCAGGTCGAGCCAACCAACGACAACGAACTCACCGTCCAATGGTACCACAACGGTCAGCCTCTGGCGAACGGCCATCGCTTCCGGACGACTCACGACTTCGGCTACGTCGCTCTCGACATCCTCTACGCCTTCTCCCAGGACACTGGAGAGTGGAGTTGCGTGGCCCGAAATCGCCTTGGAGAAGCCCAGACGATGACGTCATTCAACGTGTTGCCACGTGGCGTCATCTACACCGACACGCAACACCCAGAAAGCTGGCAGAAGATCCAGGAACTCGAGGCCCCGAAAGCCGCGCCTTTGCCTTCGGCCGACGTCGAACACGATGCTCCGCAGTTCATCGAACCCATGGACAGCCTGGAGAGAATCGAGTTCCAGCCTGCCCATTTCCAGACCAAAGTAACGCCTGTCGCTGATCCGAATCTGCGAGTCCAGTGGTTCAAGGACGGTCATCCTCTTCAGAACAGCAATCGGTACGGCTTTTCCGAAAAAATGTGTATTCGAATTTTAAGCTTTTCCTAGCTTTAAATTTATCACGCGTTCTCTGAGAAAGTCGATGAATCTGAAGCAAAATAAAAAAAAAGTTTTTTTGATTTGCCTCAAAATGTGATCACGGCTCACACACTTCTGATTATTTAGCATCAGGTTCCAGGTGGCTCCGCCCTTTTTAAGAGATACTATAGACAGTAAGCTGAAAAAAATTAATTTTTTCTGTTGAGAATTTTCATTCAAAAAAATGTTTGGAAATGTAAGAAAAACACTATTTTGAGTATTTTTTCAGTTGCAACTTTTTTTCTAACTCGACTTCTTCGGGGAGAAAAAAAAAATCGAAATTTCCTCTAAAACTGCGATTTTTCAGTTTTTGAGCCATAGGTGTTTTTATTTCTCGAAAAAGTCGATAAAAAAGCTTTTTTCGCCATTTCGCAACTCCGATTTCATTTGCTTGGGTGTTCAAAAAAATTCAAAAATTTGCTGGGTTTTCCTAAAATCTTTTTGAACGGGCTTCCAGGTTACTTTAGCAATTTAGAGCAGGTAAGAACGGTGAAAACGAAGATAAGCGTGCCAAGCCTCAAATTTGAATAAAACTACTTATTTCTTGCCGAAAAAGACTCCGATTCATGTCGAAAAGTGATGTAGGTCTCACTGAAAAAATTTTTTGTTAGAATGGAAACAAAAAAAGCTGTTTTCCGAGCCTTTGTGAAAATTCCATTTTTGGGGTCGTCACCTTCAGGCGGTCGGAGGTCAACTGGGCCACCCCAGAGATTTTTACCGAACTAATTTTTCCCTATCCAGAAAGACCTACTCTTTCATATACCAAAAGATAATGACCACATTCGGGGGTTCCTACAGACAAAACAACGTGAAAACGGAAAAAATCGAAAATCGACGAAAGTCCTAAAATTCGAAAAGTCTTGAGAAATTTGGAATAAAATTTTCTTTGAGCCCTAAAATGGTGGAGAACATAAACGTGAGTGTTGTCTTTTGTTTCAAAACAAAAAAGAGGAAGAAGCCGTCAAATTAGGAGAAAAATGATTTTTTGAATTTTGAGCCGATTCGAGTTGATCACCTTCGGTCGAATGGAGGTCAACTATCCCACCTCAGGGATTTGTTGTAGAACTAATTTTTCTTGAAGAAGAAGGCCCCTAGTTTCATAATCAGAAATAAAAGTCGTACCATTGGGGGGTTCTTACTCTAGTTATGGCTCAAAAACTAAAAAAATCGCAGTTTTAGAGGAAATTTCGTTTTTTTTTTCTCCCCGAAGAAGTCGAGTTAGAAAAAAAGTTGCAACTGAAAAAAATACTCAAAAATAGTGTTTTCTTACATTTCCAAACATTTTTTTGAATGAAAAATTCTCAACAGAAAAAAATTAATTTTTTTAAGCTTACTGTCTACAGTATCTCTTAAAAAGGGCGGAGCCACCTGGAACCTGGTGCTGAATAATCAGAAGCACGTGTGTGAGCCGTGATCACATTTTGAGGCAAATCAAAAAAAAATTTTATTTTGTTTTGCTTTTTATTACTGAAAAGTCATCGATTTTCTCAGAGAACGTGTGTTATAACTCTATTTTGATAGAAAAGCGGAGATAGTCTCATATTTTCGTAGTTTCAGAGCTGGTGATAAAGTTAGCTGAAGTAATGAAAAACAATTCAAACTAAAATTCGGAGAAAAAATTCTTTTTCAATGGGCTTTATCATTTCATCTGAAAGATTTTGTAGCCTGTCATCTTTTTTCAGAGCTGAAAGTTACGTTTAAAGTTTTCGGAGCTGTAAAAAAATCGTTTTTTGCAGTTGAGATGCATAACCTCGTAAAACGTGAAAACAGTGGAAGCAGAATTGAATAGGCAAAAAATATTTTTTTTGAAAGTTGAGTTCTAATTTCATCACGAAATCCTTGTATAGAAAACTATTTTTTTTAATTTTGAGAAACACATTTCAAAAATGCTTTTACAGCTTCAAACTGACATCTGACTTTGGCTACATTGCCCTTGACATTGCTCACACCGTTCCCGAAGACAGCGGAGTCTACTCTGTCCGCGCTTCTAATGATAAGGTTCCTTTTTGAGATCAACTTTACTCAAACATCCGAAGTTTGCAGGGAGAAGCCGAAGTCCAAGCCAATCTTTCTGTGGTTGGCAACGCCGCCATCATCGGCCACACTCAACACGAGCAGAGCTGGCAGAAGATCCAGCAGCTGGAAGCTCCGCGAGGACCTGGACAAGAGGCGCCGGAAATCCAGCACGGTCCTCCCAAATTCGTCATCCAGCTTGGCAGTGCCGACGGTGTCGTCGAAGGACAGCCTTGCCATTTCGAAGCCCAATTCGTTCCCTTCTCGGATCCGAAAACGGTAGACTTTCCTTTCTAGAAAGGTCGTTTCACTTTGCGGCTAGGATCTTCCTGAAAATCTTTTAGAGCATTCTATACTATACCAGATAAAGCATTTCTAGAACATCCCCTAATGAAACTTTCGAAATTGTCAAACATCTTGGATATCAATGCAATATTTTGCAGACCGTCCAATGGTTCCTCAATGGAAGGCCCTTGGCAGCTTCTAGCCGTCGTATTCTGCGAAATGACTTCGGCCTTGTTTCTCTCGATCTTCAATATGTTCTCGGCGAGGATGAGGGAGAATACAGCGTCGTGGTGAAGAATTCTGAAGGAGAAGATCGAACTTCTGGAAAACTGTCCTGCACTACCAGAGCTGCGATTCTTGGCGACACTCAGCACGAACAGAGTTGGCGACGCATCCAAGAGCTCGAAGCTCCTCGAGCTCCGAACGCTGAGCCTGAAGGACCGGCCTACGAAAAGCCGTCCTTCATTCAGCCTCTTCAGTCCGTTGGAGACCTTCCTGAAGGTAAACCAAAAAAAATCGGAGTAGCAAAGTTGGAAAATAACCAAGAGACCAGTCCTTTGTTCTCAAAATTAAATTTTTTAAAAAGGTCAGCGTATTTCAAATGACTCCGTAAAGGGTGAGTGGATGCTAAAAACTATTCAGCGTAAAAAAATAGTTGATTTTTTTTTTTTAATAATTCGATTTTCACAGGTTCGATCGCCCTTCTGGAAGCTCGTCTGATCCCAGTCAACGATCCCAGCCTTCGAGTTCAGTGGTTCTTTAACGACGCTCCTTTGATGGAGTCCAACTGGATCGCCACTAGCAACGACTTTGGCTGCGTTTCCCTCAGAATCGCCCCGGTATACGCTCGTCACTCTGGCGTCTATTCCTGCAAGGCCTGGAATGAGCATGGCAACGCGGTCACCAGTGCCTCTGTCGCTGTACAAGGCTCTGAAGGGCTTCTTCTGGACACCGCCCATCCGACTTCTCTGCAAAAGATCCAGGAATTGGAGGCCATTGACAAGTACGCTCGCCTGGAAGCTCCTGAAAGGGAGTACACCAAGCCACAGTGGGTCCAAGGATTCGAGAACCACGACAACGTTGGTGAAGGTGTTGCGATCACACTTCACGGTCTGGTTGAGCCTTCTGGAGACCCGAATCTGCAGATCGAGTGGCTTCTCAACGGAAACCCGTTGATGAACGCCAACCGATTCCGTCAGGAGTACGAATTCGGCAATGCCATTCTCACAATCGTACATGTGTTGCCACATGACAGTGGCGTCTACACCTGTCGCGCTTACAATTCCCAGGGAGAAGCTTCCACGTCTTCTACTGTCAAAGTAGCCGGCTATGAGAGGATCCTCTACGATTCTCAACACCCAGTCTCTTGGCAGAGAATTCAAGAGCTCGAAGCACCCAAAGAGATTGAGGAGATTGAAGAGGTCATCCAGAAGGAAAAACCTCATTTCCTCACTCAACTCGAGTCTGTGGAAGACGTGCCGGAAGGCGTCCCGCTTCACCTTGAAGCGACCTTCCAACCGGCTCGCGATTCTGATTTGAAGGTGTTCTGGCAGAAGAACGGAGCTCCTCTCGGAGCATCTCAACTCGTTCAGACCCGCCACGAACTCGGATGGGCGACGCTCGACATTTCCTCTGTCAACGAAGATCATAATGGTGATTTTCATATTTGAATTCCTTAGATGTAGTAGTTTTTTTTTTCAAGAAAAAGTCTGTCGCCTATATATAGGTAAATAAAAAAGGTGAACTGTTAAAAAAAATAGTTTTCAAACTTTCATTTTTTCATTTTGGGTTTTAGAGACTATTCCTTTCGCGAATGGAAAGATTAGATTTAGATTATGTTAAGAAATCTATCATACTTTTTTTACAGACGATTGTAGTTATAAGTCTCTTTGTTTTTTGTTGTTAGTTTGAATTGTTTAACTCTCTGTGTCCCAGGAGTCTACACGCTGACGATCACCAACAGCGAAGGAGAAGCTGTTTCGACGGCTTCCATCCGCGTCGCTGGCACTGGTCCAATTCTCGGCGACACTCGTCACGAGGAATCTTGGCGCAAGATCCAAATCCTCGAAGCCCCAAGAGAACCTGAACCGGAAGAACCGGCGCCGGTCTTCGATCATCCGGCCATCAACACGCAGATTCAGGATCAAGAATGCAACGAAGGCGACCACGTCCACTTCGAAGCTGTCGTTGTTCCCGTCAACGATCCAAGACTTCAGGTATTTTGCATTTATCAGGCTGTGAATAAAAAGTTTTTTTAGTTTTTGGAACTATCGCAGAAAAGAGATTTTTTCGAGAAAAAAATGTTTGGAAAAAACGTTCTCCAGTAAGCTTTCAAATTTCTCTCGCAAAAACTTTTTCAAAAAGCGACACATTTCCAAAAAATAGACAACTTCAAGGTCTCGAGAAAAGTTAACTTTATTTGAAAAACTAACTCAAATTTTTTTTCGCTTCCTGTCGAAAGTATAAATGTTGAATTTTCCTATCAACATAATCATTCCCAATCAGAATAAGGGTGATTCAGATATTTAATATTTCTACATTTGAATTATACTTTCTAGGTTCAATGGATTCGCAACGGCCAACCCCTCGCTCATGGCTCCAAGTACGCGATCCAGCAAGACTTTGGAATCTGCACTCTCGACATTGCCTACGCCTTCCCAGAAGACCAAGGCGTCTATCAGCTTCGCATCTGGAACGCTGAAGGAGAAGCCGTTTCTTCAGCTACCCTCAAGTGCCATGGAAAGGACTCCATTCTTGGACAGACTCAACATGAAGAGAGCTGGAAGCGCATTCAGGAAATCGAGGCGCCGAAGCAGAAATTTGAAGAGGCTGATCCAGAGCCGAAGGGACCGCCAAGGTTCCTCCAGGCTCTGACGGCTCCGAGTGAGTTGGTCGAAACTCAGCCAGCTCACTTCGAAGCCACCATTGAGCCTGTTGATGACCCCAACCTGACTGTTCAGTGGTACCTCAATGGAGCTCCGATCGCTGCTTCGTCTCGCCTGAAGATGATCAACGACTTCGGATGGATCATCATGGATATCGGCCAGACGGAAGTTCGTGATTCAGGAGAATGGAAGTGCGTCGTGCGAAATCAGGCTGGAGAAGCCGAGTCGTCAGTGCAGCTGTCCGTCCAAGGACGCGAAGGAATCGCCTACGACTCTCTTCAGCCTCAGTCTTTGGACCGTATCAAGGTGATTGAAGCTGGACGTCCTGCCGCTCCTGAAGTGCCAGACCAGCAGTTCGATGCACCAGCCATTGTCACTCAACTTACCGTCCAAGGAGCCTTGGAAGAGGGAGGAAGCGCTCATCTGCAGACTCAGTTCACTCCTGTCAATGATCCGTCTATTCGCGTGGAGTGGCTCAAGGATGGGAACCCCATCTTCCATTCTAACCGCTACAAGATGGTTCATGACTTTGGTTTCGCTGTTTTGGACATCCTCCATCTTCTGAAACACGACGTGGGCGAGTATACCTTCCGAGTTTGGAATGCCAGTGGAGAAGCTTCCACTTCGGCTTCATTCAACGTTGACGAGAGCAGTGGACTGCTATTGCAGCCACAAAATGAACAGAAAGCGCGTGCTGTCGAAGAACTCGAAGTCAACCTCCGAAGACGTCCAGAGGAGGCTGAACAAGAGTTCAAGGAAGCTACGCCGGTCTTCATTGAACCGCTGTCAGCTCCTCTGGATACGGAAGAAGGCGGTCGCGCTCACTTCAACGCTCGTTATGAGCCAGTCAACGACAACAAACTCCAAGTTCAATGGTTCCTTGACGGCCGTCCCTTGAAGACTGGCAGTCGTGTCAAGACTATGAACGACTTCGGTTACGTTGTTCTTGAGATCAGCCCAGTTTATCCTGAAGACAGCGGAGAATACACCTGCCGCGCCATCAATCGCATCGGAGAAGCCGTAACGTCGACACGTTTGAGCTGCACCCCGAAGGAAGGCATCATCAGCCAGTCTCAACTGCCTGAACGCATGGCCAACGCTGGAGTTCGCATTGCTGAAATTGAGGCACCTAGGCCGAAAGCTCCAGATGCTCCTGACTTTGACCATGGAGCTCCCAAGTTCACCACCCAATTGGTCAGCCCTCCGGAGTTGCAAGAAAGCCAGCAAGCTCATCTTGAATGCCAAGTGACGCCGGTGGCTGATCCAAGACTGAAGATTGAATGGTTCCATAACGGCAACCCAGTGAAACACTCTAACCGAATGAAGATGATTCACGATTTCGGCTTCGTTGTGCTTGAGTTGTCACCAGCGGAACCTCAAGACACAGGTACATGGACTTGCCGAGCTACCAATGACCACGGTTCTGACGAAGTCAGCGCTGAAATCAAGGTCATTGGTAACAGCGGAGTCTCCTACGAGTGGCAGAGCCAATCTCAGAGGAAAGAACGCATTACCGAGCTTGAGGATTGGATTCACAGACCTAAGGAAGAGCTCAATCTTCCTCCTATCGACTACCCGGCTCCTAGCTTCAGCCAAGAACTCACTGATCTTGGAGACATGGGTGAAGCGGACGCCACTGCTTTCGTCTGCGTTTTGGAGCCAATTGGAGATCCGACTCTCAGAGTTCAGTGGGAGCACAATGGTCATCCAATTCCATACTCCAACAGGTAAGAGCACTTTTTTCAAACAAAAAAAACTGATTTTTGCTTCCAGAATTTCTTGCACAAACGAGTTTGGAGTCGCGACATTGCTGATCAAGCACTTGATCTCAGCGGACAGCGGCGAGTACAAGTGTGTGGCCACGAATGCCAAGGGAACAGCTCAGACTGTGGGAAAAATCGTTGTCGAATCGGCAACCGTGATCGACGCTCCTCAAATCGTTCAGAAGCTGGTGGAAAACATCGATGGAACTCTGGAAGGAGACTCTATTCATCTCGAATGCCGTGTCACTCCCATCAACGATCCTCAACTCAAGATCCAGTGGCTTCGAAACGGTGCTCCTCTACCAGAAGCCAGTCGTTTCCGACCTGTCTACGAGTTTGGCTTCGTTTCCTTGGACATTCTATACGCCTACCCTGAAGACAACGGCGACTACGAGCTCGTCGCCTACAATGACAAAGGGGAAGCCAGAACTCGCACTCACATCACCGTCCTTCCAAGACCAGCCCTTGACTACACTTCTCAAACTCATGGCAACCAACAAGACAGCCTTGAGTCGCACTTCCGCCAGCACTCTCAAGCCAAACTTGTCCTCACTGCGGCTGACGCCTACGAAGAGTCGCAGAAGAGAGCTCCGGAGATCAAGGTGCCTCTGCAGAACATTGGAGTGTTGGAAGGCGAGTTCTGTCGATTCGAGACTCAAATCGCGCCAATAAACGATCCTTACATGAAGGTTGAGTGGTTCAAGGACAAGAAACCGGTCTTGATTGGACATCGTTTCCGTTCAACTCTCGACTTCGGATTCGCTTGTCTTGATCTTCTATACGCTCTGCCTGACGATACAGGCGAGTACCACTGTGTGGTAACCAATCGTCACGGCCAGGCAATGGTTTCCGCGAAATTGGCTTGCCAAGGAGCTTCTCACGTCATCACCGATAGTCAGATGCCACAAGGGCTCCGGGTGAGCAACGTCAAGAAAGACAACCAGAACATCTACTGGTCTGAGCAAGGCATTCAACAGCCAAAGTCCAAGCAGCCGCCGCAGTTCACCATTCCTCTTAGGAACTTGCAAGTTACGGAGAACTCTCCGGCTCGCTTCGAATGCGCAGTTACCGGCTACCCAAGACCCAAGGTCACTTGGTTCATCAACAAAAACCAGGCTCTTCATGGTCACCGCTACAAGCTCAACTTTGATGGTTTGCACTACTTGACCATTGGGAACTGTCGTATCTCGGATGCCGGAGAAGTCGTGGCCATTGCTAGGAACAGCGAAGGCGAAGTCATCTCTACGGCGACGCTCGACATCTTCCAACGTGACGACTTCAGACAGACTCAGCTGCGTCCCACGACCTTCAAAACTTCAGAAGACATCCACGCACGCGAAGTTCAATGGCAGAAGGAGACGCTCGGCAAGTTGGGAGAAGCCTTCGAGACTGCTCCCAAGCCTGACGCTCAGAAACTCATGCAGGTCGAAAGATCACGAAGTCCCATTGAGCCAATGGAGACCGAGGAACTCATGCAGAAGTTCACCCGACCGCGCGACGATCATTTCTACGACAAGCTTTCCTACGTCGAAACCGCCAAGCCTTCCTTCAAGGGAATGGAGCTCGAGTCGGTGTCGCTCAAGGCTGGAAAGATTGAAAAGTACGAACCGCCCGTCGAAGAAATGGAGAAGGTTTTTCAAAAACTCTATTTTTAATAACTTTCTTTTTAAAGGTGAACCTGAAAAATGTGACTACGAAGGAAGGCAAGGAAGTCGCTTGGGAACGACCCGACTGGGCTCAAGATGGCGCCAAACGTCTTCCTGGAGCTGCTGAAGACAGGTAATCAACAGAAAAACTTATACGAAATCACAAAAAGAAATTAAGGTTCAAAAAGCTGCCCTCGCCTCCACGAGATCTGGAGGTTCCCGCTCGTGATCAAGTCAAGCTGAAGATTGCCAAGCCTAAGCGCAATGAGGTGAATCTCAAGTTTTGAAAGAATCGACAATTAGTATGTTCAAGGTGGAAGCTGGAGAAAGGGTGAAACTCCAAACCGACAAGGCCAAGATCAAGGATATCCAACAGAAGCCAGAACAACCGAAAGACGAGCCGGTCGTCCACAAGGACCAAGTCCAGCTCAAGGTTAGAGAAAATGAACTCTCAGGGAAGCTTTTTGATCAATCCTCCACCCTCCCACACTCCCGAAGCACTTCCATAAAACAAATATTCCATTCATCGCTAGCTTCTCGCAAAAATTTACAGATTCTTCAGAAAACCTTCTTGGAATATTTTCCGGCTTTTTCTCCAAGCTAGCGATGAATCAATTATTGTGACAATCCCTTGCCAACCCACGCATTCAGCAACAACAACCGCCGAAAGCCGGAACCGGAAAAGGTGAAAAGTTCGCCGTGGAAAGCAAAGAACTCAAAGAAACGCCGGCCGTCGTCAAACCCGTCATCGAGCAGTCCACCATCAGCAACAAGGTTCACCATCCTCCTGCATGCCTCCTTGAAGCTGTCAAAATTTTCTTTAACGTCTTTATTTTTGGAACGCTTTACCATAACTGTTTGTCACTAATTTGCATTGTTTGTTCGTCGAATTAGTTCAATTCTTGGTTAAATAACCTGAAAAGAAATAAGTTAGGTTTATCTGCTTAAATTCCCAGATTTTCAGCTTTATTATAAAGTTTTCGTTGTCTAAGAATTCGGTGCTATTTTTAATTATTATTAAAAAAATCACTTTTTTTGAAAAAAAGAGGAAACAAAAAAACGGCAAGTGAAGTCCAAGAAAATGGACCGATTTTAAGCAGAGAAATGAGCTCATAGTATACAGCTCAAAGCTTTCAACCGATATATAATAATGTCGTTTCTGTAGAAAATTTTTGCACGAAATTTTCAAATTTCATGTTCAAATCAAGTTTTTTCCTAGGAGTATGCAACAGCTATTTTTGAGCTACTTTTGGGGGTTTTCGGCTTTGATAAGACATGTCTAACTGATCACACTTCCTTAAAAGAAAAAATTCTTGCACATTGTGCTCATTTGCTCATAATGCTGCTGCTCATGCTGATAATGCTGAAGTTTCACATGTTTAACCTACTGAATCTAGTGTTTTTGAATTTTTAAATGATAGAGTGATGTAAAATCGCCCAATAGTTTTTTATTTAATGGTTGCTCACCATCTGGATGTTGTGTAATGGCATGTGTTGGACATTCAGCAGAAGAATTCGATCGTCTACCAGGCCTACCGTGAACATCGTGAATCCACTTCCATGAGCACGTCCCACGATTTCCTGGCCGTCGAAACATCTGAATCCATGGTCCAAAGAGTCGAATACAGCCCCAGGAGTCCGCGTCGAGAAAGAATCGTCGGCTTCCACATGATTCGGGTCTGAGCATTTGTCTGTCAAGCACGTCTGTGAATGTTGTTCCTTGAACTTGAAATGTTTTGAAAGTGTGTTGATGGGGTTGATAACTGTATGAATACGTTTTCTTGACTCCTTGTAGACTTCTTCTTCAGATTTCAGAAAAGTGGTCGTTTGGAATATTTTCTAAATTTTCTCAAGTTTTCTTTAATTGGCTCACATGATTCTGCGAGAATCCCATATTTATACCGTAAATGATCACTTTTTTTGTATATTCATCGAATGTGGAATGTATGATTTGAGGTTCGTAACTATAAAAACTGTATGAGAATGTTTTTTTATGACTCTCTCGTAGGCTTTTTCTTTCGGATAGAAAAATTTTTTTATTTTTCTCTCGAAAATATTATAAAGTGAAAAAAAGTAATTACGATTTTCTTCAGCCACAACCAACGAAAATCGGCCAGTCGAAACAAGCTCCTCCAACGATTTCCCAACAACTTTCGCCGTTGGAGGGAGAACTCGGCAAAGCCGCCAAATTCACGGTGGCTTTCGAAGGAGCTGCTCCCATCAAAGTTACTTGGTTCAAGGACGGAAAGGAGATCAAGAGCACCTTCAGATCACAGGTTTCACACTGCGATTTTCGAATTTTTGGAAGATTTTCAACTCGTACTTCACTTTCGAGTTGGATTAAAACTAATGAATTATCTTATACTGTTCCTCAATCTGAGCTTTATAGTTGGCTCGAGCACTTTAAATGATTTTATAATTGGAGAAATTTCCATGACGGAGGGAATATGATGGTAAAAAATGAGATTATTTTTCTTGAGCAGTTTCAAGCTCTGATTCGAAATCAGCATGTAATGTACATTAGTACTTCTCAGAAGTCCTAGCGACCTAAGGAATTCAGAAGGAAAGATGGTAATTTTCATTGAACAGAGCAAGTTTCAGTTTTAAAAGGTCCTTTTCAGATCACGACCAACAACAAGACCTCTTCTCTGCACATTGGCCGGTTGGAGAACAGCCATTCTGGCCAGTACATGGCGCGTCTGGAAAACGTGGCCGGCACGGTCGAGACCTTCGCCTCGCTTTCCATCGCTCCGCCCACCAACAAGGGACAAGCTCCCGATTTCCGGGCCCGTCTCCACGATGTGCGCGTCGCTCAGGGCGCTCCCGCGGAATTCAGCTGCCAGATCTCCGGAGAGCCTCAGCCGACCGTCAATTGGTTCAAGGTATCTAACTCTTCTCCCTGAATAATAATAATATTCTTACTCAAGCACAAAATGAAAAAGAATGAAGAAACATTTTAACCGGTTCAGGTCACCCTCAGTTTAAAAAAAAATTTCAAATTTCAACTTTTCTCAAAACTTCTTGTCATCAGGATAATCAACCTCTGCCAAACGATGATCGCCTTGTGAGGTCCGAAGATAACGGAACCTATCAGCTGAATTTGGCCGACACTCTTGCCACAGACGCCGGCGTCTACGAAGTCGTCGCCAAGAATGCCGCTGGTGAAGCACGGTAAAATCAGAAAAGCTCTGTGAATTGGTATCTAACTGCTTGTAGCTGCAAAGCCAGACTTAACGTCAACCTCCAAAAAACGGGTAAAGGAACCGAGGAAGGTCCTCGGTACGAGGCGCCGCGCTTCACGACACAAATCCAGCCGATTGTCGTTGACGAGGGAAAGACTGCTTCATTCTCCGCCAAGTTCTCCGGGTTCCCAGGTGAGATCGAGGAGGAAAGAAATTGAAAAATGCAAAAAAAGTTTTTTTCCCGATCTATTTTTTTTAAATTTATTATTATTTTCAAAGAGCGATTAGGTATTTCTTGGGGAAAAAAAGGCACGAAATTAGAAAAATAGTTTTTTTCATACGATGGTTCAGACATAGAAACGGTGCTTTCTTTTCCAATTTTTCAGGAATTTGATATTTTCATTTAGAATTTTCGTCCAACAATAAAGTAATGAAGAATTTTGAGAATGTGAAAACAACCAAAAATAGAAGAAGTATAATTTTCTGCAATTTTTTCCCAAGTTTTCACGTCAAAATAAAAGTTCAGTTCATTCCAACTCCTTTTTTTCAGAACCCATGATTCGGTGGTACAGAAATAACGAGCCTGTCAAGCATTCCTCAGGATATGAAGTAAAATAATTGTTGAAACATATTCCTAAACTAATCTCTCTCTGCTCAGGTTTCTCAGTCAAAGGGTGAAGCCGTACTCAGGATAACGGGAGTCAAGAACGAAGACGTCGCCGAATACAAGGTCGAAGCCAGCAATCCCGCTGGAAAGGCTTCTTCGGTCGCCAACCTCGTCCTGACTCGTAAGCTTCATCTCGGATTGAACTTCTACAGAAAGATTTTCAGCCCGTTCTGGCCGCATCGCCAAGACGACGATCACGCGCGGCGGATCCGCCGCCGTGCAGAGCTCCGATCGGCCCGCTACCGACTCGCCTCACTTCATCTCCAAGCTCTCGGACATTTCTGCGCGCCAGGGACACACGGTGAAGTTCGTGGCGGAAGTCGACGGAGATCCGATGCCCACGGTCATGTGGCAGTTCAACGGAAAGCCCCTCGCTGCTGGACGTGACGTCAAGGTGAATGATAATTCAAGAAAGAGGGCAGATCAGAAGTCCTGATCTTCAGGAGAAAAAAAAACAAAAAATTTTTGCTCAGAGACAGTCTGATTTTTCTTTCCGCTGTCTGTTTGCAAGATGGATCTTTAAATCCAGGATTTTGGGCCCCAGAATTCAGAAAACTATCTTCTTTCCGGTTCTCGCAAATCTTTTCGGAATTGTTATTCATGTTTTGATGAACATTTTGTAAAATGTTTCTTTGAAATTTTTTTTATTTTGTTGTAAACGTAATTCAAAAAAAACTATGTCCCCATATTTCGGTCTTCTGATGAAATATTCTCTTTTTGCAAAATTTTTTCGCGAAAGATTTTTTTTGTTCAATTTCTGTGAATTCACAAGCTACCATTTTTGGATTCAATCAAATTGATGGGTCTTGCAGATCACCTTGGAAGGCAAAAGAGCGGTTTTGGAACTGGCGCGAGTGACTTTGATGAACTCTGGCGACTACCAGATTGTCATCAGGAATCCCAAGGGCGCCGCCACCTCTCAAGCTCGTCTCACACTCAGTCAGTAGTGTCCTCGTCATCTTCGACTCATCGGACCTCTATATGAAAATGGAAACAAAACATTCACGGAAGGAAAATTTGCCTGCGTTTTGACACTCCATGCACGCCTTTTTCAATCTTTTCTATACGGGAACAGTCCCACACCGAAAATTTCTCATTCAAAAATTTCCCCGCACAAACCGTTGAGATGATGAAACTGTTAATTGTCCCATTTCCAGAACTAACCCATCTCACCGAATTTCGTTCAGGTCGATGAACCGAATGAGCCACTTTTTCTCGAACTTTTGCCGTCAACGTCGAACTGCCTTTCAATCCTGTCTAAAGCAATTTATTTCTATTTTCTCGCATTTCTCCGCTTTCTTGTATATGTTGCCGCCTTTTAGTTGTATTCTTTTTTTCTTATTTTTCTCTGAATCAAACGAAATGTTGGTTTTCTCTCGTTCGTTTGCGTTTCACACGATTGCTGCCCGTGTAAGCGCGTTTTGAAGGCTTTTGTATCAGTTCCTGGTGATTTGCTGTAAACCAGAGATCGGACAGACTTCTTCTCGAGCTCGAATTCCATTTCTTCGTGTTTGAAACATGTGTCAGAGTAGATCTTCGTAAAATCTGAGGTTGCTGCCCCTCTGATAACTGCGAGGTCCTCTCAATTCAAGTTTTTTTTGTAAATAAAAAAAGTCAGGAACAAAAAAAGAACCTGCCTTTATGTGATTCATATTTATCAGTCATGATAGCTTTCTATTCTTTTCAAAAAGCCATTAGGATGTTTACGGTGACCCTTTCTAATGCAAGTTCTAGTCTCTCGCGTGCCTTTGCTCATTCTTCTTCATTTTTTATTCTAGTTTTTCTAATTATTGCTCCATGAAATACTGCTCAAATATTGTCTTATCACCTTTTTCGCATTGATAGTTTTTACATTTAGTTTTTTTCTTTGTTTTTCAATAGTTATGCATTTTCCTTTATTGCGAGTTCCATCAAACAGTTCATTTTTCCCCTTCCTGCTAAGAGTAAATATTGTCTTTTTTGTTATAAACCTTTGAGAAGTTATTTAATGAACGTGGCGATCTGGGAAATGTACTTGGAAATGTCCGTGTTGATCTGAAGAATACTTCGAAAGGGATTTCCTATGACGATAACCTGAGCTTTAGGCCGAGTTCCACGCACTAAACTGTTGCAGTCGCTGCCGTAGGAAATGATGGCGGCCAAATAATGTCTTCTTTTGTTCTGGAACGTGATTCCGCCCCCACTGTCACCCTGAAATAGGGGTAGAGTTAGAGTTCATCCAAGGCAAAAGTTGATCAACTTTATCGTCAATTTTTATCCTGCACGAACTCAAGTGTTAACGAACCGAGCAAACGTTCTTCTTTGACAATTCGACGGTACAAAGCGCGTCTTTTGTCATTTCGTCTCCAACTTCTTCAAAACACTGCTCGGATCCCATTCTGTCTGTTTCGACAAAATCAATAATCTCGTCTTTCACAATTACCGAGGCCAACTATTTGAAGGAAAGGCGTTGGAATGCTGTTGTATTCTTGAAGCGCTGCAAAATCCTGAGGTTTCGAAAAAACGCGTGATGAAATGGAGCACACATTTTTTAATCTTTTTCGGGTTTTGTGGCTGTAATTTCCAAGCTAAACGTTTTGTTAGTTTACTCCATTTTCCGCAAATATATTTCGGACTCTCTTCTGGAAAACATACGATCACTTCCCCATCCAAAAGCGGTCAGCTTTTTCTGATCACCCAACGGCACATTCTCGATATGGGGAAGACAGACGTGATGAGCTTGGAACTTATCGTCAACAGGTCTTTCCAGCTCCAGAAGGGCGTAATCGTTTCCTTGCGAGCACTTTTTACGGAAAAAGTCTCCAATTTGGACTCTGGAAGCTTTTTGATGCTTCAAAAGGTTGATATAAGACCTACCGGACGACTTTTATCTCCTCTCCAATCAATTCATCGAAGCAATTGATTGCAGGATCGACAACGCTGCACGTACTTCCCACGATGGCTTTAGTTCTTTTCAGAGCTTCTTCTGACGTCATTCCTTCCTCTCTGAACAATCTCCTGGTGATCATTGCGGACTCATCATTTCTAAGAAGCGTTTGGTTTCAGAAGGATTAGCTTGAATTTCGAAGAAAATCTCCTCTTGCTAATGGACTAACGGTGAAAAGATTTCATCATTCCTTCCAACTTACCTTGAACATTCTCTAGAGCTTTTTTTTGCTCTCACAGTCGTTTCTTTGCGGAAACAATGCGCTGCTGTTATTATATGCTTTCGAGTTATAAGTGTACCTCCACAAACGGCGGGAGCTGCAAACTTCGTTTTTTAAAACTACTTTTTCCAAAAATCGACCTCGAGACCCGTCGCCGTGTCTATCAATGTGCAGTAGTACAGCCCAAGGGGCCAGCTTCACCATTTTCTCTGTTTTTCCTCTCTAAAATATTTGGTCTCAATATATTCTGCTCCAAGTCAAGCACCTTTTCAACATCGATAAATCCAGGCTTTCCACATGAGGATCTATCTGAATTTTTAACATAATTTTTCATTTCTCCTATTTAAAAGCTCCTTACTGTAAAAACTGTTGGCATAGAGAGATGTGCGCTAGGCAACAGAGCGCCAAAACAGTTTTTCATTCCTGAGAAATTTTAAATATTTTTTTCTGAAGTTTTTTTTCTGATGCTATTTTTTTCATCAAAAAAATTTATTAAGTTCATTGACAATCGCTAAAACTCGCAAGAACCCGCAAGAACCCGCATTTTTCATCCGCGATTCGATGCCTTCACCGTTTGAGAGTTCTGTGCGGTCCTTACATTTGGAATGAGGCACGGTTTCCCTTTTTTATTTGGAATATTTTTTCAAGTTCACTTAAATGTTTGAAACGGTTACCATATTAACTCGTTTTTTTCGGATTAATTCAATAGAAATTTCCAAAATTTTCGATTCTTTTCAGTTATGGCCGCCAAACTCAACAGATTTTCAAATCGAGAACTCATGGATAGATTTTTCAACCGCAAAGTTGAAAGTGAAGTTGCCGAAGAAAAACGGGATTCAGAAAAAAAAGATCAGAGAGGTATATTTCTTCATATTCAAAAAAAATTTCAATGTATTTGCAGCATTATACTATGCGATTGTTAGGAATATACCTCACGAAGCAAAGTCAAAGGATCTTCGTAGTTATTTTTCGAGTTTCACAGAGAATGGGAAGCTAGCTTGTTTTCACTTCCGTCATAGACCAGAATTACAAGCAGAGGTTAGTGATAATTAGTTTTTATGAAGCTTTGGTTAAGATTTTCGATTAAGAGTACTTCCAAAGACGCTACAAATAAAAAGACATGTTGTTGCATGGTCAGTTTTCAAAGCATCGAGACTCGGTTTGTTTTTTTTTTTTGCTTTTAATTCTCCATTTATAGTGAGGATTTCATCCAAGAGTTTAACAAGAGGCATTGGCTCAATGCGGCCGGAATGGAAATCACCCGAAGATGTTTCATCGATCGAGTTTTAGTTCGAAAAGTGAGAAAAAAACAAGTTTTTGTTTTTGAATATCTGTTTATAGGACGATGAAGCGGGTTCTTCCAGTTCAATGAAAGAATCGGATATCCATTCAATGATTGAACTGAAGCCACCTAGTGTTATGCCGAATGGGAATGTAGGGACACCAAGCGAATATTTTCTTGAGCAGGTTCAACTAAATTATTTCATTCTTTTTTTTTAAAAGAATTCTTTGAAGATCCGTCTTTGTAAACTTCCTTCAAGTCTCATACCCAAGCTTGGTCTTCAAATTAAAAGAAGAAAGAGAAAATTTGAATCGGTCCCTTTCAAATACGAGCAAAAAGGCGTTGATAGGACATCTGATTCAGCACCAGATGACTCACTAAGACGTAAGGACTTTGAAAAGGAAAGAAATAAAGCAGAATCATCAATTCAAGACGAGGTAACTTTACAAATCTATTTTCCATTCGGGAAAAATTTTTGAAGCCCACTCCCGACGATCCAACAGAAAAGCACGTTCTTCAAAGCTCCGGGGACAACGAAGACGGCGCAGACGACGACGACGATCAGTGCGAAGAATGGGAGAGGTTGGCTTTCAAACGGAAATTCGGAAAGGCCTTTTGTAGATTCTTGAATACGAGGAAAAAAGTCTATTACTGACTTCATTTATTTGTATTTTATTTCGAAGGATTTCTATAAGGCGAAGAAATGACTCACGAGAAAATATCAAAGGAGCTGTCAAAAAAACTTCTTGAAAATAATTTTTAGGCAACGTTTTTTCTTCAATTTCCCATACAAACTGTTTCTGGCGTCTCAATTAAGAAGCAATTGTTCGAGGATTATTTAACTGAATTGAAGTTATTGATTTTTTTTTATCATTCATATATAAAAATATTGATTATTGAAGATCAATGAATTGTACTGAAAATGGCGTTCATATAACTCGTTAAGATTTTTTTTTCCATTTATTTTCGTTTTCAGCCGATAGGTTAAGCGTTGATTCGCTCTCACTAGGGAATGGTCTCCATTCGCAGTGGGACTTCTGAATGAGACTAGGTTCACTAGATGTAGTTTTTCACGCTGATTCCAAATCTGGTCTCAAAAACTGCCCTCGAGACCTGTGAAAAAAGTTAGGGGCTCTTAAAGTCGAAAAATTTGATGTCTCCGATTGAACTCATTTTTGGAGGGTGTATAGATCTTGTCCCTCTGGTTACGAAAAACCATCGAATTTTTCTCAAAAAAAATTTCGGAGCCCAGATATGAACTTTCAAAGCCCCTCCTCGCTGCCGTTGCTTCGACAGCCGTCGGATCGCGATAGGACACCGCGCTCGCATGCTTTTGTGTTAGGCGGGGCTTTGAAAGTTCATATCTGGGCTCCGAAATTTTTTTGAGAAAAATTCGTTGGTTTTTCGTAACCAGAGGGACAAGATCTATATACCCTCCAAAAATGAGCTCAATCGGAGACATCAAATTTTTCGACTTTGAGAGCCCCTAACTTTTTTCACAGGTCTCGATGGCAGTTTTTGAGACCAGATTTGGAATCAGCGTGAAAAACTACATTTAGTGAACCTAGTCTCATTCAGAAGTCCCACTGCGAATGGAGACCATTCCCTAGTCAGTGCACTAAAGTTACTACTAGGGGGAGTTTATAAATTACAGAAACATCCTTCTGGCTTCGCCAGATGGCTTTTTAATTCCTACGAACCTGCTTTTCAGACACGAAGCCCTTCACGACGACGTCACCGAGCAAGACAGAACCAAGCCGAAGAAATACGAAGAGGAAATGGAAATCGTGTGGGAGAAGGGAGGTCCGGGACTTGTTTGGTACACAGACAAGAACTACTGGGACGAGAGAGAGAAAGGTGCGAATTCCACGCTTTTAACGATTTACTGGGAACGTAATAAGTTTTGAGGGGAACGGCTGGGAACCTTGTCATGTTATGCATAGTTATTCCTTTTTTCTCGAATTTTATTAGAAATAAAAACAGTAATTTCAGGGACCGACTGTGATTGGGCGTGGGCGGATGATTGGGACGTCGATTACTCCGTTTATTACGAAGGAAAGTCAGCCGCCGAGCTGGACGCTCGTCATGCGGTTGAGATTCGAGAAGATCAGGAATTTCGGTGTGTATCTTCACTTGAATTCAGCGAAAGTCAGGAAAAAAACAATGTTGGGAGATTAGATTTTTTTTTTTTTGCTAAAAATCGAGAAGTAAAAGCTCCTAATTTTATTCAATTTGCTTTTTCTTTCTTAAAAACATTAATCTATGAAAAATTACAATTCTTACTAGGGAACGTTTTTTTAACTCCCCGGTCGAACTTTTTTGCCGAAACTTCGCTGAAGTGTACTTTCGGAACTCCTGATTGCAGAACAAAAAAAAAATTTCTTGCAATAGACTTCTTTCCGAGAGAGGACGCTTCAAAAGCTCAAAGTACCGTTTTTTTTTAAATCAGAATTTCCGTATTTTGCAGACTTTGAAGCTCCATAACTCGGAAACAAGATCTATTGCGAGAAATTTTTTTCTGGTTCTGCAATCAGAAAAAACGTTCCGTGGTTAATAGCTTTTTTGTTTATTTTTTTTTTTTTGGAACAGTGAATTTAATTTGTATAAAAACAATCCGAATCGAATTTTTTTTTTTTTCGATCAAAAAATTGAAGAATATTTAGTTTCTTCATCACTTTTGACATTATTCTGCTTCGTGATGCTTCCCAATTATTTCATTTTTCATTGAGCGTTTGCAAGGTTTGTTACTGTTTGAAGTGTTTGAAAAGGCTCTAATTTGCTCTATTTTTAGCGCCTTGTTATGGGGTCTTTGACACCCCTTTACACCTTGTTAGCGCATTTTCGAAAATCATATTAATTTTCATGTCTTGATCAACATTTTCGAAACTTCTTTCAGATCATCATTATCTTATGACGCTATAAATGAAAATTTTTGAAAGAGGAATATGGCGATTCTCAATGGAACCTGAACCGTTAAAAATGATTTTCAGACCAAAGCTTCTCAAGGATTTGTAGAACTTCGGTTAGGCGAATTTTTAAGGAAATTCGATTCATTTTATAATTATTAGAAAGGTAAAAAAACTTTTTTCAGAGATGGAAAACGAGAAATGTCGGTATTTACTCGGAAGTTGGCGAATCATCCATTGAAAATTGGGATGCCGAGAAAAAGAAGAAGTCTTTCAGACTCTGAAGACCTGAAAAACACGCCGGTTTACGGATTTGGTGGAGACCTTTTTGAAGAGGTTTATTTTTCAAAAAAATTTGATGAAATTTTTCTCTTACAAATTTTGGGGAGCAAAAGTGAATGTATTCTAATACTCAAATATAAACTTCAGTTAAGAAAAAAACAAACTTCATAAAAGTTTGCTTGCGTAAATCCTTTTATATTCACTTTCTATACCTTTTACACCTCTTTTACTGCTTCAAAACCCAACTTTTTCCAGGCTAGGATGGAAACCTGGAACAGGTCTGGGACGACGAGAACAAGGAAAAGTTGAGCCAGTTTCCGTGCAAGTTGAAGAAGAAGGCCAAGCTGGTTACGAAAGAAGAGGTCTCGGTTACCGTGGAGAAAAGTTGCAAAGATCTGGCTTCGATAAACCGGCTCAGCGTCATGCCATTGGATCGAAGTTTGCCTTTTTCCATCTCCCACTGAGTATGATTATTGAAACAGACTATAAATTCATATAATTTTAGTCGATGATAAGGACTAATTTTGATTGAAAAAAATTAAGAAAGTGGAAGTTCACATAGAAAGTGGCTATATTGAATCTATTTTTTTCGCAGGTTCGATGCTTCGTTCGACAAAGGATCGTGTCACAAACCTACTGGAGAAAATACAACAGATGAAGTTCTTCTGCGACGTCATGAACTAACTAAAATGAAATATCGAAAATAGATATTGTATAATTTCATCATTAATAAATATTTTTCTTTGACTTTTTTTTTCGAACTTACTCTGTAAAAACCCCGATATTTTCAATTCAGAGAAATATTAAAAATATCTCGCGAGACCGAACCTTTATCAATTTTCACTAAAGCCGAATAGTTGAGGGTCGACTTTTCTTCATCCAGTTATACAAGAAACTTTCTCGAGGTCACGAATGTTAATGATATCACTCCCTGAACGTCCGTTGTCTTTCTCATTTCAGTCTGAAATGATCTGCAGATATATGGACGATTGAAAAAAAACTGGTATTTAGTGAGAGAATTGATCGAATGACGTCAAGAACAGGTGATGCATTTTCGTAAATCGTCGAAACTCTTCCTCTCTAACAACCGCGACGCAGCCGCTCGCGCTTTGAGAGCTTTTTTTACAATCGGTCAGTAATCGAAAGATTATATGTTTCTTTATATAAATCATTAGTAGGCACTTAGATACTTATGAAATCATATAGATCCGGTAAAAAAAACTCCTTAACCTTCTGTTATCACCACACTATTCCAATGTGAGCGTTCTTTGCGGCGGAGGAATCGGCGTCACATGTGGAAGGGTATAAAAGACGCGAGTGGGCGTGCCGCCCACCACTATTTCATTTTCGTCGGTTGCTGGCTCTCGTTCGTTTGTACTCCAATCGTCTCACTTCTTTACCGTTGTTTCAACCTCGTTGCCTTGTTCAAGATGGGTTTCAACGCGTATTCGTCTTCACCAAGCTCGTCCTCTCAATCCGATGAAGAATTCGTGTGTGGCGGGGACTTGTCTCCAACTCAGTTGCTGTCGCTGGCAATCCAGAAACGTCGGACTCTTTATGCTCAAAAGGAGCGCAATTTCCGTTGCGAGCTGCTTCAAACCAGCTTCATCACCTCACTGTGTAAGCATTTGGGTGAGCGTCGCGCTAGTCGACGAAGGCGTGGGGGAAAGCGTAGGCAAAACAAGGGCGATAGAACCTCAAACGAGGATCATTTCACTCGAGTTGAACCTGGCGTTCAGACCCCAAGCAATCGCGGCGATGAGCAACCACCTGCGAAGCGCATGAACTTGGACGTCTCGACCGCGGAGGATCCTTTTGGCATCGATGAATTCTTCCGCCAGCTTGCTGCAGGTCGACGTGATAAAGGTTTTACTTCCCTCTTTACTTTAAATCTTATTAATATCGTGAGTTAGATCAGTGTTTCTTTGTTTTTTTTTCAGTGAAAATGAAAAAAATTTTGAGTTTAGTTTTGATGTGTTAACTCATGTGTGGGAATAAAAAAAAAAAGCTCACGCGCGGAATTCCCTGCGGTGCGCAATCCTTTGCTTCCAGTTCTAAAAATTTTTTAGCTTTATTTTGATCAAGTTCTCATAATTTACGTTTGCAAGCATTGTTGAAGAAAAAAATGCTAAGAGAATTAAAAGCATTCAATTAAAAGGATAACTACAGCGCGTAAAAAGGATATCACGGTCAAAACACTTATTTTCGCCTTACGAGAGATGCACGCAAAATTGAAATTAACAAAATAATTTTTAAAAATTAAATTGATTTATTTTCTTTCAGGTAAAAGCTGTTCTGAGAAATCCTCACGCTGGGACGTTCAACAACGAAAGGAGCAATGTGTCTGATCATCTCTCCGATCTCTCTTGTAACTGTAATTTGATCGCTAGTTTGAAAGCGGGTTCGCCCCAAAAACAGGGTAGCAAAACGAGTAATAAATTGAATTTATTTTAAGCTTTTGTTGTGCTATATTTTACATTTTATTCAGAGCAACCGACCAAGCTCCGCGCGGTTGAAGGAGTCGGCTCCTCTCTGGTCGTGCGGTATCACATTTTATACAAAAAAAAAGAATAACTCGGGTGTTCTAATTTGCTCTTTCTTCATCAAATCTCAGGGTGGTACAGACATCGATTATTTCAGAAAGCTGGCGTTTGGGGACCTGCGATCGTTCGTTCAGCTAAGTGCTTTTTAAACCACGGACACGTTGTAGACTGCGCATTGATGACTGATCCTTGCGAAATGAAAAAAAAAGACGACACAAATTCTCTAGCAGTAGGCGTAAACTTTGAGGGTAAAATTTGTTTTAGCCCCAACTACTCGGACCTCAATCGAGCGTTTAATCAGGTCTTCCCAATGGCAGTGTTCTCTTGGTCCGGTATTTTGTTTTATATGCTCCTCGTGGGCTTTTGCATATCTAAATGAAATTTGAGCGTGCGTTGTTTAAAGCGACAATGGTCGTCTGGTACTCCGGTTTTCGTGTGACGAAATAAAGTGGTATATATATTTTTTTGCCCCTCCGTGGGCTTTTGTTCAAAATGTCAGTTTTAGCGCTTGCGTTTTGAGGCTGGTGCTCAGCAGTAAACGTTTAAAAATTGTCAAAGATAAGTGAAACGAATAACAGGTAGTACCTTTTCGTGTGCTTTCAAATGTTTACAGCAATTGAACAAAGCAAAACTAACTTATTGCGTTTTCTGAGTTTCCCAAAACCTTTTAAATATGATTGAAGTATCGCGAGGCCAGCAAATCTTCAAAGGCGGCGACCTAGGTGTACGACAACAAAGATGATTTCTCAATCGCCATAAACTGGTGAACGTTAGGATTTCACACGTCGTTTTGGTTTAGATGACGCCAGTCATTCGCAAACAAGATGAAGCAAGCCCCACCCATCACGCAATAGCAGCAAAAAATTGTCTGCGGTGGCAACAGCTTGTACTCGAACCGCCGATGAGCAGATTAAATGACTGGTATTCTTGCAGAGATATTAGATTTCTGTTTAGATAGATGAACTGCCCTGGTACTTACTTCAAAACGTCTTTCATCTATTTTTCAAACTCCTGTTCAACGAATTAGTGGCTTAGTAGCAGTAATTACGACTTGATGAACAATATTGCTTCGAATATGCGATCGAAAACTTCTCAAACGACTGGACGTTTCTTCCTGCGCGAACAACTAAGGCAAACATTTAAAACGATCAAATGGAACAAGGGACCCGAAGATTCACCGATAGGAGTTTTTGCGACACGAAAAAAACATGTAATCAACAAAGAACAAAGCGGTTACGTTTTTCTTCCTTCGAATGGGATCTGCACCAAAACAACCGTTTTTAGCAACTAGGGTTGCTGTGTTTGGCGTGACGTCGCTGCGAGAAAGTTCCTGTTCTTACACGCTCATCAGCTAGGGCTTAAGAGTAGCAAGTCGGACGCATCAGTGACGCCTCGTTTCTTTCGATGACTTCCAACCGCTTGCGTTTTCACTTCAAAACTTCCTCGATCTACAAAGAAAAAAGACGCTTTTTCGAAAACTACTAACTTCTGTCGGAAAAGAACGTGCAACTACTTTTTTCCTGCGTTTCTGTTGCCGCGCCTGGTTCTTTTTGCTGCATTTATTAGGAGCCTCTCTGTTCTTCCGCAACTCAACTACCCGATTACGCCAAAAAGGAGAAGTTTTTAAAACTGAGCCCTTTGGGGTAGTTCCGTTTCTACTTTGGTTTTAGCTTTTCGTAAGAGCTCAAGTCGTGGGACGAGCACAGACGCAGATGATTATGCTGTCTAGGCTTCCTTTCTAATCCACGCAAGGCAGCCTCATCGAAACGGCAGTTTTTCACTCAACTTCGCTAACGCAGCTCTTTTTTACACTTTCATGAGGTCGCCTTCTAAAACTTGACCGATCGTCTTTTGCGAATCAAACTGAGTATACTCAAAGTTATGGACAAGTTCTTGAACTACTTCGCCCTTCGAGGGTTTCCTTTCCTACCTATGGGTTCAGGTGCGCATAAGGGCTTGAATCACCAGACGAGTAGCGATTGCAAACAATCATATTTTTCCCCCTGAGACAACGATATCGATAAATGTGGCAGCTGCTTGACCAAGTTTTTCTATTCAATTATTTCGTTGTCGCGAGTTCATCTGAAGATTCTGTCGATCTGGCGAAATTCAATGAAAAGACAAGTTTTTTTTTCAAATTTAACGCCTCTTGAGGCTTTTCCTTTCCTACATATGGTTTTAGCCGGAGCTTAGAAAATTCCGCGAATCGACCGATAAGCTTAACTCACGACGTGCAGCACCATGCAACCCGGAACCACGACGCTAGGATAACAGCAGTGCGGGATTCATTTGGCGACTCCGCTGAGGCTTTTTTTTGGCCGCGACAACAAGATTGATTTCGACTTCGAACCCGCGCAGCAGAAACTCGCAATCACTCATAGCCGATCACCAGTAAAAGTCAGCGTCGCCGCTTACCTGCACAAGAACACTCAGGATATCCAGCTCGCGATTTCAAGCAGAGGCAAGAAATATTTCGACCAAAATTTTGGTTTCAGACCGCACACTTATCACGTTTCCAAATACGTTTCTAGAAGTAGGACGAGCCTTTTTAGTCGTAGAAGTTTCGAAAAATCTCCAACAAAAAAGCCGTGCGCCTAAGTGAAGCAGTTTCAACAAAGCGAATTCAAGCGAAACGCGTCCGAAAAAGTTTGACGATTGCAAATCATTCTAACTACGGAAAGACTCAGGTAAATCTCAACCATCTTAGCGCTTACATGATTTCAAAGTTAAGGTGTGCCTTGGAACTACGGCAACAAACTACAAAGAAAGCACAAATCAACAAAAATACTCGTCGCGAATCGCCTTCTAAAACGCGTCGTCCTATTTTGAGGTAGGAATTTTGTCTCATTATCATGATGGTATTTTTCATCTTGCAGGTATGCGTTTTACATCTTGGCATGAGCAAAAGGGCACCCGAGTTCAAAAACAAAAATATAAATATTTACTCTCTTTTCGGCGGAAAAATAAATTTTTTTTTTTACAAACATTTGGAGTTTGATCAATCAAATAAGATATCGGGAGAACTTCATCGAGAAGCGGAAAGGTAGTGGATCATGAAGTCCTTAAAAGATTGGGATCGATAGAAAATAAGCAAAAATATTTTTGTTACCTTCAAGGGTTTCATGAAGTTGACGGTTGAGAGACCTAGGGACCGGAGAAGGACCACCGCAGGAGCATTAGTTCGGTACAATCTGTTCAGAAAGTCTATGGAGACCATGATGGGGACGTTATATCGTTGCGAGGTGGTGTCGTATTCCTGGAGGTAGGTGATGCTCCCTGAATTGAACTGAAGACATGAAGTACCGGATGTGAGTTTACCTAAATCTGCGCCTTCTCGAACAGCCTTCGTTAGTACTTTATCAAGTGTGATGACGTCGTTCCAACCGAGGTTGACTCCTTGACCGGCAAGCGGGTGAACGCGATGAGCTGCGTCGCCGATTAAAGCACATCGTGACGTCACGTAACTGAATATTCTTTTGAGACAATTACGCCAATTCTGGACCTCGGAGTTCATGTCTTACGATTTAAATCAATAATTTTGTTGTTTTAGTCATAGATGTAATTGACTAGGCGGTGAAAAAAAACTTTAAAAGCTATAGTGAACAACCGCCTTTGGCGAACTAGACGTCCTAGCGTGTAGTCGAAAAAGTTGAACGATGGTCTTGCGTTCCTTCGCCTCGTTATTCTGCGCGTAGTGTATCCAGTTGCGCTTTGACAAGCTCAGAATGTAGCGAATGTTGTAGCTGGAGACTGGAGACCGGAGACCGTGCTTTAGGGGGAAGTCTCAGAAGGAGAGCGACCACTTCGAGGGAAAACTTTACACGGAATTTGATTCGAAAGATACTTTAAATGTGAGCTTTGTCAAATATTTCAAAACAAAAATATGTTAAAGGGCTTTCCTCGCGCGACGATCAAGATTCAAAATAATAGCAGAAAAAAAACAGCGTTCGCTCTACAAAATTGCAGAAAAGAGCGAAAAACAGTTCTTGAAGCGAATGCTAGTCAAATTTGATAAAATTTAGTATGCGGTTTTTTAGAAAAAAAAAACGAGACAAGCCGTTGCGAAGTAGGTTATACATTAACTTTGGACTCAAGTTCTAATTTCATTTGAAAAATGAAAAAAATGCTTATTTGAAATTGTTTTAGGATTTTGTCGATTAAACTACACTATTAGTGCCTATCTGCGATCCCTTTACAAAAATACAACAAGAAGATCGAGCCAACTGAGAGGTAATGGTCTCAAAATAGAGCGGTATGTTCCTACACGCTTCCTACATCTATTTCGTAAATTTTAGTAGTTGTGTGTGAAAAATAAATATTTTAATTTGATTGAAAATTCTGTACAAAAGCTTTTTCTGAGAGCGGTGCCATAATTCCAAATCGAATTATTTTTTTGTTCTTTTTTTCACGACCCATTTTTTTGAAATTGATCATCGATAATAATTGAAAAAAACCTATGAGCGTTGCCGAAGCCGAGAGAAAAACGTTGCTCGGGTGTCAGTCTGAAGTCGGACGACTTGCGGAGGTTGGGCGTCGTTGTGGAAGTTCTCGTTTCTGCAGAATGGCATGAGTCGCGACACCGCGAAGAGAGTCTGGTTGACTGCCCCGCTCTGGTCTTCTTGGGAGAACTGCAAGAAAATATGAAGTTTTTGGTACGCGCACTAAGAATAACTGCCGAGATAAACGCTAGACGCTGGCGGTACATTGACGAGCTCGCAAACATCTCGCGTTTTTTCTCGCGCCGGTTTCGCATTTGTTTGGGCGCGAGCTCGCATTTTTCTGGGCGCGAGCTCGCATTTCTCTCGCAATCTGAAAATTTCCGAAATGCAAGATAAATGCGAGGTCGCGCCGAGAAAAAAGCGAGTTCGCGCCGAGATAAATGCGAGATCGCGACTAGAAAAAGGCGACATTTTTGCGAGTTCGTCAATGTACCGCCACCGAGCTCGCGTTTATCTCGTCAGTTATTCTTAGTGCAGACTTTGGAAAACATTTTCATAAACATCATTAAAATGTTTTCATTGCTCGAAAAAAAAAAATCAATTTTTGATAAAATTTCAATCTTTTTGCTTTGTGCTATACATTTCGTTGCATCGAAAAATTTTTCACCAAAGCGTCGTTGAGCTCGTCGACAAACTGGTCTTCGGGCAGCAGCCGGAGACGTTCGGCTTCTTCTGGAGTCGTAGTCCAGACGAGCGAGGAAAGCGACGGCGACAGAGGCAGAAGTGCGACGGGACCTTGTCGCGTGAATCGTTGCCACGCCGTCTCGTTGTTGTTCAGCGCCTGGAGTTTAACTTCATAGCAAATTCAGAAACACTTTTGAAAAAAAAGATCACAAAATGAACGGAAAGTTAGGTTTAGAACACTTTCTGAAAATATTTCAAAAAATCGGTCTCGAGAATGAATAGGTTATAATTTCCCTTTGATAGGTGTTCATAAGGATTCTGAAAGTTTTGAACTGCATGGATCAATAATTAAAAATTTTTAAAAAAATTTTTAATAAATAATTCTTTGAAATGTTTTTTTGAAGAAGTTCAGCTTAAAGAACGCAAATTTCGTGATTTTACAATATGAACATTTTATAGTTAATATTTAGCCTCGAAAAATTGAAAAAGGGTTTTTGAAAAAAATAATTATTTGTTAGTGTAAAAAAAGAGCCAGGTTTTTTTAAAAAACCAAACTAACGGATGAATATTTCTAGTTTTTTTCAAAAAAAGGATGATTTTCCGAATGTCTCACTAGTAAACAAAATGAAAATACAAAAATCTAGAACCTCGACTTCAATTGTGGCTACGAGACCCGACTGATCGTAGTTCCAAGAAGTGTAGTCGACGTTGGCCGCCTGTCGAACTTTCGAATTGAATCCATCTGCGCCTATCTGCAAAACGAAAGGAAACTATAATAAAGATCGGAATAAACCAAAAGAGAAGTTTCGAAAGTCTCTCCACTGGCCAAAGAAACCGTCGCGAGATCGTCCAGCGATTGAGGGACTCTAAAAAAAACTTCACCTTGTCAAATAGAAGCCTAATTAAAGTTTGATAAAACTTTGCCTTTGCGAAAATTAACTTCACAAAAATTTTCGATGAGACAAATATGTAAAACTAACATGCATTCTGTGACAATGCTGGATGTTCGGATGTCTAAATTAGAGTTTCTGGACAAAGATTTCAATTTTTCAAAGAGAGCCGCGACGATTATGGTATTCTCGATAACGTACGCTATTTCTGAAATCATTACTTTCAGATGTTGAAAATCAACGGAATAAACTCGCCTTGTTCGCTAGGCCGGTCGAAATGAATAGATGAGGTTGAGCAGGAGTCGAGCACCTAAAACTCTGAAATCTGAACTTCGGGAAAATATTTTTATACGTATTGAAAAGAAAAAAAAGAAGAAGATTGGAAAATCTGAAAAACTTGAAAAGCGGTTCATTTGTCTATATGCAAGTTTGGTGGAGAACAAACATGTAAAGATAAACATCACAGGCGAATCGTGAAGGTACCATAATGTGTCCATCGTGTGAACTGCAGCATACCTTTTAGCTATATCTGAGCCATTTCGGAAGTACTTTGGAGTCTCTCTCAAGCCCGTTTCATTTTTCTCAAAGTCCTCAGAGGTATACTCCAGGTACCATTGGGAGACTTCAGAGCCTGCGATATACCTCAGAGGGTATCGCGATACCCTTTCTTGATTCGCCTATGATATTGAATCAATAAATTTTCACTTTTTTTCAATACCACACGTTTATTTGAAACTTGTCACAAGAATTAGATTAGTCTTTAATAATACAAATTTCTTCTTTGATATAATTCCTTCCTGATCAAATCATTTGTAAAAAAATCCACTGATTTCCCAGAAAACAAAAAAAGCTCATTTTTTTCAATTCTATTTTTTTCCTCAATTACTAAAAAAACGCAAAAAAATCTTTTTTTCAACAGTCTACCGAGGTCGAAAAACACAAATATATAGAGCTCAATTTTCTTTTTTCAGTTGCTGAAACTCGAAATGCGCTCAGAAATACCTGCATTGAGTTGATTTTCTTGGCTCTGTACGACGATATCCTGTCCCACACATCTAATTCTGAAAAGGGAGATTTCGAAGAATCATTCGAGTTTATATGTACTTTTGAAAAGCTCAACGGAACGGGGGCTGACAGCTGACACACGATTGCTGTAGGTGGGCTGGGGGATTTCGGACAAATGCGACTCTTTGTTGCTTTCCAGGAGCAAAATCTTCTTGCTACTCATCTGTTTGTTTGATCCTGGAAAATATGAGATGAAATTGGAAAACTTTGTATTTGCAAAACAGAAATGATAGCAATACTGATGACCCGGACTATTGTCATTATCTCTCCGAAACGATGTAATATTATTCAGTTTTTAGTAAAAAATGCTTAGCGAATTCAAAAGTTCTACTAAAAATTTCTTTACTCGGAAAATAAAACTTGAAAACGGACCGTCAGAGTAATAAAAAAAAGACTTCTCAAAAGTTCGCATAGTATATAATTTTCAGTGATCCTTGTCTTTTTGATACACTTTCGAACTTCTATCTCAGAAAAAGCTGCTGAAAACAAGCTGATCTTAACCTAAAGCACAAGCCATAGCATTTCCAACTAATCCTCCGCCGACAATCACCGCATCGTAGTAATTCGATGCGAATCGTGTCGTCGAACTAGACCAAGAGACACCCGTTGATAAGAGTCTCATCTAAAAAAGACAAAAAAATGTTCAAGTTCATTCCTGATTCTAGTATTCCATTTGGCTGTTCGAACCAATGAGAAGAAAGAAAAACAAGCAAAAAAGTTAAATCTTCTTATGAGTCTACCGACATGGAGCAATATGACAAACAAACTATAACACAATGTGAGAAAGAAAAAAAATCTAAAAAATGAGTACATACTTGATAAAAATGAATGAAAGAGCACCGTGCAGATAAAACAATTGGACAGGGAAAAATGGCACTCGAAGTCATGTGTTGCCTAAATGATCATCGACCTTTGGTTCGATAACACCCGTCAATCAGTTCCAAAAGAATAAACAACGCAAAAAATATGCTAAATTTCATTTTCTAGACGTTAAACTACCTAACTTTGTACATACACTGAAGAGGTCACTTCAGAAGCTGGAAGCTCCCGTCCATTTCCTGATTTCCTCGTAAGAAACCCAAAAAGTGAGAGACCAAGGGGCCATTCGAATGTAACTTGGCAAGAAGCCTTTGTAAAGCGAGAAAAATCCTTCGTTTCGTATTATTTTCATGTAGCAGTCGACGACTCCGTTGTACAGATCAACGTGTGTGTTTTTCGTTTTCATCCTGAACATTTCCGGAATTGACAATCGCTAAGAACTTTAAATCTGCGTATGATATTCATATATCGGCAGATCATTTTTGAAAGCCATCATCCTCTCCTTCAAAGTATATTCGTAATAGAGTCAAGATTACCTCCCTGAGGTTTAAACTTGTTTTCATTGATGCCCAAATTACACCCCTACTAAAGAACTTTTTGCCCCCCATACTCTGGAGACTTCGATGAAAAAAACTTTCGCTAACTTAAAAAGAAATCTTTGACTCATAAGTTTTTTTTGCTGCCTCGAAATATCGAAAAACTTCTTAATAAAGATCTATATCAACATTTTTTGAGGTCACGAAAACTCAGTAGACGTTAAACTCAATTCACAAAACTGTAAGGGAGGAAATTTACATTTTTGCGTCCAATTCGTGCCGAATTTGGTCCATCATTCTCGTTTTGACGACGTCTGAGGGAAGGGAAACAATTGCCGCCGCAAGACCTGCGCAAGCACTTGCGATCGCGTGCGTTATCCAGTTGTCCTGGGAGAAAAAAACATGAGATAATTAGTAAAATCATTGAAAAAGGCTGTGAAATCGATGTGAGAGAAGTGAGGAAGAAAATTTGAAAAAAAAAAAGGAAACACTTCATAAGAATTTAAAAAAAACTGATGAATCGATTCGTCTTTATCGCATTTCTAATCGAGCTTCAAAAAGGTAATCACCTAAAGCCATCTTAAAGCTGTTGGACTGAAAAAGGTATTCATCCAATTCTTTCACTTTCTTATAGTGGAAAAAATGCGATCTTTTACCGCTGTTTCGAAACTAAAATTGAAGAACTTCATTAGAATATTTCTGAGTTGATTGCGAGAAATCGCTAAAAAAAAAGAAGAATATGTGCACTTAAAAAAAAAATAAATCTTTGCCTTTCTCCACCAAAGAAGGGGAGATGAATGGATAACGAGTTCTTGAATACAATAAAAATCAGAAGTTCTCGTATTTCTTTGATCCTTCAATAAAAAGTGAAAATTGAGCGAAGAGCGAAAAGAGAAAAAACAAAAGAAAGGTGACAAGAAGACAAGAAACGCCCTAGAAAACCGGTTTTTCCGAAATAAAACATGAAAGTAAAGCAAACAAGGTTCATCCGAATTAAAAAGAAATACCTTGAGGCCAACTTCGTCAATCAAAGCGTGTTTCGTGTTGTCGTAGGTGGCTATATCGGCCATATTGAGCAAGGCTGCTCTTTGGCAATTTGGCAACCAGCCGATCCAAAGCCCGAAGAAGCCTTGAGATTACATTTTAGAGAAAACATTATGAAAAAGTCACCTTGTGTCCTGTAAAGAGAAACGAAACAATTCCAGGCGCCAGTGTATCTCAGAGGTTGATTTTGCAGCCGTCGAAGGCCTTCCATTTGCATTTGAACCTGAAAATTGAGCAATTAAACAAATTTCCTTCAATCTGATAAAAAGTTAAAAAGTTGTTTTTCAAAAATCGTTACCTTTACCAAATCTGTCGGACTAGCTGCAAACTGAGCGACAAGACCAGAGCCGGCGCCACTCAACATTGACTTCCAAATCGGAAACGATTTCTCCTTCTGTAACAAAAACTGTTCGAGAAACCAAGAAGACGAACAGGAGTCCAGAAATGGAAATGAAAAAAACCGAACTTCTGGATGAAAAGTTAGGCCACGAATCCACTCATAGGCTCCCATTCTTATCCCAGTGTAGATATAATGACGAGTAATGGCCGGAGCAACACCCGTCCACAAGGCCATCGCTCCTTCTTTTCGGATAATATCGTACGTCACTTGAATCATTCCTCAAAAGATTCAATGGTTTCTCAAAAACAGGGAAAACGAAACCTCCTCTGGTAAATTTGTTTTTGGCTATTTGCAGCCTCGTTTTAGTGATATCCAATGGATAAGTAACCGTTTCCGCCACCAACGCTGATGTACATGATAAAAAATATTTTGTCGCAATCTGATTGAGAGAAGAAGAACCATCGATCGATTTTGACGGTCCTCCAACCGATGTGTGCATTTCTGGAAAACAAATTGTGGGAAAAAGATTAATTACAAACAAATAAGAAGTAAAAATTTTTAAAAAAAGAAATATTCTAACACACGGAAAGAATTTTTTTTAAAAGCAATTTTGAGTAAATTAGAGAATATTAAAAATTCAACAGGTTTTTAGAAAAACTTTGAAAAAAAGTTGATGCCGTGTTCAAAGTAATTTCCGCGAAATGCAAAATGGTCTCTGACCCTCCAAAATTTAGTTATCTTTCTCTTTCTCTGACGGCTATTTTGAATTTCGCGGAATCACTTTGAACACGGCATGAAATTAAAAAACTTGCGCATTACGCAAGTTCGGCAAATGACAACCCTTAAGTAGTTCTCCAAGCATCCTCTTTAGATTTTTGCATCTCATTGGAGCATAGGTGCTGCTATTAGTAAAGAGATCCGAAGTTCCTGCGTTTTGCACGTTTTTATTTTAATTTTAAGTATTTTAAGATTTTCTTTGCTTAATAGAAACATTCAGAGAGTAATTTTTCGAAGTTATAGGCGTATTGAGCCATATGAATTAAAGTAATTTGATTAATGAGAAGAGAAAATTTGTTTTTATTCATTTACTTTTTTTTGTTTCATAATTTTTTCATTATTTATTGCTCACTGTAATCTTTGTTTCTATATTTTTTCTCTCAAATTTCCATTAAACAACTTATATTCTAGTTGCGGGTAAAACTGCGTCACAGATCCATGTCGCTGCAAACCTATCGGCTTTTTCAAAGAAGTCGATCGCAAATTTGGGTTCGATTCAACTCATCCGGTTCTTTCAAATCGATCCTCGGCGCTCCAAAAGTTTCCAGCCCATTTGAAGATCCCACACGTACACGGACGCCTTCTATAATTGCAGTCAACGTGTGGAATACGATTGCTACTCAATTCAAAAACTCTTTTCAGCATGGCGTTTTTGTTCAACCCCGCTCATTCACTGCAGAGAGCCCCAAGACAAAAGGAGAGACATTGAGTGACGTCGTAGAGCAGTTCAAAGAATCGAAAAAGGCCAAGCAGGTTCAAAATCTCTTTTGCAAAATGAGATAAATGTTGGTTTTCTAGGAAGTCGTCGTGGAAGCCAAGAAAAGTGAACCGGAGCCTGAGCCGCGGATGTCGGCCATTGAAGAGCTTACATCTCTTAAAGAGTCACTAGGAAAGCTCGAGAAGGCGACTATCGGACGTCCTGCCTCGGGATCTGGCTCTGGTTCCGGGGGAGGTTCTGGTTCAACCGGAGGCGATGTGAGTGATTATATTGCCATTATTGAAAACTAAAAACCGTAAGGATACTTTTTAGCGCATTATAAGCGAAAGTATACAAAAAAAGAAAAAGACGATTTTTTTCCAATTTTTTTATATTGCTAGGGAACTTTCCGACGGCAACGTTTCCGACTAATCCTTTTTCGACTTTTTTCTCGATAAATTCTTCGTTTTGAATCTTCCCATATAAAATTGGTAGTTGATTCATGATTAGGATACAAACATTTTTGGCAAGCGTACTTGGAATAACCTCGGTTCGGCCGCAAACTGAGAGGGGGACTTGACAAAAAAGTTTGGAAGGAGGGGGAGGGGCATGACAAAAAAAAAATTGAAAAAATTTTTTTTAGCTGTGCTCTACATTTGCTTCAACGCGGTGCACTATAAAAAAAAAAGTTTTTTTGAAATCGAAAAATCATTGTGATTTTCGGATTCAGTGTGGTTGATTTAGTTTAGAAACATGTGAACATTTAAATTAGAGTTGTTGAAAACGCGAGAGAGTCAGTTTAAAGCCGAGGCCGGCGCGCGCCAGGCTAGGTTCTCACATTATTCGATCAGTCATTTCTCAGCTATCTATTACATACTGCGCCATGATAAAATTTTGAATGCGAAAGTAATCGCGTTATTTTTTGAAATATTCAGCGATCGTGGACTCCACTTCCAACGCTCCCAGCTCTTGTACCTGGAAAAATTGCTCCTCTGGCATCTTCAATTTTTTTATTTTCACGGGCAGGGGGACTTGGCTTTGGCTCCGAGGGGGACTTGGCTGACCCCAGGCTCACTCATTCCATGTATGTTGGCAAGCTAGCGCCTGTCAATAAAGTTGAAGAGATTATCTGATTTGGCAAGGAAGATTTTTCAGAAATTTCAACTGAAAAAACCTTCGAACAGAAATCAATGAAATACATAAATAAAAAGTGTATTACTTTCATGTTTCAAGACATCAAAGACTTAAATTTTTTGGGTGATCCCAGAATAAATTTGAAAAAAGCTCTTCGCCTCAAAAGTCATGCTCCTTCAAAACTTTTAACCAAAATATATTCTAAATTCACGGTTTCTCTGTTCGATATCAACCTTTATCTTTTCAGGACCACGGAACGAATGCTGAAGCTGAGAAAAGACGGCTGAGAATGGAAAGAAATACAAGAATCGGCGGCATGGTTCTCACTGCCGGCAGTGTCATCGGCCTCATTTCATTTTGCGTTTATTACGGTTCGGATTTTTTGATTTTTTTTTTTCTAGTTTTCATACTCAATTCATCAATTATTCGATAAAAGCACACTTCAAAGACGCCTAAACTTTCATTTTGGCAGACTATCTACCCACTCTGACATGGGGCGATCAACTATTTTTCTGACGCACACTATTTCGTCGTTATTTAGCTGCGAGAAAACGACGAAATATTTTAGGTCAGAGAAAAAGTTGTGGCGATCTTATGGCGACTCAAGTCAGAGTAGTGTTTATTTGAAAACAATATACGTTGAGAATTGTTAATTAAATGGAGTAAAACATCTATTATTTTTTACTCGATGGGAATTTTCCCTTTTTTTCTTTTGAGGTCGAGCCAAACGCGACGAACACGGTAACGTCATCACGGACGAGTTTGAAGGATCCCTTTTGGCGCCGTTTTATCGAATTGCTAAAAACTTCAAGTTGTGGAGAGATGTTGGTATTTTGGCTGGAAAACTCTTGAGTGGGACTTTTTCAAGTACGTGGTTGAACCGGCGAGAGAACAACTTCTGCCGGATCCTTTGCCGGCTCCGTATCTTCAGCCCAAATATACAATTGTCATCGAGATGAAGAACGTTCTGGTCTCTCCGGATTGGACGTATAAAACTGGCTATCGGTGAGTTTCATCATTCAGATCGTGATATGAACCATCAACTAACATTTTTTTAAATCAGTTTCTTTTTTTTTCAAATGGAATGATCGTCAAAAAACTGAAATTATCACAATGTTCTTTTTTTCCTTAAGATTTCATCTGCTTGAAGTTTTGGAAAACTGACAAAAAACAGCCGATTGTCGAAACTTTTCGATGAAAAAATTGATAGATTGGATTTCGCGGACTTCCTTCTTCATTCCGAGTATAACTATCATTCCAAATTATAAAAAAATGAAAAAAATTTCAAATAAAAAAACTTTTTGAATTCAGTTTTTTTATGTTCAGGACATCCCCTTTTTTGTATGTATCCCAAAAGCGTTTCATTCCAATTATCAGGTTGCTCATTCACGAAGTCTTGATGGAAACTGATAAAAGAAAGAAAGAAGTTAATTTGAAGTTTCAATAAAATTTGCGTGCAGATTCGCCAAGCGACCGGCTCTTGACTATTTCCTCGATGTAGTTGGCTATCCCAACTTTGAGGTGATTTTTTCTTTTTTATTTTTTCGGAGCGGAGAGTTCGGATTCTAGGTCGTGATCTACACAAGCGAGTCGATGATGACGGCGGCGCCCGTCGTGGACAGCTTCGACCCGAAACAGAGGATCATGTACAAGTTGTTCCGCGACTGCACCAAATACACCAATGGACATCACGTCAAGGTCATCTTTCATGGCGCGAAATTGGTTTTCTGAAAGTTAAGAGGGCTTTGGGGTTTTTTTGCTCCTGTTAAAGTTTCGATTAGCAAAAAAATTTTTGATAACTAAAAAGATAGCGCTAAAAGACCTTGATTGTTTGAAAATCGTTTTTTGAACTCTAAACGAGTGAAAATAATGGAATCGATTTTCTAGGACTTGGGCAAGCTTAACCGCGACCTGTCCAAAGTGATCTTCATCGACTTCGACGCCAAATCGGCCCAACTGCACCCTCAGAACATGCTGCGGATTCCGGAATGGCGCGGCAACATGGACGACACCTCGTTGGTCGACCTCGCCGAACTCCTCAAAAGTCTGGCTTTTCTTCCTGAAACTGTCAAAGTGCGACCTTCCAGCCATCCACATCATGGATCCCGACGACGTTCGGCCCATTCTCGAGTACTACAATCAGTACGATGACCCCGCCAAGGAGTTCAGACGCAGAGCGATCTATCTCGCTGAACAGGTACGCCAACTGCAATCCCAAAGGACTTTCGAGAAAAATGAGAAGTTTAAAGAGGAAACTAGGGCTGGGTTCACAGGAAAATTGTTGAAAAAAATTTTCGAAAAATTTCTGATAAAAACAGGGCAGGTTTTCAAAACAAAGCTAGTTCAACTTTATAATGCCTTTTTGAAACAAATTTTTTTATAGAAATTTAAAAAAAGTCGGGGTTGAATGCATTTCTTTCAGCTTTCAGACGCTCCATGGCTCCAAATATGTGAAAAAAATTTTTGTACTTTTTTTTTAGTTCAAAAAAAGTAGAAAATCGGCTTTGTTGAGTGAAACTTTGAAATTGGTTCTGGATACAAATATAATTTTTTTTTTCAACTGGAGTTTGAGACTTTTAGAGATTCTTTGAAATTTTAGCTTTCAAAAATGTTTATGAATTGATTTTTTTTTGTTCAAAAGGGATGACTTTATGTGAAATTCGCTAGAGAAAAAAAGAGAGAAAGTAATCGTGCCTCGTTCGAAATAAAATATTCATAGGGTTGCCATACGAATAAATTTGCATTTTGCAGGAAGAATTGAAGAAAAAAGAAGTTTCGCAGCAGGACAACTCCTTGATGAGCAGGTACACGGGTAGACTGTTCGGTTTCCGACGACATGCTTCTGCCTAGATGAATCTCCTTCTTCAGTTGTTCCTCATATTCCTCGATCTTTGATGATTCCCATGCCTTCTCTTTCTGAATATTTTGGTTGCATCTTGTTTTTAGTCATTGTTACCGTTGATTGTTTTCTCCCTTGTTTTGGCCTGAGCGAAAGATTAAGGGTAATGCTTTGGAGTCTTTTTCTTGTTATTTCAGCTGTTGCGCCAAATTTTTATCTCGATGCTCAATTTTTCGGCGAACGGTTTTATTTCATTCATATTTTTGTTTTAGGTTTAATTGAGTTGATTTAGATTTGTTTAGGTGTGTATAGCTTTATAATTACGTTCCTTATTGTTTTCTTTTTTTCTTCGTTTATTTTAATAAATTTTTTTCACCTGATTTTCGCCTGATTTTTTTTCTTTTGTCCGAGTGTTTGTTTGAGCCTCTTCAATATCTCAAGCGTGAAAGAAAGCGAAGAAATGAGGGCATCAAATTAGAAAAGAAAAAAGCGAAAGTTTTGCGTTATCAATTGAGCGCAACTTTGCCTATATATTTCTCTTTCTTCTGTCATTTCTAAACATTGGAAGCTAAAAAAAGAAGAAGAAAAAAAGAAGAAAAATTTTCTCGTTAATGGCCTGATTTGAGAAATTTTTCGAATTGAATTTACAATTTCAGAAATACAATTCCTTGATTGAACAAAAACGTGTTGGAACAGATTTTTCACACGAAAATTATTTTTGCAACGTGGCTTTGTTGGAGAAACGTTTCATTGGATATAATTAGTTTTTTTATTTACTGGTTCAATCATTTTATTGATCCGTTGCTCACTTTTTTTTTAAGTAGGGAAAAGTTTTTTCAAAGATTTACTATGTTTAAGGCTTCAAAAGCTTGCTCACAGTAGTTTCAAAATACTTTCTGAGCATTTGAAAGCGCAAGAGTCTCGTTTGAATCATAAATAGCTTTTCTCTTCCATAAATATCTCCTATGCTTCTTCAAACACTCCAGTAATATTTTTCGAAAAGAATGTATCGAGAGTTGTTTTTCGCTCAATTTTTCGGAGTTCGTGAGAGTTCGGGATGATTTGTATTCGAGAAAAAGAAGCGATCTGGCTTAAAATTCCGTTTTATTCAGTTCATGTTGTGGGTCCAAAACAGGCTTTTTCGAAAAAATTTTCCGTGAACTTGTTAATATTCAACCCTTCAATGATGATATCACTCCAGATTCTACGAATCACTCGGATCATGAAAATAGAGATATGAATTTCCCTTCGCATGTTTTTTTTTTCAGTTTGGTTTGCGACTCCATCTAATTCGGGCGGGATAATCCTCCGAAAACCACGTCCGGGGCCTTTCCGACGTGTTGATCGCACCTCCGCTGCCACATCATGAAGGTAGGATCTGCTTTATAAAATGATCTACTCCTGGAACAAAATAGTGAAGTTTATTTTGTTCATCGCCGCCTAGAGAAAAATAAATCGCAGAGGCGTCTGAACCCTCTCTTTTTGCACACTTTTTCAAAAATTGTTTCAGACCGACGCTTAAAAAACTTCAAGAGAATCTCATTATGAGGAAAAATGATTTGAACGAAGTCACAGTGTAGATAATAGATAAAAACGAAATGAAAATGAAACCATAAAGAACCTCAATTTTCACGGTTTGATCAAACGATCCATAAAAAAATTGAAAAAAAGGGCGATTTCAATTTGTTTAATCGTGAAATGTGGGTGGAACTGTTGCGGAATCGCGCGCTTTTCATCTTTTTCTCTTCTCTTTTGACGTTCCCCCGAGACCGATGCCCTTTCCGAAATCTCCCAACCGCAATGTTGCGAATCATTTCAATGAACTCATCATTTCAGCCGTATTTCATGCTTTTTGGCAAAAATATTAAGCAAACCTCAAACACATTTATTTTCGCACGCCATATTTCCAGCTACGTGATGATTCATGTCTCAAGTCAGAAGTGAATGAACTTTTTTATTTCGATGCTTTTTAGTCTTATCTTAGTTTCTCATTGGTCATACTTTCATGAGTTTGACGTTATTTCCCTTTTTCCCTTGTTATCTTTTCTATTCATTTTCTAAATTTTTCGTGTAGAACAAAAAATCAAAAATTTTCAGTTGAGTGAATTTTTCTTTTCAATGATGATTTTTCAGACTCATCTCGGAAGGTAAATTTGATAACTTGTGGCAGACTCACTCTTTACATTACTTATTTACATTACATTACTTCTTTACATTACACTCTTTACATTCTTTACATTACTCTTTACATTACTTATTCTTTACATTACAACAATTTTCCTTGGAAAAGTTGTCGAAAACGAAAAAATTAAATTGATATGAACCGAAATAAGCTGCGTAAAAATTTCGAAGGAATTTTCCTATTTAGAAGTTCTTTTTGCGTTGTTTAAGGCGCAAAAATTTTGTATGATCTCAAAAAAAAACACTGAAAACGTCTTTTTTCTTTTTGGCCTCTATTAAATTTATCAAGTGTCTTTTTTAAACTCGGAAAAGATTTCGGAACCTAAGTTCTCGGAAAGTTACAGGTGCATTATTAAGGCTGTATCACCGCTTCCAAATGCTGTTTTATAGTCTTTTTGGAATAAATTTTGTTGTTTCATCATTTTTGCTATGCTGGACAGGCTTGTGCGAGGGCCGGCCCGTCACCCTCCCGGCCCCCGACCATTTCGTGAGCCTGGCCCGGCCCGGCCTTAGCGGGGCCTCAAGAAAAAAATAGCCCGCCCGGCCCAAAGCGCGCAATTTTTTTCTAGTTGGATATCAAGTTTTTTACGACAAAAATTACGTTTTTGCTCATTTTTTCACTTAAAGTTTAACAGAAACTATGATTTCAGAAGTAAAAGTCACATTTCGGGGAAAATTTTTTAAACGGATTTTAAATTTTTTTTGAATCCCGGGCCGGGCCGCCCGGCCTGCCTGCCGCACAAGCCTGATGCTGGAAAAGTCGGTTCAGAGGGTTTTTCTTAACTACGGCTATTTTTTTCAAGTTTTCGGACTTTGCAAAACCTTTATGACGTTTTTAAGATGGAGCGGTCTTATAGAACACATTTATTTTTGACATAAAAAGTTTGAAGTTTGATTTCGAGGTTTATCTAGATTTCGAAAATTCACTTTTTTTTTTTTTACGCTTCCCGCCGAGAAAATTCTCTCAAACATTCTGAAAATCATTTTGCGGACAACATATTTGTTAGTCGATTTAAGAGGTTGTGCCTAAAAATCGCTTTGAAATTTCTTTTTTTTTTGGTTTTGGTTATATTCGTCAATATTTGATTTTTTTTAAAGTTCAAAAATTATCCACATTTGAGAATCATACGCATTCTGGGAACGTAAATAATATTTGAATTGAGAAAAAAATATTTTTAAAAATATTTTAAACTTTCAAAAAAAGTGATATTGTAAAAAGCAGACTTTCTCAGCATCTGTTTGTCTTTTATGAACCGCCATGTTACCTTTTTGTGAAGTAATCTGAAAACCGTTACGTCTTTTTTGTTCTTGCTAAGATTAGCAATCTGGAATTTCTAATAGTATCCTTACCATTCAAAGATTGTTGACACTCGGGAGATGAAAGCAAAAAAAAAAGAAAAGGAAAGAAAAAGAGCCGGTCGTGCAGAAGTGCTTGACACATTCGCAAACAGTCACATCAATACCGTTCTATTTTCCGCATTCTTAAATTTCCTTTTTTTGAGTTCCTTGAAGCGTTCAAGTGTCGAGTTCCATTCATTTTTGAAATCGAGAAGAAGTTTTTTTTTTTTGAAAAATAGAGATAACTTGTTAGTTTATGTAGATGCGCGCTTACAATAACTTCGAAGATGAAAAAGTGTCGATAACGGGATAAATATTCTCGATTTTTGTTTCATAGTCGATTCAAAGATGAGGTTCAAATAGGCAGCTTCCCACGAAAACTTTGATCACAAGTGAAAAATCGTGATCTCAACTCATTTCTCTCACTTTCAAAGTTCTTCTCACTGACGTAAACTCAACGACTGTTTACCGGTTTTTCTCTCACTTAACGTTATCAATGAATGTCAGTAATTTGAAAAATGACGCTTTTTTTCCTCTTTTTTTTTACCTGAACGTTCGAATATTTCAAAATGCCCCATTCAAAGCCAAACTTTTGTTGATTCAGCATGCATGAAGTTCAGATTTTTCACATAATAAAATAGAACTATTGTGTGAAAAGAGGGGTTGTTTTTGAAATTCGTTTTGAAATCCCTATCCTGAGAAAGGCAAGAAACTTTTTCTTTTCAGATCGCTAGAATGATACAAAAATTTGTCACCGTAGTATTTAGGAAACATTTCTTTGAATATCAAACAAAACGTCTACAATTTTTCCTGAGACTAAGAATAGAACTCCTGAAATGTGGTGGATGATTCGACTTTTTGATTGTCTTCTGACGTACCTTGAGCCTAGTTTCCAGCAATAAAAATCTTTTTGAGTTATCAGAAAAGTTTATGAACTAGCTAAAAATGGGAGGACGTTCTTGTTTTTTTTTTTCTTTCTTTCATGAAAATAATATCCAATTATAAGGTTTGATAACGTTTATGACGTTTCAAAAGTATTTTCCGATTAACTGTGCATTTTTCATGTTTGAATGTGACATATAGGTCGGTTAAGAGAGTTTTTTGAAAATTAGGAATAAAATTGAACTTTTGAACGTTTCCTCGTAAAAAGACTGCGCTAGGAATATTTCCAGCGGAAATGTCCAATTTTAGCGACACGTCAATTATCCGTTTCCGCTTTCTTGGGCCTGATTGGCTTTTCCATTTCGAAAACCCGTATCTTGGAGGGAATTTTGTGTTCAAAGAGGATATTCGGTAGAATCGTAGTTATGGTTGTTTGAGTAGGCTGTTGTGGACAGGAAACTAGCCACTGAAGTCCACTTTTACTCCTATTTTGACGTTTTTAGCTTCTACTTGACTTTCGTTCTGAAAATTTGTCAATTTTTCTCTACCTTCATCTAATTTTTTAAAGGCCGTGGCATATGAAAAATTTGGTAAGAGTCATTGATACCTAACACGTAAGCAGTTCTAATGTTTCACAAAAAGTTATTCAAAAAAAGGAGTTTTATAAATTAAAAAAAGGCCAGAAAGACCTGAATTTTTCCGAATGCCTTTAAAACTAAAGGGAAAGCAGTTTTTTTAACGTATTAAAAAAAGTTATGGAAAAAAATTTAAAATTTCAAGATATTAAAAAAAGAACATAACGTCGAGTTACGATAAAGCCAGGATTTTTTTAAGAAAAAAATTCTAGTTTTTTTAGAATTCTCTTCTTGAAAAAGTTTTTTTCAGTTAGATTTGGTTTTATTAATTCGTTCGATTCATTGGAAATTTCTTTTTTATTAGAAATACTTTCAAGTTTTTCTTATTAGCTGAAAACTAAATTTCCACCGAACCAGCAAAATTGGAAGCGACCCAGAAATAGAGACTCTCGGCGTTTATTCAATGAGTTGCGCAATATTTGCCTAATTGCCTGTCCCTCATTTTCGGCCTCGAGATTCTTTGCTTTTCTCTTTCGTTCGTCATTGTTTTTTAGTTGGTTCAAGTTATTCATGTGCGAATTTCGAACGAATGAAAAATTCATGTGAAGGGTATTTTCGTATGTCTGAAAAATAATAGGAATGAAATTGAGTTCAATCGATGTCCTTTTTAGACGAAAAACTTCAAATCGAAAGGAAGCCAATTTTATTTGAAAAAAACATGATAATTACTTTTTTTCCATGAACCAGACATGTTCTCCAATTTCTATGAAGCTTAACTTCCCAGCGCAAATTGTTTCAAATCAGGCGCGTCTTGAAAGAACCGCTTGGAGCGTTCTAAAAGTGACCATAGACTTCAAAATCGCCGCCGTAATAAATTCATTCTCTTACAGACCCCTTGGAGGTACGCCGCCGTGACAATGGTGGCCGCCGTTCTTGTCACATTCCTTTTCTGTTTCACAAGTGCCTGGGGTCAGTGGAGGGCTAATCAGGTAGGTTATAAGTAGAGACCGCAGAGCCACGCCCCTTTTTGCGATGGTGAAATGCACTGGTTTTTTAGATTTCGTGTTTGATGTTTTCGTAAAAGCGCAATACTGAATCAACCACAGAGAAATTTGGTGGAAACATAGAGAAAACCTTCCTCTTCAATCTGATATACTTTTCCCCCGATTTTCGTAGCGTTTTAGCGGAGTGTCGTACGAAAAACCAAAACTACTTTTTTTCTTCGGGTTTTTAACCTAGTTCCATGTCGTTGGCGCCTTTTTTTATTTTTCGAATTCGATTTTTTTAAGTGAAAAAAACAAATCTTTTTAAGACAAAAAAATTAAAAATTTTTTTACGGTGCCTAATCTTCGTGAGGCCGCGCAAAGTTGAAAATGTTGTACTCGCTTTCGAGAGCGTGTAAGTAAAAAAATTTTTTTATTTTTAACTTGTGGATTAAATTGTAACTAAAAATTTTATTGATATAAAAACTTAATCCGAAAAACTATGTTTTCTGAGAAAAAAATAGACAGTGAAAAATTTCGAAATTTATTTTAACATGGTCAGATGTCGTTGGCGCCTTTTTTTATTTCTTAAATATTAGCGTATCTCAATTTTCAATCAATTAAAAAAATAAAATAAAAATTTTAGCGGTGCCTAAAAGTTTAATCATTGTTAACTTGAAGCCAACGTTTAAAAATAACAAAAAAACAACGAAAAAAAGGAAGCATTTTTGAACTGAATCTCTATGAATAAATTATTTTTTTAGGTGGTCCGAACACACGTGACTAATAATTGTTCAACTATCATAACTTTTTTTAAAAACAAGATAGTCGGTAAATGCTGTACTTTGACGTGAAGTGGTGTATAGCGCGAACGCCTCTTATCTTCGAGAGATGTGTGTGGAGCAGCGCAAGTGCCCTTGCATACAGTTTTGATATCGCGAGTTCAATCCTCGCAGCGGCCATTTTTTTTTATTTTTCAAGAAAAAATAGCTTTTCTTTTCAAACTTGTGGTTTTATACTGTTTTAATGACTTATTACGACTTTGAAAACCAAACTAAACTACTAAAAAAATTTAAATCCGATATGAAACAAAATGAACGACCAAAAGTGTAAAATCTAAACTTTCAGTACTAAATTTCGCGACTTTTTTCACTACTGTTTTGACTATAACTTTTTTTTTTCTCAACCTTTTTCGAAAAACTAAACTGTTTTGAATAGTAAATTAGAGCAGCTATCCAACCATAGTAATATTGAAGTTCGAAAAATTTTTTGAAAATTCGTCTGCGGTCCCTAGTTATAAGGAAAAAGAAAAATAAAAAAATAAAAAAAGAGAAAGGAAATATTAAATGGAAAAGAAATTTATTTCCAGAGGTCCCATCAATTATCGGTCTTACCCGACTCTTCTACACTTCGCCTTTGCCGAGACTTTACTAATCAGGTTTTCTGGATAGGATTGAAAATCTACAATTATTCCTTTCTCAGACTCGGTTCCGACAAATTTTGAAACCACTTATGGTCACACGGGTGGTGGACACGCCTCAACATCGAGCTGTAGGAAATGTGATATTTAAAAGTGTTCCGCTTTAAATGTGGCCATTTTCCAGTATATCAATGAGTTTTTGACGAATCTTGGCTTCAAGACGGAGTGGGACGCTTTCCAAGTTGGAATAAAGAGGGAAATTAGATTCGCCTGGAGATTTCAGGACACAACTCCGTTCGGACCCAGGAATTTCCGAAATTTGATAGCGACTTATGATGAAAAGGCGCCGAGGAGACTTGTCCTGGCCTGTCATTATGATTCGATCATTCTTCCTGGGTGAGTTTCGAAAAGTATTTGTAATTCACTGAGCTTTCAAGTTGTCTACTTTGACTTCGAATTTAAGTTTCGAAATTATTGACTTTTTTTTTGACTCAATTTCTGTTTTGCCATTAAGGATTGATTTTTTAACTTCTTCACCCTCGACGGATCTTCAATAAATTTTATGAGTGACACTTTTTTTTTGAATTCTGTCAGAAATTCTTGATTTTTGACTGTTATTTCTTGTTTCTTTCAAACCTCCCTTGTTTCAGACAAGCCATGGTGGCCGCCACGGATTCGGCCGTTCCCTGCGCCATGATGATGGATATTGCTCAGACTATCGTTCCTTACATGTACAAACGAGTGGCGCAGGTTCTCATCAGAATCGAAATTATTACTATGATTCACAACAGGACGTTGGTCTGCAACTGATCTTCTTCGACGGCGAGGAAGCTTTCAAGCAATGGACCGCCACGGATTCTCTCTACGGTTCCAGGTATTTCTCAACGAGAAGAAGATCTGAAGCTCTTAATTTTGAGACATCTGGCGAAGAAATGGGAATCCAAATGGTACCCGACGACGGCTGGCTCAAACTTCGAGCTGAGCAAGGAGATCGACCGAATCGTGAGCGAAATCGCTCCTTTCAAAGGAAAACAAGATTTTCAGGACGTGATGATGCTACTGGACCTGTTGGGAGCGAAAAATCCGAGGATCAGCAACGCCGTCGGCCTCGGCGCCAACCAGCTCTTCTCTCAACTGGCGGACGTCGGTCAGTTCTCAATTGGTCATGGAGGTTCAGGAAGAAGAAGTTCAGAAACGAATCTGCGCGGTTTGGGATGCGCCAACAAGGTCAACAAAGTCTTCTACAGCGGATTGTCTTTCAATACGGTCGAGGACGATCACATTCCTTTCTTGAGACGAGGTGGGCTTTGAAAAAGCCGCGAAGGATTTAAAGTTAAAAATCCGCTTTTTTAAAGGAGCACCTGGGCCAACCAGCTTTTCAAAAATGAAAAAAAAAAACAGATATCAAACGTTTTTGACATTCGTCAGGATTTTGATTTTACCACAAGGGAAAACAGCGACTGTCCAATTTTTTGGTGTAGAAAATACAAGTTTTGTTTTTACATATATCGAGGAACACCGATCTTCACCTGATAATCTGTCAATAAGTTATTATTAACGGTTCCGTTGGAAAAATCGATTACGGATACATTTATTTTTTCTGAGAAAAATGATCGTGTCAAAAAAATGGTGTTTCAGAATTGAAAGTTGTTCTTGAAGGCGAAAATCAGAGTTATCAGTTCAGGAACGCCGATCTTGCACCTGATCACGGTTCCGTTCCCAGACGTCTGGCACACGCCGGCGGATAACGAAAAAGCTTTGCACTGGCCAACAATCGACCATTTGACTTCTGTTGTTCGGGTCTTCGTTGCGAAATATCTTGGAATCGCCCCGGCTTGAGTCATGAAAGTCAAAGTCGCGAAGAAATAGCCGTGATGGAACAAAGTCCTGAAAAAATATAACTTTTAATACTTTATTGGACATGTAAATTACTTTATTCTCTCCACCCAAAGCAGCTCGTAAAATTCGAGTTTTTCTTTATTTTTAATGAAATGAACTCAACCTTGAATTTAGCGAGATGTTTCTTTATGGTTCTCTAAATACTCTCACTCGATTTTTCTTTTGCGACAATTATTTTTTCCAACTGTTTTGAATGGCTTGTTTCCATTCCGGCTATTTCTCAAGATTTTTCTGTTAATAGTCTAAACTTTGAAGTGCAATTACGGGAATTACTTTCTTCATTTTACTTCACCCACTATTGTAGTAATTTCCTTTGATAGTCTTCTATTTTTTTTCTCTTTCAAAAAGGGGGCTCATTACCAAAAAAAAAACAGAACTCGTCATTTCTCTATTGAGTTTTTTTTTAATAACTAAGTTACTTAACTTTTTCTCACAAAACCATTCCGATCATTGGGATTCTTAACAATAATCACTTCAATAACGTCTACTGAATAGGCGCTATATCCCCAGAAATCATGTTTAATGTCATGTATAATGCATTTTCTTGTTTGAAACGCGGGCTCATAGTTTTGTACACAGTAATAAATTCAATTTCAATTTCGAATTATTATATCACGGAAAATATCATCAAGTGTGAAAAAATGAAGTAATGATCGAAGGCCCGTTATAGTGGATGGACTTGGAAAAAACAAATTTCTCAAAATAATGTCAAGTTTCTTCAAGAGTACAACAACTTGTTACCCATTTCAGAGACCAAAATGAAGCGTTTTGGGAGAATTTGGACATAGTTGGGAGGGTCTTGGAAAGTGATATGCACATGAGTAGGCGGACAAGCGAAACTTGAGTTAGTACTGGCTGTGGAAAATAAATAATTAATTGGGGTCTGTGGAAGCAGAGCCGAGAAATTTAAAAAATTGGAAGTCAGGAAAATCATCAAATTGATAGTAAAAATTTCGTTCAACTGAAACTTGAGAAAATTGATTCATTTTTTCACAGAGATCTTGTCTGAATCCTGTAAAAATTTTAGAAAAATCTGGATTTTCCAACCCTTTAACTGTGACGATCAAATTTTTGGATCGAATTTTTCTGATTCAGTCAATCGATTTTCCTCATTGAAGTTTTGAATAACACAAAACTGAAACTCTCGCTAGAAATGAGTCAAACTGTTCTAAAATTCTGCCAAACAGAAATCGTTGGGATTTTCTCTGCTCTACTTTCACATGTAAATACAGTATTTAATTGAAGTTATGGAGAAAAGTATACGAAGGATGGGATTATATGGCAGTGGTGAGAAGGGTCTTGTTGGCCTGCTGGACCTCGGTGTCGAGGAGAGGCGCCGTCGGATTCGGAGAGGACGCCCTCTTCGACCCGTCGATGGACGTCATCCTGTAGCTGTACCTCGACGTCTGATCCGTCAGAATCACCTGAAATCCCACTTTAAACTTCTGAATAGAAATTCCAACGACGCGTTCAATGATGAAGTGGGAAGTCTTTGAGATATAAAAAATTATCGACATCCTTGAAAAAAGTTTTTTTTCTCAACCGAAACATTGCTCTTTTTCGAAACATGCTCCTTTTTGTGATTAAACACGTCATAACTTTTTGATTAGTACACCACTCGGAGTGAAATGCATGAGAATCAATCGTCGACTAAATTTGTTAGAACACTAAATATAAGAAACTTTCACTGTCTTTTAAGGTTACCTTTCATGCCATTATTTTATTTTCACTAGAAACTGAGAAAAAAAACCGGGTAAAAACAAAAAATAAAATGGAAATGGAAATAAACCACTCCCCAAAGCGCATGCAAAAAAAAGAAAATGATAAAGCAAGCAAATAAATAAGGAAAATGTGCGTGCAAAAAGCTGGATTAGTAGGTTCAAATCTTCAGACAGAGAAACCAAGCTTGCTTTTTGAAAAATGAAAGAAAAAAGCCGCATCTTTTTAGAGTTTGTGTGCCCTACGGAGAACAGTAATAATCTGAAAATATGGCTGATTCACCTGATTCTATTGATTTTTTTTCTCGCAATGAGATTCGAAAAAAATGAAGAACGACACTTTGTTGCCAAAAGATGGGAAGAGCTTTAGAAGTCGAATTTTCATGGTATATTTTATTTTAATCAAGAGTTGCGAAGTCAAGTCTGTGCCTAAATATTAAAAAACGGCAGTTTTCCCACTTTTTTCTCACAGAAATTTTGTAAATTTTCGGTTGGGGCTTACCTGAAAATAGGTCAGAAAACTCAATAATGCACAAACTTCTCGTTATTGAGAAATTTGGCCTCAAAATCTGTAAATGTCCTATTTTCACAGATTTTTAATGGTTGTCATTGACTTTGAGGTGTCCTTTCTCAATAATTGGGAAGCTTAACAGGTTGAGAAGATCTTTGCGTGGTTCATTAAGACGTAGTCTGACCGATTTTCAGAAAATTCCCCAGTAAAATGAGCTTCTTTCTCAGCACACAGTCCTACTTTTTGAGTCGTTGGCGGTAGCGGCGGCGGCGGCGACGGAGAATCCGACTGAAGATCGGCCAGCCATTTTTGGAAACGTCGACGTCGCGACATTTTCAGCGAGGCGTTGGTCGAAGCCGTGAAGGTTTCCGCCCGAAATGCCGACAGTTTGAAGCCATAAAAAGGAAAGCGGCGCAAAATTATAATCCAGGACTACGCGCAACGAAGACCACTTCTTATAAATTTTCAAAGAGATTTTGAGGAAATACACATAATGAATAATGGAAAACTTCCTCCAATCCGTGATTATTAGACAGTTGATGCGACTAAATCTTGCTTAGGTCTGTTGTTAAGAAATATGTACTTTAAAAAATGTATCATTTAAATATTTTTTGGAGCCGCATCACCCAAAAACTTATTTTCGTAGATGAAAAGCAGTTTCGTATGATTCTAAAATTCAAAGTAGGCCAGCGAGCAGATAACCACAACTTCAAATAAATCTTATCTTATCTTATTGTTTTGATTGACAGTGAATAAACTATTGTAATCAAGGGATATTTCGAAATTCAATAAAAGTATTATCACAACACAGTCCTGGAAAAGCCAGATCGGCGAAACAAAGAAAAGTCGGAAATGAAGGAACCCAGAAAGCGATGAAAACTTACCTTTTTTTTGAATAAAAAGTCAATACGCAGTGAAGTTCGATAAAGACATCCATGATAATCTTTTTTTATTTTTATCTCCCTTGTCAGAACAAAATGAAAACTGAGTTTTGAAAGCTCTCAATGAAATTGGTACTTAAGCATCACTTCACTCAAAAAATTATGGAATTTCCGAAAAAAGTGACAGAAAATTGGTGATAAGGTACCTTGGCTGGAGGTTTTCCATAGCATGGTTGGAGTACTGTGTAGAAAATCCGGGTCCAGGCAATTACAACCGTTTTTCGGAAGTTTGCACTGAAATTATTACTTTTGGAAGTTAATATTTGAAAACGAAACCTTGAAAATGCGTACACAAACACGTCAATCGCCGTATTACAGTAATACATGTAGTGTGCGTAGTTGTAGGCTTTCTGAAAGGAATAATCCTTCTTCGCCTCTTTCAAAAATCTATATAATTTACTGCTTTTCAGGTGTTTCACTTATAAAAAGGTTCGAGAACTAGATCGAACTTTGTTCTCTTTAATTTTGAAATTTCTAAATCATCTTGAACACTTATCAGAAACTTTTTCATCAATTCAACGATAAGAATTTCTTTCTTTTTTTTTTGCCAGCCGAAGCAAGTTGATTCAGTTCGAACTGACCACGAAAAGCTCCGATCGATTGGTCATGGAGGATGGCGACTCGTAGACGACCTGAATGACGATCTCGATCATGGACAGGACGTAGAACGGCGTGTTGAGGACGACGAACACCAGAGGCATCACCCAGAGGATCCTCGTCCAGGTGCCCGACTGTCCCGAAGTTCCTTCAAAGCAGTGTCTCCACTTCTGTATTCAATTTTCCTTTTATTAGCTTTATACAAAAAATATACAGTTTTCACGACTGGCTTGAGCCGTCGGAAAAAGGGTCCTGAAACGATGAAAGAGACAAGGCCTGGTTGGTGGAAACCAGCCGCGAATCGGCTGGTTTCATCAGAAGGTATGAGAAAACGCTTTTTTGATCACAACTTTCTCTTACGGAGCTCAATATTTCTGAAATTGTCTTCAGTTTTGAAAACTAATACTTTTTAACACAGATGTGAAATTCCAGTTCCCAGAAAAAAAAACCCCACTCCAAAAAGTTTCAGGAAGTTTACTAAAAGACTTTTCCCTAAAATGAATTACAAAGAAAGAATTCAACGTCTCGGACTAAACACCCTTTGGCAAAGACGTTTAAAAAAAGACATAACTGCTGCTCACAATTTCATTTACGGATACTATTGGTGCCCATCTCCTTTACAAAATACAACAAGTAGATCGAATCAACTGCGAGGAAATGGTCTCAAAATAGAGCGGCCTCTACTTTCTGAAATACACCACCGGTTCATCAATCAAAGAGTTTACAATCATTGGAATCACATGGATAGAAGCATAGTATTTGAGTATGAAAAAAATAAGTTTAGATCTAAACTTGAGAAATGGTTTGAAAACAACATTACAGAACCAAACACTCTTGATCCAACAAAAATATGAAAGCTACATAATCGACATTTAAAAGAATAACTTCATGGTTATTCCAATTTACTCAAGTGGGGGGTTAACACGACCGCGAGTCCTCTTCCCTCCATCACCACAAGTTCCGACACATATGTTCCCAAACTCTCCCTACATCTATTTCGTGAAATTTAGTACTTGTGTGTGAGAAATAAAACATTTTGATTTAAAAAAAATTTTGATTTAAGATTGAGCAAAACTCTGAACAAGATTTATGATGAAAAAAAGAATGGATGTTACTATTTTTTTTTCTTTTTTTTTATCTTTTCGACGCAACTGTGAATATTATAATCGATAACTGAAATGTTAGCCGTCCTTTAAGCAGTTTAGGTCTAAATTCGTAATTTCTAGATTTCCCTAAATTTATTTCGTTAACTTATTGTTCTTGTGTGTGAAGACTTTTCCTTTAAAAAGAAGAAGATTTTGGTGACAATTTCAGAAAAATCTCTTCATGACGTGTGATTTTTTGAATAGTTCCAAAAAATCTAGAAAACCTCCTTGACGTCTCGAATTGTTCTTCGACTCGTTTTGGAAGCATTGCTGAGACTTTCGAACCTGAAATCGAGAAATTTTCACAGTTTATTCGAACAAAAGGATTCAGAAAGAGTTGTGGCGATCTTTTGGCGTCCCATGTCACAGTATTTTTTCTCCTGAAAGCTCCAGTTTACCTATCATTCTCCCTTCTCGCTAAGTTTAGTTTATTCTGGTCGCCCTCAATATTCGGAAGTACATTATATGAATGAAAGTGTCACGCTTCGCGGTTCCTTGAAACATATTATCGCTCGGAATTGCAAATAGAGCGTCTAGTGACCCTTCATTTTTAGTTTGATGATGAAGATTGAGGAAGAAGATTTGGTTAAATATTGAAGAACGAAAAAAAAAATTATCCTTATTTTAGAAAGTTCTCTCTCAAAAATCGCTCTACAATGGCTCAACGGGTCGCGGTTCAATTTGAACTTGGTGCTGTTCTTAAGCTTCAAAACAATGACGCGCGCAAGTCTCTCTGTGGTCAGACGCAGCTTCGAACTAACTACAACAAAATGAGTCATTCTATTGGAGACCAAGGAGATTCAAAAAAGAATCATTTGATCAGATACTCACTTTGACAACGACCAGTAGATTCAGGACAACAATGATTGCACATGGGACGACGTAACATAGAAACGTGTCGGCCACTTGAGCAAATATCTGTAGTTTAAATCATTTTGTTTGAATCAGAAGCAAAATTGAAATATTGAAAAAAGAGAACTGAAAATTTTCACGGAGTCAACAAAAATGTAACCATTATATTGGGTTGTTCAGAAAGTAATTGCGCTTTTTATTATTCGACTTCAAATGATCCTAACTTCGCTCAGAGTTATTATTTCTGATCAAAACCAAAACCATCTTATTAAGTGATCAGGTGACAACAAAAAAACACAAAAAAATTCAGTCGAGGATATCAAACCCTGAATTATAAAAAAACTTTTTTTAAAAAAACTATTGAATTTTTTTATAAAAAAATTATAAAAAAACCTCTCCTTCGAAGCGCATATTACCAACGCAGTTAGTGTAGCACTGCTCAAGTTTAGACAACTCCTGAAGGCTTTTTCTTATGTCTCACTTCCTCGATATAATATCCTTTTCAACCTATACGCAAGACCATACCTAGAATACTGCTGCGAAAGTTTTTGTCCGCCTATCAACTCGCATCTATCTTTCATTTTAGAGAAACCTTATCGAACCTTTACAAGAGAGATATTCATTAGAAGAAACGCTAGCTTTTCGTCATACTCAGATCGTCTGGATACATTGAACTCAGTTCATGTTTTCCGTAGAAGAAAAATCACGGCTTTACGCACACTTCAAAAAATTGTCCTGGGCATATACCATTTTCCAAGCGCAGAAAAATACTTCTGAAGAACTCATTCGCCTCGACAGCCTCTTCGGCTTGTTCAGACGGGTTCTCACTTTTCGAATTTCTTTAGCTCAGTCATTCCAATTTGGAATCGACTCTGCTCTAGATATGACCTCAACGTTTCGCCGACTAGCTTTAGAAGGATCCTCGACTCGCTCGACATCAGCGATTTGTACACGAACGTGCCGGCCAGACTCCTTTAGGAAATTTTCTTTTCTCTATCTCCTAAATTTACGTGTATAATCAGTCCCGGTATCTGCACTCGTTGGGGTGCTGAAAATTCGGGTTTTATTTATTTCCATTCATCTCACTCCGTGTGTCCATCATTTGTCTCCTGATTGGGCTTTAAAACTCTCGAAGCCTATTTTGAGAGGGTTTCGGTTTCAAAGCATTTTTTCGCGTGCAACTGTTTCCATAGTTTAGAAAGCTGTTGTTTAGCAAGGCTGTGGTTGACAAAAGAGAAAAATAAAATGTAATCATTTTTCTTGTTTCGTTTGTTTTTTTTACTTACAACTTTCGCAAAGCGCGGTACAGGACAAAACGTGGCTTTTTTAGTTTCAATTTTTTCAAAATTTTTAAACACTAATTCGTGGAATTTTTTTTTTGATTAGTGAACAACGTCGCTTAAATATTGTAGAGTAGAAAGTTGAGATTACTTATGATACGTTATAACAACTGTAGATAGCCTAGAACATACTCAATCGTCAATATTTGATAGGTTGAGTTCGAAGAACTATCCAAAGCGGCGCCTTGGGCTATGCAGTAAAAATAGGCTTAAAAATCGTTGTAGACGTCTTTCTTATTATCGCTATTCAAAAATGTTATTCTATTCAAAAATTCAGATCACATTTGCATTTTAATTAGACGAGAAGAAAGAAACGTTATGCTTCTAGTGAGATTCGTGAGGTACAGATTTAGTGAGCTTTTCAGATGTCTGAAAAAGTTCTCCAGTCAGGAAATTTTTCTATATACATCCTCTCAAGCAACAAAAAAAAGTTTTTCGCAAAGTTGCAGCTACCAGGACGTTTTGTTACCGCGCAGTAGAAAAATAACTCAAAAATGACTGTCCTCAGTTGTCGAGCTCATAGTCTTGGCCAAAGATTTTTCCAGTAGCAATCACATTGCATGTTCGAAAGTAGTTACTGTGTCCAACAAATAGTAAAAATTTCGAATCATTTCAACGCTTATAAGTCTAGTTGAGAGAAAAACGAAAAAAGCTACTTTAATCACTGTTTTTACCCCTTTCTTCAAAATTACATAAAACTTACACAATTTCGTTTTGAATGATACAATTACACTTAAAAAATAAAACATGCCACGCGCTTCAAATTGATATATAACTTCGACAGGCCAGTCTAAAATCCAGCTCAAAAAATCTTTTACAAGGGGGAGTAAAGCGCAAGAATTTTCTGAACAACCTAATACTTCACTCGTCACAACTCGAATAGTCTGACTTCTCTCTGCTCTCTTCTACCGGCTACCATCTCGAGTTTGTCTCGGCGATGAGGGAGAAGAGACACAGACTGTTCAAAGTCACGGTAAACAGAGTACGAAGTATGAAAAAGTACTACGAGCTTGAAATTTGCCCATTAATATCCTCATAAACTCTTATAAACTGACTTGATAATTGGCTTCCTTCAGAGCACACTTGCGTTCGCCTTCGATGGTCGATTCTTTGAGGGCAAAGAACTGGAAAAGGTTGAGGACGAACGGAATGGGAACCCAGTAGAACATGATCTTGGTTCGGTCGACGTGGCCATACTGAATCAGAACTGATTTAGACTAGCGAGGATTTATTGATAGTATTCAAAATGGTCTTCCGATGTATAGTACTTACATGCGTTTTTCGACTAACCATAAGAAGAGGAACGTTCTCAAAGTGGTGGCTAGTATACATTTTCCTGCTTGTTTCCCTACACATGGAATTTGTCTGTGTGCGGAATAAACACCGATTGATTGATTGATGAAAATGAACTCATTGGGGTTGAGACTGATCAGTGAATGTTGAGAAGAAATTGAAGAATGAGTCAGGGTCGTGGGATGCACCTTCATGTGGGTGAGCGGATGGGCGATCGCGAGGTAGCGTTCGATGGTGAGGGCGGCGGTCGACCAGCTCGAAACGTAGGAGGCCACCATCAGGACGTACTCCAGACTCACACAGTACTTGTAGGCTATGTAGTCCACCTCAAAAAAACTTCTTTTTCATCAAGTTCAGATCGATCCGCAATAACAATTTTAAAAATTTATTTGATTATTTTTTTTGGAATACGAGAAATTCTGATATTATTGACTTTTTCTTTTTTTAGATCAGTTAGATATTTTGAATAATTCTCTTTTTTTCTTCTCGCTTTGAAAAATAAAAAGAATAAAAAAACTTAAGTTGATAATTTTTTTCAACTTTCATACCACGAAATTTTTTTAAAAAGAGTTTTTTTGTAGTATTATTTTTGAAAAAAATAGAAATCGAGCGAACATTTATTCCTTTTCAAGCCCCGTGGTCCCCCGTTAACAATCCTAACATTTTTTTTTCATTGAAAATTAAGTTCTAAGAGCGAAATTTGAAGAGTTATATTGCTTTTAGTCTTTGAAAACAATGTTTTCTTTTAAAAAATGCCGCCTAACTTTTTCACTCATTTCTACCGTTTTTTTTTCCGGATTCTACAATAAACGCTGTTCTTTCCAAATCTGCAAAAACTAGAAAATAACAGTGAAAACGTTCAAAAACTTTGGGAAGTCCATTTTACCTGGTAATAAATAAGAAGAACGGCCAGCAGGAAGATGGAATCTGCAGCAGTCAGCACAATCAAGTAGGTATTGGCGTTCACCTGAGAACTTCTTTTTTCTTATTATTTTTTCCTTTTTTTGCCAGAACTTTTCCCCAAGCTGTTTATTCAAAAGACGCCAAAAGCCAATTTTCTCGAGTAATTAGGTTGGGGGGAATGTCGTTTTTCCAAGGACATCATTCTTTTTTGGACAAATCGACATCTTCAGAGAATATTTATTAGTTCTCTAGTAGGTTTTTGTAGGGTTTCCATGATGATTAAGGAAAGAAGGAGGATTGCAATAAAGAAAGAGATTTGCGAGATTTATCCAAGATTACAGAGAAAGGTGTAGTTCTTATAAAATTCTTCGTTTAAAAGATCGCTGAATCATGAAGAAAAATGGGATTTTTTAAAGTTTTAATTTTCCCCGGATGACTTTCACCAGTGTCACGTTTTAATGTTTCCTGAGTTCTATAAATCAATTTCATCCGTTTGCTGCTCGTCTTTTTTGTAAAACTTTGAAGCTCTTTTCACCCCATTTATAGTCCAAACCCACACTCCAAAAGGTTCAAACTTCTCTCGCATCTTTCAATATTTCTGAGCTATTATTACCCAGTCTGCGGTTTCAAGCAGAGCAAACCATTATGAGACGTCGACTAAAAAAAAATAATCTTTCAGACTCGAAATAACCTATAATCCTCCAAATTGAAAATTACATATGGAGGTGATTAATAGGATAAATTCAAGAGGATAAATAAACAGCAAGTGTGAAATTTCTATCGCAAGAGAATCGCTCAACCGATTACTTACTTTTTTCTGATTTTTTTGATTCATTATTTAAAATGAAATTTTTTCCAAAAACAATACAAAAAAAAAAACAAAAAAAAAACTAAAACTCAAAAATAGTTGTCCGTAAAGCACTATAAGTTTGTTGACGATGATTGAAAACATATAAAAAGTTTTTCGATAGAGTACATTTTACAAACTCCTCGATAAGTTGATGAGAATCATTTCGAAACAAGAGAAAGTGTAGAAATGCCAGAACTGACCCTCCGAAGACGTGAGTGGAAGATGGTGACGAGGGAGATGATGTTGCCGATGATTCCGGAGAAGGCGATGATGGGCAGGACGACGAGGTAGAGATGTTCGGCAGAATCCGCCGCGACGTCATCTGCAGGCGACGTCGACATCCCCTCGTCTACGCTCATCGGCCGGCCTCGAAAACGAGAAAATCGGAACATTTAAATGAGAGATATGGATAAATTTAAAATGTAGGCGCGTTTAAAAAAACTGAAACAAAAATTAGAAAAAAATCCTGCGAAAAATGTTTTTTTCCCGTGTAAAAAAAGTTCTCATGGTTGTGTCCAGAAAATGTATAGAATAAAAAAACAAACGAATTTATTTGAGCAAAAAAAGTAGAAAAATTTCATCAAGTGGAAGTATAAAACGGAAAAACTTTCAAAAATTTTTTTCCATTGAGCGCAAAAAGTTCTGATGTAATGCGGCTGTTTTTTTCTCAGCCGTCATGATGACGAATGAGCAAAAAAATGTAAGCTGTCAGATTTTTTAAAGTAAAAAAATAGAAGTAGTCAAGATTAGTTTGCACAATAAAACCGGAAAAAGTTTTTAAAAATGAAATGATTTATTGTACTTAGTTGAGAACCATTTTTCTGTAGAGCTGGAGTTGTGATTTTACTTTTTCCTGGTTACAAAAAAAAGTTAGGACAAATCTCTTCAGATCTGCCGACTTTTAGTGTTTTTTTCTTTCAAATTCGGGTTGTTTGAAACATTTCAATTTCGCTGATTCACACGAATTCAATATTTCAATATCTGATGAAACGCGAAAATTCCTTCTGACGTTATTTTTCCTCACCAGTAAAGAGAAATAAATAAAAGGCCTGCGGAACTTGTACTCTGAAGTGTTCGAAGGTCATTTTGGCTTGATATAAGGTTGTGCTGGGATGGGAAGTTGTCACATGAGAACCGGAAAAAGGTCCGCCGGAAGTCTTTTCATCAGAATTTAGCACTACTTTTTCACACATGTCGAGTGATATTCTCGTTAATCCCTTCTATCTCGGCAAAAACATTTTTCTGTTGTTGGAGGCTTTGTTAACCATTATAAATGCGGAAAAGCTGTGAAATTAGAAACCTTTGATGGGAAAAATATAGAATAAATTAATAAACAAACAAAAAAACAATTTGGAAAAACGCGGAATCGCGTATTTTCGATGATATCACATATTTTTTTAATTTGAAAATGTACAAAAATGTAGAAATAATTTTTAAGCATAGAAGAAGGTTCAAGAAAGATCCAGCGATCTGAGTCTTTGACTGGCTGGCCACGCCCCTTTTCATTCTCGATTTGATTTATTACATAATTTATGAGTCAAACCGAAAAAATCAGTTTCAAGATGCAAGAAAGCTTTTCGAAAAAAGTCATAATAAAAATGCGAAACGACAACATAATCTCGAAAGAATCTTCGATTTAACTCAACATAAATAACTATGCAAGCTCTCAGAAGAGCCAAATGAAATACCGCCTTCAAGAAAACATCAAAGATTTATGACACCAAAAAAGGAAGTTTTCAAAGTTCGGAAAGGCTACTTAAAAGGAAAAAAAAAAGAATAAGAATCGAGTAGCGAAAAGTGGGCGGAGCTTGGGGATATGAGCTGTTGTTGGCACGAAACACCGAGCTCATTCAAGTGGATAAGAAAGGAGAAGGAGAAAAAAAGAAACTAATTTCGGATTATAAGAACGAGATGTGATCCGTTGGAAAAGGGTAGGAAATGTCATAAACCGAAATTCGATACGGAAAATGAAGGTCATTTAATTTTTGGTCGAACTCTAATTATGAAATGTTGGAAAAAGCCTTGCAAAATGAGTCAGAAAATAAAACTCAGTGGTGAAAAGGACTTGAAAGGCGCAGGGCGTGGTCAGAACCAAAATAAAACTTCTGTTCATGGAGATCTAGTATAACAATCCAACCATTTTGAAATGATCCAAAAAGTTGACTTTTTATTCCGAGACCATTACGACGACTGATTTTAGATTACAAACAACTTTGGTATAAAACGTAAAAGAAAAGTGTTTTCAAAACATCAAAAAAGACAGAGTCCAAATAGGGTATTCAATGGATCTTCAAAAAGGGCAAAAAGCCTTCTTCAAAGATCTTTAGCATCTTTTCAGAGCTTCTTCATTCGAAGAGACTTTTGAAAGAGATGAAAAGGTGCAAAAATAAGCCTGGGAAAAAGACTTTCGCCTCTTTTCGAGAAAATTTCCATCTTTTGAAAAATTTCGATCTTAACCTTTGAGAACGGCGCCGTATTTTTATCGTTCGAAGGAAGCATTTCGAATAAAAAGTTCAAAAGTTGGGATGAGTGTTTACCGCGGAAAAAGAGCGGAAAGAACGCTCGAAAGCCGAATGCAGTTAAGGTAATCCCGTTTCTCCCCTACTCGAGATTGAACTCTGGAGTTTCGCCAACAGATGAATCTCCGCTCGAGAATTTGGAAAGTACAAAGAATACTTTTAGAAGACGCAGTTCACTATCGCTTGCATCAAACAAACATTCTTTGAATGTCATAAGCAAGTTTTGGAAAATAACGAGTGAATAAATGAAAATTATTTCTGTTCTCGTCATGCCTTTCGAACATTGTTAGTTTCAAACACGTAAAACTTTTTGAAGCTAAGTTTACGAATCGTTGCGCTAAAAACTCTAAAAGTTCAAAAAAACATTTTCAAAAAGTCAAAAAGTCGAATTTAAGCTTATGACAAACAAAGTTTTTTTCAAAGTGCCGTAAAAACGTTGGAAATGAACGCGGGAACAATAAAAATCATTACAATCGGCTTTTAAACGGCCATTCAAGAGCTTTTTGAACTTTTTGAAAAAAAGTTTTTCTTGTCCAGATGAAATAATTTTCTAGACGTTCAGTATTTCTTTAAAAAACCATGAATGCAACTTCGGGCTGAAAAATACAATTTGAAGAGCCATTTTATGGGAAAAGGAACTTGTGATACCACAAACAAGTTTTAATGAGATTTTCTGATATTTCTTTTCGAATATTTCATCATTTTGAATCTCTTGAGAAAAAATTTAGAATTGGGAAATAAAAAAGCAACTGTTTTCGTGTTTTTTCTAAGGATATTTCCCCCCGTTCGGTTTTTAAAAGAGGCCTATTTTCTCTCTTACAAGCCGTACAGTACTAATTTTCATTTTGAAAAAACCCCGAAAAGAAAAAATTTGGAGACTTTGAACCAAAAAAAAAAGAAATGAGATTTTTTGAATGACATCCATCAAGTAACCGGCCAAAAAGAACGGGATCCTTCTCGCGAAGGCGGAAAACATAAGGGAAGAGAGCATCATTGAGTAAATTTGCCTAATCGGGGAAAAGCGTCATGCCAAACAAATTGTGGGAGTTTTTGAATGGACGAGTCGGGGCGATACGATTCATAGGGTTTCTTGAGTTTTCGGGAGAAAAATCCTCAAGCTTCACGGAAAAGCTTAGCCTAAAAGCTTGTCGGATTTGGATAAAATTGAAAAGGAAATATAAAACTTTGTAGAATTTTGATAATACTTGAATAGGTGCGAAATAAAAAGACTGAAAATTCTGGGTTCCACGGCTAAACTTCAGAAAAAAGAAGCTTTATCAATGAACAAAGTGGTGATGAACCACAACATTGAAAAATATTATGTTCCACTTTTCTAACTTGACGTTACCATTTTCTCCGTTTGATTAAAAAGTCAAAGGCTCTATAAAAAATATTTTAAGACGATTTTCCTTTGTTAGGTTTCAAGCTAAACTTCAGAAAAAGTAAAAAAGTAATCAAAAAACCAAAATTGAGAAATTTCAAAAATTCTATCGACGCCTCTCTCCTCAATTATTGGAGCGCACATGTAACCTCTGTCAAGACTTTCTTTTATCATCTCTGAATTCCTCAAAAAAGCTCATTAAAAGAAAAAAGGGCCAAGAGTGTTCTTCGAAATGAATAGGAAAAAATAGAATCAAGCAAAAAAAAAAAAACAGGGAAAGCTGTGATTTGGCCCAAAATATATGGGTGTTGAAGAACGGCCTAAATATGTCTCATCTGGACCGCTTCTACTGCATTCTCTCATTCTCACGCACAAATTGAAGGGATTCCCAAAAAAAGACGCGTCATTCAACTTGAACCTGAAAAGAAATTTTTGGTTTCCAGAGGCTTTCTGACGCCATTCCGGCCTATTTCGAGAACTACGAATAGGTAGGGAGAAACGGAAATTTCTGCTTACTTATAAAAAAAGGATACATCACCTTGAAGATTAAGATCTTGAGATTATAATGAGGAAGAAGAAGTAGAAAAAAAAGAATAAACACGTGGATTATGGTAGAATCAAACTGGTATTAAAATTTCTTTTCAAAACTTCAAGATCTACTCACGACTGAAAACTATATAAAACTTTTTCTGTACCTCTCGACCTCAAAAAATAATCTATTCTGTGAAGTCGCGTTGTATTCAAGACTTTTTCTTGATTTTCTAGCTGAAAAGTTTTTTTAGATTCTCTCTCAATCCGAAGATCAGCAATAGGCGTCAAAGTGCTTATTTAATGAGTTGGAAGGTCGGACGCGTCAGCCGAAAGCCGAATATCAAACCGTCATTAGACTTTATAGTTTATGCATGAACGGCTTGGATGGATGGTTGAAGGCGCAGGGCGGAGTCAAATGAAATTTCGTTTCGAGACGCACAAAGATTGTTCCAGGAGTGAATAATTTTTAGGACCGATCTACCTCTTCAAAAGTCCGTTTGAAACAGATCTTCAAGGGAGTAATGAAATTCGAGAGAACAGGGACTACAAAAGTTAAACTTGAAAAACTTTATTACTTCACTAAAAAGGTATCTGAATAATGGTATTTTTGTTAGCTTTTCCCCAGTATTGTAGTGAGTTTTTGAGTCGTGAAGTTTCTTGAGAGCAAAAATTGGAGTCCTTACTTCAAACGCGACGCGTCCGCTTACGTAATTTTCAATAAGAAAAATTCAAACAATCAAATTATCAGGCATCGTTTTTGAATTCCGACATTTTTTTCCAGAATAAGACCCTCCAAAGCTCAATGAAACGAATTTCGGACTTTTTTCTGCAAAAGTTCTTTCCAATTCTGAAACAATGCAGTTATTCTATTCGAACACGATAGAATAAGATCTTCTCATTTGTTTCTCCGCAAGAGCACTTGAAAACT